CACCCTACGGGATGCAAGTAGTAGGTGGATACGTACTGCACATCAAGGCAGCTAGTGTAGCCGTAAGCCCCTGTTCGTGGGAGATCTTCTCGTAACGATTCGCGATAGTTCGCTTATCCATACCTAGTATTTTCGTAGATTACTGACGTTGTAGGATTTCGGATTTCGGCCTGTAAGATGAGCGGTGAAAAGCCGGATCATGTCAAAGGAATGATAAGATGCATGCAGAAGTTCCTGGTGACGCCCAAATGGCTGAATGCTAGGTAGTTTAGCGCGTACCACAATCCAAAATCCATCCATGATCCCTTAGATTCATCCGTGGATTGCGTTTTCCGCCTGCATTAGCGAACTCTTACTGACTTACACCTAACCGCTGTTAGTGCTTAAGCCTAAGGGACTTTACGAGGAAGATACTAATAACCTGTATATCTACCCAGGCAGGTAGGCACTTAGGTAGGTTAGTATGACAGAAAGTTAGGCACATATGCATGCACTTTCAAGGTCAACTGCGTTAGGTTTCCCCATGCCCGTCAAACGTCCGTGAACAACCTAAATATATCATTGCTATACTACATATCAAGGGACGGGCATCTCAAGAGTCGGGATGTACCTACATGTATGCCAAATCACCCCGCAGCATGTCAGGTACGGACGGCACGTAGTAGGTTCCAAGGTTGCATCTTACTGCAAGGAACAGTATCACGCATAAGCGCGGCTTCGATTGGTGCAAATACACTTTCCTTGACTCTCTCAAAGGTTAACTCCTCAAGTGCTGTCTCATAAGTCGTCCGAGACAGAGTTAGATTTCGTCCGATGCTGTGGCTGTAGCCTGTAGGATATTCTCGGATGCTTAGTCTTAAAGCTCCTATCGATAAATTAATCCTTGGGGGCCCTTTGAAGTGACATGGTGGTTGCCACGCCGTGAGGGTGCATATGAAAGACCATTTGAACCAGGTCATATGGTCAACTGGGTTTACTACATAATGAATTGCGCGTCCATGAGGCCTATGTTGTATGTATGATGGTAGGTATAGTGGGCTTCATACTGTACGTAATGTACTGTATGTAACAGCAGCCTTACAGGATGTCGTCGTGAACCAAACCTGGGTCAGTCTCTCGATGGGTCGGAGAATTAGTGGCACTAACCCACCTCAAACGCTTTAGCATGACGATATGACTCAACAGTAAGAGGGTCTACCAAGCCGGATATAAAGATGGTAAATTCCATACGATTATTTCATTGTATTGTACATTGTATGAATGAATCTGATTGAGAATTCAATGTTGTGTAGATATGTACCTGTATGCACTATTGAGAAAGAGCTCGAATGTAAGGAAAGTAGCGTAACCTAGCAGTTTTCAGGCTTTGAATTATGTAGTTAGCACGTGGTGAATATTACTACTATCATTGATGCATGTATTCGTAGCGATAAGGACCAAATGCGATCAACAATACGATTATTAATACACATGGAGTAACTACATGTTAGTTAGGTAAGTCAACTAACTGGTGGAGCCTTCTCAGTTAATAAAATCAGTTAATAAAAAAAAAGAAGCATGAACTCTATGTCGGGCAATTTCTCAAACGCGTTCATACCGCAGTTGCCAAATGAATTGTACGATGTAAGAAATGTTGCAAAGCCATATGGTGTCTCTTGCGTTTCTCTTAGCTCCATTAGCGTACAAGGGAAGGAAAGTGCTGCTAAAACGGGTTAAGCCTCTACGATTCGTCGACTTTGAAGGGATCAGCTGCGGATAATTATGGGGTCATTTAACAATTATCGTCCGAGTGCTGTGGGAGTATTTGTGGGTCTCCATGGGCCTTGGAGTTCTATGGAACATTTAGACTCAAAAGGAAACAAACCTGGAAGTGATTAATTACCAGGCAGGTGCTAGACTGCTAGGCTGCTAAGGTGCTAGGGCCATTGGTGTTGGTGTTGGCGGCATTCCTTTTGTTGCATCGTGCATTGCCCTCTTTGCTCATTTACATACTATTACAGCATTTTTCACTTTATTTTTTATTAAAATCAACCTGAGATTACATCGTGACATTCACTTACCATACCTTTCTAGAGCTAAATCCTTAGCCTAGGAAATACTGTACTGACCGCTTTTCTAACTGGACTTGCTGGATATACTATCACTACCTACCTAACCTACATATTTACCTACAATAGGTATCTAGGTGTATCTCACACCACACACGTGCATCGCGCATGAATCCCGATCCTCAAAGTCAATACCTACTCTAGGGACATATGCTCCTTTGTCAACTCGGAGCTGGAGCAAAGCTAAGCCAAGCTAAACTCTTTCGCTAAGAATGATCGGCCAATGGACACCGTACACGACGGCTTACGCTGTTTCATCATCTGCGAGTAGATTTTCATAAGGCTATAGTTCATTTCTATTCGTTCTGCCAATTCAGCAGGATATATCAGCCATTGACCATTGACCATTGACCATTAAGCATTGGCCTTTGACATCGACAAGACTAGGTTAGAGTTGTCTAACCTAGTGATATTGTTCCAGACCGGCATCGAACAAATATCGCAACCTCGTTGAGACCGGGTCACAATTAAGTCACAACTTTTCAGTTTCAGTCTCTTTACGATCACAACGCATAGTAAGTTATCTTAAGTCACACCATTGACGAGTGCTTGATCTCGGGCGTAGCTGCTGTATATCAGCTCTACCTACCGGTACCTTCATTCCACTTTGGAATGAATGTAGCTTGTCATCACCTCTGCCATAACAACCAAGAATCGGTGGTTAAGAAGAGATTACTTAAAGACAATGAAGTAAAAGGACTTCTTGCGCCTTATCCGCTCACAGCATGATGCTAGACTCGTACTTGCAGAATAGCCTTAACCTGGTTAGTCCTGGCTCTCGATCTCTCATGCAGCAACGATAATGATGGACATGCATCGTAGAACCAAAAAATCAAGGCAGAGGCACTAACAAAAGGTTTCATCAACCCTACCCTATCTCGAACACTAAGTACATATGTATGTAAATCAGAGTCAGCGAACGCCTCCGAGACAAGAAACAAGACGTACGCTAGCGATCGACGAATCCCACGCCCACGATAGGGTAAGCACACGTTTCTTGCACGTTGGCTGCCCTTGCGCCAGAGTTTAGGCGGGCTTGGATTGGCTCTAGAAGCTGTTGTGTATTTTCGGTGTGTGCAGCCCGGCATCGGTTCCAGCTTAGTGAGTTGTGACAGTGATGCCGATGCGAGGCGCCTGTTTTGGGTCGTTGAAAGTAAGACAGAGGAAGGATCAAGCTAACCTAGTACATATGTAAGAGATAGCTCTTGGAGCGCTACGATTCGTCAGAGTCTTACTATAGTAGTGAACCCCTCCTCTCCAAGCTCTCTCTACCGTCTCCTTCGCTGGCAGCAGAGCTTTTGACACTAACTCGACTAAGTTTAGTATACCTTCATACACCCCGCTCACCCACGAGGTGCAGTTTATAGAAAGTGGCGTCTTGGAGTTTGATTTGTTGGACACCCAGGTACCTTTCAATTACGCCCTCTCGTGCCTGGATCTTAGCCCGGCACCCTTTAGAGAAGATAAGTCAATCGGATCCCCCAAGAAGGCAGGCGAACAAGAAAGGGAACTTGTTTTGTGAAACTAATAGAATAGAAAAGTAAAGCCGCAAGAAACACCTGGCACCTCCCAGACCTTGTTCCTGAATATCTTCACGGTGACTGGCCCTGCTAAGTTCACAAGAAGTCAACAGTCGCAAGGGGTTCATTGGCTACCTACCGATGTGTATATGTATGTGATATGAAACCATATCATGGTAAGCCACCCAGCCTTTAGCTTTCACATCATTAGAGAACATTGAAATTCTAGATACACAAATACCTACATTACTAGGTCGTCTGTGCGGAGACACTGATAGATAGGTTTATTGATAGTAAGTAACAACTACTTACTACATGTAAGATAGGTGGACAACAAGTATTCCTGTACTGTATGAAGTTTTCCCTTTATTGCGAGCAAGGGTCAGGCAGAGTAGCCTTGGTTGGTCGTGGGTCTGACCATGAAAATACAACCCTTGCTAGGTAGGCTCTCTATTATCCGAGGAGTGCCAGCTTTTGAGACTAAAACGATCCCTGTCCCTGGTAGTATCTTGTCAAGAAAGAGAAGCATCATGAGGTGCAGCAACGGCAGCGATCGCATGCAAGCCCAGCAGACCCCGTCTTTAATACGGCCATGGGCCTCCTCTACTGCAAGTTCATACCGACAAAACTCGTGGGATTTCGAAATCTCAAGGATTTCTTTCTCTCCTTCACTAACAACAATTATCATCATACCGAAAAAGGAAGACAAGGCTTTTCTTACTTACGAACCAATTTCAACATTTCTTCGCCTCTTTTCCAGCTCTTGTCGATCGTTGTGATGGGTCCCTTATTAGGCTCTTAAATATAGCCCACCCATGTACAGATTCTCGAAACAATCTTGCACGAACATATGGGCCCTGGACACTTATAAGTTAACTTATTGACTAACACTTACACCACATACATATACCTACATACTGTACGTATGTACGTATGTACGCCACTCCCCTTCCCAATTACAACCACACACCCTCTTCGGCGGGTATTTCGCACGCTTCTCCACGACAGGGTGTGATAAACTTCCTAGAGACATACCAAGGTAAACTTAGGTTGCCTTGTCTCGTCTCATCTTTCCTCTCTCCTCCTCACCCACTATCTCGAAAGCGGGAGAACATCAAAAAGAGATATCCTTCCCATACAACTTCCCACCCCTCTATTCCCAGGTCATTTCCTTAGAAGCCCTGGGTTCTTCCGCGCACGGCTTCCTGTTTCGTTCCAGCAAGCCCTCCCCCCCTTCAGATATAGAGCCCGCGCTCTTATACATATGGGTTGGAATTGCATACCGTAATCTCGTATATCTCAACCGGTCTTTCGTTTCAAGCCCTCGTTCTTAACGGGGATTTCCCGCATACCCCCCAAAGGGGCCTTCGTTCTTTTAAGAATATTGATATCAAGTTTGGTCTTCCTTGCTCGGCGATACACCCTCCTGTTTGAACCGGCTTTATCGAACGATAGAAGCTCGGAAAAGTTGTTAGTGATAATATTTCCTATTTTCGTACTCACAACCCCAATTAGCAATTCATGTCCATAAATGCGTTTTCCGATATCCCAGTTTCCTTCGTTTTCTATCTTTCTATCTGGCAATGAGTGATTCACAGTAGCCGTGGCTGGTTTGTGGCAGAAAGTGGCAATTTGTCAAAGAATTGAACAGAACGACTGGCTTTGATAGCTGTACGGGACATGCTAGCCTGGAGCTGTATTGAAATGAATGACTCGATATGTTCACCATGAAGTTTCCGACGGCTTTATTTTTCTTATTTGGTTTACCTGGCGTAGCCCAAAGTTCCCGATTGAACGCTCGACAAGATGCCCCAAGTGGGAATTTCTCAGTAACTCTGTCGCCGCAGAGCTCGGATAGCCAGCAGGGTTCGTCGAACAAGAACCGTCCTTTTTTGGTTGCGAGAAGAGCAAGAGCCAAGTCTATCAAATGAACAAAAAGCTAACTTCTCGATATAGAACTTGTGGCACCTTCACTGGTTGCTACGTCTTCAGGAATTGCCACTTCGCCGAGCGTCCCGAAGCAGGAGCGTGGCCCGCAGGATTTTGACCGTGCCGGCCCCCCGCCTGAGCCGGTTCCAACAGTTGTGATTCCTCCCGCGAAACCGCCAAGCCTGGGAGAAAGTCCTACTCATACTGTTAGTCCAACGACATATCCGACATCGACTAACGCAGATATCAACTTGGACTCGACGACACTCACTTTTTCATTTACTACTGTAGCTTCGACTAAGACTTCATTAGCCGAGCTCGCCACTATCGCTACTACAAATTCGCTCATGGTGGGCGAATCGCCAGCGAATACTTTCGCTACCTCGACAGCAACTCGCGGGACCTCTGCCGCGACGCCAAGCGAGGAAACTCAAGCCGGCGCTTGGAAGTCCGATCCTGCTTCCTCACCCACAGAAACAGACATAATGTCTAGCCCTTCTCCCACGCCCAGAAGTGTGAACTCGGACGCTAACGAAGATGGAGCTTCGACTACAACCATCGTGCTCAGCACAGTCCTTAGTGTCATTGGCGTGGTTTTGATTACGGTAGGAGCCTATTTATGCACAGGGAAGCGGCGGAGGAAGATGCCGATGTTTAAGAGGGGTATCACACCGATCGGTGACGACGAGATAGAAACGTGGAAGTCAAATCGATCAGCTGAGAAGGTGGTGGATACGTACACAATGCGGCCGAACCACTCGCAGAACCCATCGACGTCCACATCCGCTAGGAGAACCCACAGTTTAATACAGTATCAGAATGGCGGACGTTCGTCGTTCGAGCCGGCATCTCCGAGATCCTTCATAGGCGGCACGCAAAGTTTCGACCTTCCACGGCCTCCCGGAGCGGTGTTGGCACGGGCGCCAAATGCGAGGTCAGGGCTGACCGACGAGATGGTCCCTGGCGACGACCCATTTCTACCATCCCCCAAACGACATCCATCAAGGCTGCACAAACTACCGCCGAACTCGCCGAGCATACATACCCGAACGAAAGGATCGCGAAGTAGTAGTCTGCGGAGCTACGCCGAGGCCGCGTGGCGGCAAGCCGAGACGCAAGATAATAGTACACCATCTCCTAGGGTTTCTAGCGACGCCTACTCGCGTAGCTACCACAACCACCACCGCATATACTCCAATTCGTCCATACCGCCCCCACCTCGGCTGTCTTTCGGCGACAGCGAGCAATTCACAGGCCTGTCGCCACCTCCGTCGCGGCGGAACGATAATATGATGATAGGTCTAGCGGTCGGATGAAAGTCTAAAAGTTGAGATACCACCCTTGGTTTCAAACCTCTGAAACTCACATGCATCCCTGTTATCCCCACGTTTTGAGATATGACTGGGCAGAAAGGGGAGAGGGGTCTGTGAGTGTGATTGTGAGCGAACAAGGCATCCGACCGTTTCAGCTATCCCCCCCTTCTCACCCGCCAAACCCGATATTTCGACAGGCAAATAAAGGGCCGAATCGAGTATCCTCACGCTCGTCGACGATAAAAAAAAAGTACGAATCAATCAATCAATCAATCAACTCTTCGGGCGATCCCCCAAAGCCTACAGGCCTCATAACCCCTATTAGGGAAACCCCTCGAGGGTGATCCAGCCTTCAAACAAAAATCGCCTCGGCATATCCTACCATGCATCTCAACTCAACTCAACAACCATCATCCACCTTCCACGAACTATAACTAACTATCTTATACCCTCTTTCGCCATATTCATCATCACATAACGACATATCGGAATTTTTTTTTACTTGTCTTTTTTGATTTTACTATTAAATCTATTCCTTTTTTAATACTTACCAATTCATTTACCTGGTAACTCACCACTTACTTACCAGTCTTATCTATACGATTCGTAGCATCTCACACTGCTCACAGCAACAATACCTACGTCCTTTTTAATTATTCCTTTTTTATCTGTTACTTGATTTTATTATATATACCTAGCTAGGTACACTCTCGGAGTTCTTGGAAAAAAAACGTCGATAACGCAAAAACCGCCGAAGACGTGGAGGATATACCCCTATTTCTTTTATTTTCTTTCTCTATGTTATTCTCCTGGATGGTCCCTACCTACCGAGCGAGGGAGGGGAGGTTTAACAATATCCATGCTATCTAAGCCTTTCCTTATAGGTAGGGGGGGGGGGGGGGGGGGGGGTTGGAGAAGGAGAGAGAAAGAGGCACTACTAGGTACTTACTACCTGCCCATCTACATACCTACCTATCTACCAAGCCTGGGTTATTGGCACGGGGTTAGGTGCTATTTCCTTGGACGGCTCATCGGAGGGCGGAGGGAGAGGAGGAGGCACGACGCCGCACAGTATACAAAAGGGAAGGATCGGAAGAAACAGAAAGACAGACAGACAGGAAGACATTGAGGCGAACCAAACGAAGAGTCGCCGCCGCAGCTCGCAGCTCGCCCCCCCCTCCCCCCTCGTCACGAATGCAACTACCCACAAAGGGAGATGAGTATAAGAGGGGGGGAAGTTGATAGTGGACTCGAGCGGAGAAGGTCTACGTGTGGATAGTCAGGGAGGAGGAAAATACAATTCCCAGCTCTTTCGAGGAGCTTTAAATAGCTTCGGATGTGGTGGTTCCCGTACTAAATACCAAATACATGCATATGCATATGTACCTATCAAACTACCTACAGCACCTATGTACCTGCATACACATTGATGGTTCATTTCAGATATTGACCACGCTCGACTAGTTGTTAATATTGGCGTAGACGGGCCGGATGAGGGTGTGTACATAGCTTGTAACTACCTAACACACACCCCCGATCCCCGGGTGATCGACTTTGGTTCGTGATCCCGCTTGTTTGCAGTTTGTGAAACGGGTGGTGTTCGAGGCAGAACAGTACAAGATACATACATACATGTAACTGCACATGTCCAATACAATAGGGGGGATATGGGGGGGGGTTAGTTCATGATGGGGGGGAAGATGAACCGGGGTACGAGGATCTTGGGAAAGTTAGTGCTGTTAGCACTGAATGTACGATCATATCATCTATCTAACCCCAGGCTAGCCAGGCATGTCATTCCCTTTGAAGATCCATCTACAGTAGGTCAAGTACCGCCTTGTTTTTTTGCATGTGATTTACATACCTCGTCAGAGTTGATACCTGGGAACCATTGTACATGTACTACTAGGTATGCAAATAGGTAGGTAGGTGGTGGGGGGTTGAAATGAAATGATGGTTGCCTCGTTTTTTTTTTTGACGAATCCAAAGTGCGTGCCGCCAACCCTGTCGTCGATCAAACAAGCTTTTTGGTCTTTTGTCTTCTTCCCTCCAAAATTTCCATCGGGGTTTGCGGTTGCGGTTATCTTGGAAGAGTGTGGAGAGACGAAATCCCGCATCTACCGTTGGGTTTGGGGATCTACATACCTACTACTAGCAGGTGCCAGGTATTGGTATTGCGTCGTTTTTTTTTCTCTAGCTAGTTACCTAGTTTGGGACCTAGGTTAGTCCCGAAGATCGTGATAAGACGGGTATATATAAATAGCAGGTTGTGGGAACGAAGCGGAAGGGAATGTCGAAAGTTTGGTTGGTGTCTGTCTGTCGCCTTGCACATGCTGATTTGACGGGAGGCAAGTAAACCGGGAATGAAGATTGAAGCTCATCGGACTAAGTTGTTAGGTTAGTTCTGCTCGCCTCACATTTGAGAGAGGATTGCACTAGTTATGCTGGGAGGGTAGGTTAGTGAGGTGCTCATTATCTTATCTAGTGCAGATTAGGAGACGCCGGCTGGTGATCATTAGGAACATGAATTGAGACTAGGAAGCTTGGTGATTTTAGTGAGCGTTCAATTTTGCGAGAAGAAGTGCTCCATGTAATGCATGTAAGTATACGGGTATACTAGTAGTAGGTGATATTCGACGGCATGGCAGCTTCAGTGCCTGGTGATTGATTGGACTTGGCCGGTATAAGTCAACCACAATTTCACACGGCATACCTATATGCATTGGGTTAGGTAGCTACCTAGGGTATGGACCGTATGGTAGATATAAGTTGTATGTAATTGGAGTGTCATAAGGGCCCTGGGTAGTAGGAGGAAGGAAGATGAGAAAGAGGAAAAAGAAGAGAAAGAGGCAACATTGAATATTCCAAACCTTATCTAGGTGACTACTACTAGTACTATGTACATAACTAGATACAATACAATCGATAAAGAATCCAAGAATCTAAAAGCTCTTTACGCGTCTTAGGCGCGTTAAACGTGGGGCACGCGCCGCTAGCGCCTTGTTCTATCTTATCCGACACATCAATTATCTTGTGCGCCTGCTTCTTCCCTTCTCGCATTCACCTCCAGTGTCGTCCACCATACTGTCGCATTCACATAAGCCACTTGAATAATCTACCTATGTAGCTTATGATTACAATCCAATCATACTAATTGCAGACCTACATAGTACATAATATAGTACATATAATCCGTGAACTTCTATTCATACATTCGAGCTACCCATCCCTTTCATAATTCATATCCACCATGCCGTCTCGAAAAGGCGACAGCGCTCGACAGAGCAATGTGTCCATGGCCCAATTTGCTTACGATGCCTCCGATGCTGATATTTCATCAACCTCTCTTCGCCCTGTCCCCGGAGCTATAGCTTCGCGATCCAAGCCAATCCAGTCTGTAGAGACTGACGCTCCTCGACCTACCGGCTCGCCCTCTATTGCTGAGAAGGATAAGAAGGACTCCAAGGAGAGTAATAGTAAGGATACAATCACCATAGAGGTATGCTCAATTATGTCATAACTCCACGCAAGCCCAATTACTAATAGCTTTTATTCTCTTGCCATCAGGACCTTAACTTACCCAAGTCTATCATAACGCGCCTAGCAAAGGGCGTCTTACCTCCCAACACACAAATCCAGGCTAATGCCATCCTGGCTATGAGCAAGGGCGCTACTGTCTTCATTAACCACCTAGCCAGCGCGTACGTTTATGAATAGTCGCACAACGATACCGATATACTCTGCTAACAATTGGTCTTTGGAACAGGGCGAATGAGCACACACAGAATGCCAACAAGAAGACCATCATGCCCGCCGATGTATTCGCTGCGCTCGAAGACATAGAGTTCCCATTTCTACGTGAGAGACTGGAAGCCGAATTTAAAAGTAACCTCCATACCACCATCCAACCAAGTAAATCACAGAATTATTCATTAACACACAACCTAGAATTCAACGAAGTTCAAACCACGAAACGCACCACCTACCGCCGCAAGGTAGCTGCCGCTAAGAAAGCAGAGAAAGAGGCGACAACGGACCCTAACGCATCCATGATGTCGACTGCGACGACTGCGACCACGAAGACGGAGAAGGGCTCAGCCTCGGGGCCACGCGCTTCCAAGAAGCAGAAGATTAGTGCCCCGGATGACTCTGCAATGGACGTTGATGATCCCGATGCGACACAGGACCCGCGAGAAATCAGTGACGCTGAGACAGAACCTGAGCAGGAGCATGAAGAGGAGGAGGAAGAGAACGAAGGCGGTGAGGAGGAGGAAGAAGAGGAGGAAGAGGGCGAGGGTAATGAGGATGAGGAACACGATCGTCTGGAAGTGAAGGAAGCGCAAGAGGAGCATGACGACGCTCTCGATGATGGTGATAGTGACTGAACATGTTCTCCCATCTGAGAGCTACGTATCGCTCTGTTCACGTATTCCCTCTTCCCTCCCTTCTCATACTATGCGCTTGGGAGACGGCCTAGTTTGCTGTTGGATCGACAGTACCGCATTCAGGGGTACTACTCTTGGAGATTTCCTGGCGTGGAGAGCAGGAAGTGATATGCTCCGTCATACATACCTACATTAAGAAGAGATAGCGAGCAAGCCATTGAATAATTCATATACATCAGGGGAACACGACTGTTCTGTACAGACCCCTTATTCCTAAGTACCTAGTAAGTAGCTTGCTACCTGCTTAAGCAAATGTAATCACATATTGACGATTGAATGAATGAATATACATACGTAATTCATACAGCAACTAGCCGTTAATTAGATAACTACATACGATACTGTTTTTTTGCTCCGCGGTGGGCTTTTGTCACAGGACTACTCAATGAAGAGAGAATGTAAAAGTATCAAGTCTGGATTAGATAGGTATGTTTCAAAATGATAATAATAATTTGAGTGGCTTATTCACCATCGTTCATTACACATGATTCGTCGTTAACTCATCCCCCCCTCCCCCCCCCCCCCCCTTTTTTTTTTCTTCTTTCACGGCCTGACCAGGTAGGTAGGTAGGTAGGTAGGTAGGTGCCCCAGAAAGCCCACACGATCCATCCACCATTCTTTTCCCCACAGTACCTACCTACCTCATTGCGACCTGCTATTAGCTAGCACGCTAAGCCGCAACCCCGACGCAATAGTTGTAGCCGACCTGCAGGTTCGTGCAGGCGGCGTTGACGCTCGGGTTCCAGGACAGGAAGTCGGCGAGGGTGACGCCGTGCGTCTGGGTCACCGCCCAGCACGAGTCGCCCTCGACCACCTTGTAGCAGTCGTCGCAGTTGGTCGCCAGGCCCGACAGCACGGGCGCCGGGCACCCGCCGGCGGGGGGCGGCGGCGGCGTGGTGGCGGTCACGCCGACGCAGACTTGTTCGCCTGGGTACAGGTTGTTGCAGGTGGAGGAGATTTGGGGGTTCCAGGCGTAGCTTTGGGGAGGGGGGTATTAGCTCACTCACTGTTCTTGTTGTTGTTGATGATGATGGTAGTGTGATGTTGTTTTTAGGGATAGTTGGGATGGGATGGGATAGGGGGAAACACTTACAAGGTGTCAAGAGTAAAGGCGCCGTTGTACTTGTTCACGATGACGAGGCAGGTGTCACCTGACGCCACGGTATAAGTCGTAGCACAGTTGCTAACGTAGCCCTGGCGAGCGAGGATGTTGGGGAAGGCATCGGTGGTAGGGGCGGCGAAGATGGTGGTTGCGAGGGCCAGGACGGCGGTGATAGTGGAGGTTAGGCCGAGCATGGTTGATTATTTATTTATATTATATTAGGTATAGATTATTATAGATTGGTGTATGTATGCTTAATGAGGATTAGGTAGAGCGAATGAAGCTGAAGATTGTGAGGATGGTGCATTTCCTCTTGTCGATGAGGTGATGGGATGTGCCCCCTTTATATATACACACTTTGGTCTCGTTTACATATACTACTATATAGTACCTACCTAACCTACCTACTTCCTTTCTTTTCTTACTTGACTTGGTACTTTCCATCACGAACAAACAACACATCTCGTGAGATGACCCAGTTGTAACGTACCCGAGCGAGTTTGAAGCGGGACCACAACCGGCCACCACAACCACCACCACCACCACCCCCCTCTGACAAACGATCTAGATCTATCCCACCCAACGTAGCATTCTGCGAGGTAGGCTGTTAGGTAGGTACTGTACCTTAGGCCACATCCGCCTCGGCATCATATTACCTATCACGAGACCTAGGTACCTTGAACTTTGCCTACACCATACATCACTTTTTACCATGGCATTTTACATAATATCGCGCTTTTCTTTTACGCTTACGGTAGCAAATGCCGTGGTTCCCGTCGGCGTTTTAAGCGGCATGTTCATATGCGCCTACCTACACCAAGTTCTAGGTAGGTATCATACTTGAATATGTAACTACTACCTACCTACCATCGCAGCCTCGGCCGGGTTACTGAGCAATATCGATATATCGATATCCAAGTATGTATACGGCATAGCCACTTAACTTCAATGCTAATGCCGAATCACAAAAACATGTGCAAAGGGATATATATACATATATAAATAGATATCAAATCAAACAACCAACAACGGAAACGAGAACCGAGAGCATTCGCTCGCATATAGCTAGCTCCTAGGACTAAGACCAAAAAAAAACCGAACGAGGTAAACGATTGAGGGGATGGCAGGTGGTGGTGGTGGTGGTGGTGGCATCATGCATCATGACATGGAGCCCAACAAAACGGTGCAGACCCCGTTTCCGCCGTCCCCCCATGTTGGGGATTGGCTCAGCCTTACGCGAGGGAAGTCCTGCTCGGGATATATTGTACTTTGTGTATTATAGGTAGGTATGTAGGCAGTCAGCACTTAATACTTTACACGAGGTTTTCATCTTTTTTTTTTCTTTTCACCGCCGGGAGCTACCTACGTACCTAGGTAGGTGGAACGGTATGTACATGTAGGTGTTGATATGATATTTCGAGATTCCAAGACATAGGCTATTCAAACATCAAATGTTCCAAGTTCGTTCACTGTATATCGCGCTCAGCCTTGGAGACTTCCACGGTGAGCATCTCATCTCATCTCATCTCATCTCATATCTTGAAAAGCAGCCAACCTACCTACCTACCTAGATACGCTTGGAGAAACACAGCATTGACTGACGTGTGGTAAGATTGTGTAGATCATTCATTCACATCTGTGCACACCCATCTACCATTTTGTACAATACGAACCGAGACAAAGTAAAAAAAAAATTCATCTCAGCATGAGATCTCAAACCCCGCCCCCTCCCTTCCACCCATTTTATCCAACTAGGATTGGAGAAAAGTTCTCGAAGGGTCGGGATCGGTCGATTCGATGCGACGGTGACAGACAGACAGACAGACAGACAGCCCCCGGACTTAGGTATTATATTCGCCCCAGTTCCCAAGTCACAGTCCCCCAGTCCTGCCAATAGTGAAGCAAAACGGAAATGGATCGCGAAGCGGGACGGGACCGAACCCCAGCCAGCCAGCAATACATCGCCCATCTCCCTAGCTGGGCGAACAGTTGAGTGCTTGATTGATCGATCGATACCTATTTTTAGCCAGCAACCCATAACGTAACTGCTATGTTATATGTACAATACATACATACATACATACATACATACATACATACATACATACATACATACATACATACATACATACATACATACATACATACATACATACATACATACATACATACATACATACATATACATAACTAGTAGATGCCTACATAGCTCGCAACGACACGTGAAGCATTTCACTACCTATGTACCAACTACCTACCATCCAACTATGCCGTATGTATACTCCGGCACGAGTACTTCGTAGGCAGACAGACAGGCACTATTTACTCCAAGGTAGTAAGTAGTTAGCATTTCCCCCGTAAACGCAACTTTTCTACCCCGGCAAGCCCTCCTATTGGTGCCTACTAGGTAGGTAGGTACCTAGTTAATACCTACATGTATCTACATAAAAACCCCAAGCGAGGAATACAGGGAGGAGGGGAAAGGAAACATTAAACATTGAAAGGAAAGAAAACAAAACAAAACAAAAGAAATACGAAGTATATTTCACGGACTTAACTAGCACATAAGAGTCGGCCGTTAATGGCACGACACACACACACACCCACTGCCTACCTGCCCGCCCGCACGTGATACCTCAACGATATCCTTCCTTCCTTTCTATGTATCTAGGTAGTTAGTAAGCTATGCGGCTGAGCTCGTATCCAACGTACCTACTTGGCTTGGCCCGGCTTGGGGTTTGGGTATCTATGCATCCAGCTCACGCGACGACCACTGAGCGAAGGATGACCCCCCCCCCCCCCCGCGTTCGTTCGTTCGTTTGTTGCTGACACTATGGAGTGAATATGAAATATGTACATACCTACGTATACCAGTTACAGCATTTGAGGATATTATGATGAGGAGCTAGGCAATAAGTCATTAGACGAAGCTCAAGGCACAAAGTAGTTGAATTCAAGCTTCCTTTGAAGTTGTTTACTATCCAGCGCTCAAAACTCTACTGAATTCACTAGGTGCAAAAGGGACTTAATCACCGGGTTGGGGCACAATTTGGTTAGAGAAAGTCAGTCGATTCAAGTGTTGAAAACTCTAGCAAAGGTATTCCGAATACCTATCTGACCTGTTAAACATTTTTGTAGTGTAATCCTGTAGCCGAAATGGCCAGCCAGCTTTGTGCTTTGCAGCAAAATAATCTTCCAGCTCTTAACCTGCTGTTCATTCAAATCATCCTTTTCCCCTTCGCCTATGATACAATTCGCCATTACATACCTATGTCACTTCATCAAACCTTGGCTGATGGTCCTTGTGTGGGGCGAGGCCTAGAGACTAGGAAAGCAGTTCGAGGACATCGTCGAGACGACTGGTTTCCTTTTTATCTCTCGCCTTGTCCTGGAAGGCTAGATTGACAAGCTCTCGCTTTTTATCCTGGATGCCCAAGACACGCTCTTCGATGCTATCATCCATAACCAGCTTCCAAACTGTCGTCTCTCGAGTTTGGCCTAGACGATGTACTCGGTCGACAGCTTGGTCTTCGATGGCCGGTGCCCACCCTGTCTCCAGTTTAGCAGAAGGATCTTTGCGATAGAATGAGTAAGTGATGCTTACACGAATCCACAAGTATAACCGTGTCAGCAGCGACCAAGTTCAAGCCGACACCGCTTGCACCTAGACTAGCGAGCATGATTCGTGTGCTCGGATCATTGGTTAATGCATCGATCGATTGGTCGCGTCGAGCTATTGTCATCCATCCCTCAAGGCGGCAATACTTGTACTCCATCTCATCCAGTAGCTTTGCAATAATGGCAAGGAAGGAAGTCCACTGGGAGAATATGACCACTTTGGACTTGGGATCCTTGAGCTTAGCCCTCAGAATCTTCTCCAGGGCTTCTGTCTTCGAGCTGTGTGTGTCGCCGTCAAAATCATCGTTAGTCTCGGTGACTGGTTCAATCCCAACTATAGAATCTGCAGCCAACGGTTGGCGGCACATTGGACATCTGGTATCTCTCTCGAGGGCTTTCATTATGCATGCTTGTCCGAAACGATGTTTGCATGCCGTGATGACAGGAGTATGAAGGCCAAGTGCATCGGTGCAAATTGGACACTCCTCTCCTTCGTTCGTGGCAGTAAGAAGGGCCTGCTGCAATATCTTGAGATTTTCCGGGGTGAATTTCACCAGCTTCTCACCTTCGAGAGGTTTAAGCACATTCTTCGCCTGTCCTCCGCACAAGGTCCAATGACAACATCTGCGGAATGCGTTAGCTACGGCACGCTATATTGGCTCTACTAACAAGGTGTGGCTAGGTCGAGGTTACTGAAACTTACAACTGTCTAAGGCGAAGAAGCTTCTCTAGAACACTTGTAAAATGTACCTGGGGGCCTCCGCCATGGCCGGCGCCCCCTTTTCTGCGTCGATACAATTCTAACATTTCTGTAGTCTCGGACCTGATACGTTCTTGTTAGCACTCACTGCGGTGCACTATACAATTACACTATACTCACATCAAGGTATCGTATTTCACCTTCTCCTCCTCCCTAAACTTGATCCGATGAACGTATTCCGTTTTGGGGGGTAGCTTTAGGTCGACAAACTTCATATCTTTCCTTCGACGAAGGCAAAGATCCTGTGTTAGTGACTGGAACAGCTGCTTAGCCGTGGTGTGGCTGCTACTATCGCTTCCTCCGCCGCCGGTTAGAGGCCTGTCAATCAAATTCAAGAATATCGAGGCCTCTTCAATTCCTCCCGTCATCTTGAGGAACTTGAGCGCGGATAGGAAATCCTTAGGTGCGTTGATGCTAAAAGCGCAGGGGGTCAGTGCCGGCTATACGGTATTAGGGGTAGGCTGGGTTAGAAAGAGCCCACTGCTAGTAGTGATAAACTCACATTGGTGTACCAGTTAGCATCCAGCTAGATTTAGCCTGCAACTGGAACGCTGCCTTGGCCCTGCCAGTTGCGTAGTTTCTGATAGCGTGAGCTTCATCCAGAACAACTCGACGCCACTGTACTGAGAGCAGCGGCCCATTCTTAAGATAGTCAGTACGTAGCTTATCGTAGGTAGTAATAACGATGTTGTGTTTCAGCAGATCATTCTTTGTATATGAACCGGCCTTGTGATATCGGAAGACACGTGGAAGATGATCTTTCTTTACGTGCCGTTGGATCTGCTGTTCCCAGTTGCTCATTACACCAACCGGTGAGACGATCAGAGTTGGGCCTGCATCAAAGCCGCTCGCCATGATGAGACTTATAACCTGGAGGGTCTTGCCCAGGCCCATGTCATCAGCAAGCACGCCTCCTGACACCAATTTCGGAGGAGTGGCAGTGGTATGACTCGAGACAATGTTGAGGAAGTTGTCACGGTTGTCCCGTTTCCACAACTGCACAACGTCTTTTGATCCAGGGGCAGGAAGTAGTGGGGTTTCTTTGGAAATCATCCAAGCCAATCCCTTTGTAATACTAATCAGTAGAATTCGAGTCTAACGGAAGGTGATGCATCTTACCTGAAGTTGGTACGGCAATAGTTCTGATTGAATACTCTCGGGTTGCTGCGCCTTGGGCATCTTGGATAGGGCATCTTCGTTCATAGCGAATACGTCGATAGAAGGGAGGTCACCCCTGAACTGTACGGCTTCACTATCTGCTACCAAATCCTGTAGTAGGTCTTGCTGTTTGTCGTCAGTGGTCCCCAAACCAACCGTGGATGCGTTGCATTTAAGGCGCATGGCGACGTTCTTTTGGGCTTCCGCTGCCTGCCTAGTAGCCTTGAGCTGTTTCGCCTTCAAAAGCTTGTCGTCTTTCAACCTCGCTTCTAAGTTAAGGCGGGTTGAAGGATCGCTCGGACCATAAAAGGACAAACGAACAGGACAATGAAAGGCCTCTTTTTGACCGGTGAGAACACCTTCCAGCACGATCTCGTGGTTGTCGATGTAAGGTGCGAGCTTCGAAACGAGCACAGCAGGAAGGTGTCCGATCTGATTTCGCATGACATTATCAACGCGAACGGCATTTCTATCGTACTGGTTGCTAGGCTCGCGGCATAGTATAACTCTCTCGCCAGGGTTCACGACTCCACCGTAGTATCTAACACCTACAATCTTGTTGTCCAAAGTTCCATACAGTTCAAAGGAGGCGGCTAGGTCATCATCTCCAACATTGGGATCTGGGACATCGTCACCAACATCCTCCTCGAGCCAAGATGGTTCCGGCTGATATCGAACAGCATGGCCAAGAGACGAAGGGGGAGGTGCTGAATAGAGAGATGGTCTCGGCTGATATCGAACAGCATGGCCAAGAGACGAAGGGGGGGTTGCTGAATAGTGCTGAGAACTGCTGGAAGGTCCCAAAGTCTGGCTTGAGGGATTCCATGTCTGGCTTGAGGAACGGGAAAAAGACCTGTTATCATGGCGAGGGACCTTGGACTGCTTCTCACCTAGGCCATTTCCAGAAGGAGAACGTTTTTCGCGTGGCATCGTGTTGGAGCCAACCAAGATTGGTCTGGCTGGCTGGCTGGGTTAGGACAGTCTTAGAATTGAGTTGGACAAATTTATTTTGTACTTGGTTATTTTAATAAGAGTTGAAGTGTGTTTGTGAAGAAGCAACGTGATGGACTGAGACTTAGTACCTCGCGTTTGTTGTTACACACATGCATAGATTTCAATGCTAGACGCCTAATAGGTTAGGTAAATATGTACTGGCCAACCTTTGGTTTGTAGCAACATTGAACCTGATACCTATTGATAGTGAAGAAGAGAAGCGAAGAAGAAAAGAAAGGAAAAGAAGAGAAGAGAAGAGAGAAGGTTATTCTATAACTCTATTTTCCGTGAAACGTCAACCTTGACTATTAGGCAGGCGGTACAGGTACAGATAGGTATTCTGACGCGCTTCCTTGTAGGTATGGCTTCGATTCGCGACTGCCCTCATATACTACCAATAACTACCCTAACCTAGGTAAGTAAACAGACCGTAATCACGTGATGATTAATTGTTGGCTTGTGCGTTACTAGTAATGCCTTATCATGATGAAGTATGTACCTACATGTAGTATTGGTAGTAGATACAATGATGTTGTATTATGGCCACATCAATTGAAGTCAATTCCAAGAATATAGATTCGTCGTGACGAGAACATGAGGTGGTGTCTAAAGTTGCATGTGTAGTTACATTTTAGTGCATATAAATTGTTCTACAGTTGTTCTATATATGTACCTAATTCGGATTCATTAGCCAACAAATTTAACAAAACGCCCTGAGGCGTAACTACATCTTAGGTAGGTAAAGTACCTAGGTAATTATGTAACATCACATTAATTGATTGAAGTAAACCAATCAGAGGTGCAAGGATTCGCACTGTCAGTACTTAGAAACGCCAACTAATCTTCTTTAGTAGATAAGGGCGGCATCGGTAGGATACAGTACGGCTACTGTCCCGTCCTTTTCGGATCTCGCCATCGGGTCCCGGCAAATGAGACAAGACCTCGATGGCGCAATCCGAGCTAGGCCAAAACAACAGGACAGACGAATGCTAAATTACTACGAGACCAACTGCAAAGAACCCAATCTTCCCTTCCTCTTCTCACTTCACTTCATAGCGGTCTGTAGAATCGTTCCAAGTTGCCAAAATAGCAAAACGCTCGACTTGTATTCTCATCATTCTAATTAAACATACTATCTATCGCTCCCGGAACTCGACTGTCTTGTGTAGGCAAGTCCCCCTTTTTCAACCCTTACACATGAAGTCATGTCTACCTGCCTATGTCTACACAAAAGTCCCGCAAAGCGTTACCACTATTAAGTAATTAGGAAAGGGAATTCATTGCGTCATCCGACCATATCGCCAGCCACTACCCAATATCATGTTGTTGGTCTTGAGAGAGGGTTTCCCCTGCCAAAAGGAAGGGAGAGAAAACGCAAAAGGGCAAAAACACCATACGCCTTCTCAGTCATGGTCACATCTTAGCCCTAGCTAAAAGGGCGTTTCTTAATCCTCTACTCGTTCACCAAACTTCGAGTAGTTACCACACTTGGGAACATGTGTCATCTTACCCGTCTTGGGGCTGAAGATATTACACCCGAACTTGGCCACGTTCGGCGGAGTGTACACTGATATCGTTAGCCAAGCGGCATGAAGACACACTCTACAGAAGGATACCTACGGTGTAAGGATACGGCATAGTCGCTGCCTGGGTTGGCTACCTGGTGCAGCCCAAGATTGTCTGCCATATACGCAACGGCACCTTCCTTAAGGGTGGTTTCTTTTTTGATCTGCATCGGCGCCTCTTTGCCGTCCGGGTAGTCGTACCGAGTCTCGGTGATGCTGCCCCGGAGGACCCTCATTAAGCAATGAGCGTTGCCATGGTCGTGGATAGGGCTCGCTTTGCCTGGCGTCCATACGAGGATGAGCTAGATTTGGGGTTACAGGTCAGCATCTAATAACCTAAGCCGATGGGGCGAAGAGGGGGGATGTCATAGCTCGACATACCAAGTTCGCTTTGCCGTTCCCTTCGTCGACGAGATTTCTAGTGTACGCCATGTTGGCGTTTCCTAAGGCGTACTTGGACCATTCCTTTTCATCGGAAACGTATCGCTCCATTTTAAGTGTTAGATCTCCGACGTCTACATCTTCCGAAGTCAAACCCGACGATGGACCCAGAATGTCCTTGATGTCCTGGACGAGAGTCTCGAAGCGGTTCATGTCGAAGACGATTGGCGATTAAACTTGGTAAGGTAGTTCGATATATTATCCGATGATGATATCCGATGATGATATTGGGCACTGGCAAAGCAAGTCGTCGATGAAAGGGTGATAGGTTGATGAGAGCTAACTACCTAGGGTATGTTTATAAATAGGGGTGCGGGAGGTGTGGACGGTATAGAGAATATGGACTTTGGAGGGCATGAAAGAGGTGGGAAAGGTGTGGAGTAGCGGTGTCTCACGAGTCTTGCAACCTTTTGTGCCTCCTGACTGCCGACTCCGCTTTTCCTCTGCAATGACGGACGACCTTCCCTCTAATTTTCTGGTTTTCTTGAGATGGGTGCTGTGTGCTGCCGATTTCCGGCGGATGAATTACCTGGTTCTTTCCCTTATCGTCAGGGAAAGTAGGGGATGGAAGGGCCATGCTTGGTGATAAACTAATACAATTCTTTGTGATTGGTTGGGGAGAAGTTGAAAGAGGAACATAGGTACGTAATCGTGGCCTGTTCTCTCTCTTTTATTATCTTTTTCTCATGGGTTGTTCTTTATTGCAGTCATTATGCGCATGCACGACGACAGAAATCGCAAGCATTGGACCTGACTATTCATTTCTAGAGATAATCGAGAATATTGTACGAATCGAATGAAAAAAATCCAACCCAATTCAATTTCATTTGATGTTAATTGATGTGACGGTGATGGTAGATGTTTACTATGTCAATAAAATAAGAAGGAAGTGGAAAAAGTGAAGATAGCGGGTTCGACCGCTAAACCAAGTGAACTGATAGTCTGATAGGGATGGCCCACTGTCTACCCCACCAAAGGGTTAATCATAATGGCTTCCAAGGTTCCGACTAAGATACGATTAGATGTCCACGGGTATCAATTGTTGCCGCTAAAGTGAAGAAGCCTACTACATATGTATGTATGTACTAGTAGTACATGTAGTACATGTAGTACACGAGTTATCTAACTTTGGCCGTTCTTCTTCCGATCCGTTGCATCGAATTTTACGCTTCCTTCCTTTAACATCATTACCTACCTTAGGTACCTAACCCTACCTACCTATACATAGGCCGGCGTCGTCCTTCTCAATTTCGATGTCGAACCAGGCATCGAACGACATGGGCAAATACTTAGGGGGAAAATACAATGGGATCCTCCTAAAGATGCGTATGTGTCCTGTGTTGCACTCCAATGTTGAGGCACAAACTCTTTAAGCAACCAAATCAAGCCAGTCTAAGGTATGAACGCCGCTTAGAATATCTTGGCGATGGGTAATTATCTCTAGGAACTGCTGACTACTATTTATGTCTCGTACGTTTGAAGCAGCAAGAATCCAAAGGAGGCTCAATTACGTCTTTCGGGATAGTACACCACTGCGAGTAAAATACCTAATCATAAGGACAAAGGCTAGTGTATACGAAGATAAGATCTATTTTTAAGGAGACTATTGGCTTTCATAATTATAAAGTCGAGTTGCTAAATAATGCTCCTCTCCTTTCCTCTCCTTTCCTCTCCTCTCCTCTCACATGCTCACATGAAGCGTTCAGAGAGAGACATAAGGTAAACCTTCAACCTGTGCTTGCGCTTCATAATCAGTATTAATCATCATATAGCTATCGTTATCCGACTCGTTGAGCAAGATACTAGAGACGTAGAATTTGGCGGCGGATAGAGCCTGAGCTTCGAACTGGCTCTGCTCGCTGTCAATCAAGTGACGTGGGTCATGCTTCCAAATAAAATGCCCCAAGAAATGCGCAACTAGCTCGTCTTTATTGTCTTTACTTATTTGAAAATCATTCTCGATGGCTATTATGCCGCGTTGAGCAAAGTAGATCAGCGCGCCATAATCCTTTCCTGGATCAGTCGTTGATTCCGGAGCCTCTTCTTGCGGTGCGGCACTCAGAATGCAGGAGCTCATGGTGCGGAGCATTTCTGCTGGGGAGATAGTGAACTTTGCTAGCCCGGATAATTGCTCCCAATAGCACTGATGACTTCGTGTACCTTGCATCCACCGTTCGAACAAGTATACGAATAGCTGGACTTGGTGCTTTGGCACGTTGGCGTCACTATCTTTGCTCAATTCGAGCGGCAGCATGTTAAAATGGGCAAGCCTATCAGCCCAAGACGGCACGTCCTGCAGCTGCTGCCGAACCCAGCAGAAAAGATTCCATATATAATCAGCAGTCGAAGAATCGTGTCGTGGGTAAAAATACCGCGGGTTCTTCTCGATGATATGGAACTTGGCGACGATAGGTCTGTAATAGTGGGCGTCCTCTGGGTCTTCCCTGTTCTTAGGCCCCTCGTTACCAAGGCGCTCTATGACCCTCCCAAGAACTGCATTGAATCGAACATGAGAAACGAAATCAATCCAGTGTGCATCGTACTGTAGTATGCGGAATAATAGATCCTGGATGATGTTCTCCATAGAAATCGGTATGTTGAGTCTTGTCGATTGCTCATACGTTTCCACTACTTCTTCTACCAATTTGTGAAGGTCTTCTGTAAGGACCTGGTAGCAGGGTTCTTTGAAGACGCATAAAAACTGATCACACAAGTTCCTATATCTTCTAGTAGTTATATCGCCTTCATATTCGATGTCGCTTCTCTGATAACCTTCATGCATGGTGTTGCTCGTGGTCTGGTCGGATTTCTCGTTTCTATACTTCGTCCACTTCCACTTCTCAAAGCGGTATCGATATTGTTTTTCCCTGAAGAGCACCGACCCCGGTCAGCTTAGCTTCCATAACGTTTGCATACACAAAAAAGGTCTTTGGGTATAGGTAAGGTGCTAAAATTGAATAGATAGAAGTCATTGGCTAGCAGTGTGACAAACAACAACAGCACGGATGACATACGAGGCATTGAAACGCTTTTCAGTTCGTGTCCGATGCATTACCACTTTCACTGGCAGATTTTCGACCAAATACAGTTGTTCCAAATAAGGCTTGAGCTGGTCCCAACGGTCATCAGGTATACGCGGAGCATGAGGCAGCCGTTTGGTGGTAGGTTTAGGCCGTATAGTCATGATGGGCGCTGGTAAATTGACGAGGGCTACCTGGTCTGTTAAGTCGCTCGAGGTCTGTTGAAGCATATGTGAAGACATGTGAACTGTGGCTGGACTGGTTTGCTGTGTGAGGGATTCATCAACCACTTACTTATACATTCATGCATGCCTTGGTAGGCACCTTATATACATTGGTCCGGCGGTCCTGATCACCCTAATGATCATTAGAGTTATGGTGATATACGACTTGCTCACCATCGAAGCAAGTTTGGAATTCCTAATTTCACCTCGCCTAGTATAAGGGGAAAAAGTGCGAATGGAATTTCCAAACACTTCCCAGCTCAGCCTCTATAGATACCTAACATGTCCTGGTGTCACCACAAAGGATTGCGTGTGCGTTAAGAAATACCCTCCACCAGCGTCGGTAGGCTCATTGGAAATCTCAGCCAGAGGCAGCGAAGGAAGATATATCGATGCAGAGCCGCACGTCTCAGACCATTGCGGTAGATTCTCCACACTCAACCCGCCATGTGCCATCATTGTCAGTTTTCCCGTCGTTCTCAGATTTCACCATGGTCAAAGCCCCGAAGCAGCGTGATAGCGATACATTACTCGTGGGCGTGGGCGTATGGTGCGAAGAAGAACTAGCCGAATATCAGCGACTAAGAGACGTGGTCCCTACACCTGGCAAGGAAGGATATCAAATCGAGGCGGGAAGTAGCAAGAAGCTGCCGCATCATTTTCCACCGACAGTGGTCCGAAGTTTCCAGGACGAATGCAATTCGAGAGGACAGCCAAGGCGGAACGATAAACCACTGATACAAAATTATGAAGGCCCAGGAGTTGTGGCAACGATTTGGATGAACTCAAAATGCACTTTGAATGTCCTCAATCTCCGTAGTTGGAGTACTGGGGAATGGCAGACCAGGGCAAGCGAGGAACCGGTACAACTTTCATTGCCAAATGAGTAGAAAAGTGCACTTTTAACAGGTAAGTACCCTCCATGTACCAGCGCGTAACACGGGTGTAAGCAAAGATGTTAACGCCAGAAATCAACCATGGACAGGACTACTGACTGGATTAGCAATTGAGCAATTGGCATTTCTTCGACGCAGATGATATTTAGTTACAGGGGAACCTGGGCGAGAGGACCTAACATGGTCGGACGAGAGAGAGGGATGTTTACCTACCTGTAGGGACTACCTGGGAAACTCATGAATATCGGATATAATACTTACTGCCTACCTACGCTAGGTTCACTCTGAATAGAGGAGCATAATAAAGGAAGGTATCACACACTCGCTCATGGCAGCCAACGAGCGCAGCAGTTTTTCTCATACCTAGTTGAGTTGTCCTTCGACATATCTACACCGAACTTCCCACCTGCCCCCGACTACCAAGTACGTAGTAGGTACCTACTAGGTAATTACGACAGCGCCAGTACCTAAGTATGTAGCAGGAAACGTCAGCGTTGCATGGGGACCGGCAAGGCAGGTTATAGGTATGTGACTTACCTACCACTTGCCTATAACTTACCGAACGCAGTCCGAGCGAGCATAGCCCCGACTCGTAGAATAAATAAGAATACTTAGGTGATTTTCTCTCTCTCTCTCTCTCTCTCTCCTGTGCGATTTCCCATACATAGGTGTCTAGGTAGCAATACCTATGCTTAGCAAAAAAAAAAAAAAAAAAAAAAAAAAACAAAGCGAGGCTGACCCGTAGACGGATGCAAGATAGTGACAACCCGGAAAAGGCAATCGGAAATGGGCGGGGGAAGGAAGGAGGGGAAGAGGAGAAAAAGGAGGCGTTGTGGTTGAAGGGGACATCGGATGCGAGTCTGTCACGTGTTGGAACTTCCAAATGGTAATAAAGGGGGGGGGGGGGACATTAGGTATTTCGCTTTTTTTTTTTTTTTTCCTGTGTCTCACTCAACTATTACTTCGCCCCTCGGAAATGTACGTTTATATGAAGCTTACGACGAAAGATTCTAGGCAGTTGCCAATAACCACATTGCTTTTGCAGTGTAGGTAGGTATGTAAGTGAAGTGGAAATTGGCTAAGCATTGGGTTTACCTGTCTGCCCGTGTAACTTGCTCTAGGTACCTGCATATGTTGACCGAAATTACATTTTGTTCTTGTCTGTCGTCTGTCTGTATGCAATGCATGTATAGGTATGTCCTGGTGAAATGTGGGATTTCCAAAGGGATCATGCAATGTTTGGCAGGCCGCGGACTGCGATCTTACTCCGTACATACCTAAGTTAGGTATGTACCGGTATCGTTAAAATAGGAAAATAGTCACGTGTGAACTACAAATGCACATATCAACTGATCTCGCAACTGAGAGTCTTACATACGAACATTACACAATTCAGCTCAGCTTCTATAATGAGTTACACCGTATCGTGTAATATGAGCATGCACTCCACTGCCCTTTATTTATTTAGACGTAGCTAAGTGCCTAGCCGACTAGGTATAATATTGAAGCTCCTATATCCCTTGTTAACATCATTCCTGTGTACTGGAAGCGCCGATATGAAGCCCATACTCCAAAATTATCAACGGAGAGGTGGAGAAGCTACTCTCAACTTTGACGAAAGAAAGAAGTTAATCCCGTTGCGCCTCTTAACCCCTTGCATAGAAGTAAAATCACGTGGATCTCACCCCCTATCCACCCCGGTCGAGACCTACTCTCCGACCATGTCAAGCTCACGCCCATGGCCCGGTTGCCGGGAGGATTACAGCCTTATTTTTCCAGCGGCAGGATCAGTCCCTTACCTCTCTATGAATTACTCCCGGGGCAGTAGCAATGGTTATCGAATTATAATTTTGTTCTGATCCGCACGACATCCGATTGGATTGTCAACTACACTAGGTAGGTAGACTCCTTGCCTGGGCTGAACAAACAGGGGGGTGGGTAGGAATAGTTCGATGGATGCTTACATCGGCTTTGCCGCCTAAACCTGCCATGTAAATCACAGTGCCTTGAGTGCACTAAGACTCGTCTCGGCCTACGAGTTCTCGCCTCCCGCCTCCCCGTCTAATTATACGCCATCAATTCACTCGAAGCATTTGAGCTGTTCACCAATCTCACACCACTACCAGGAGCTTCCGGTCGGCATTGACACCGCGGATGTATGTCATCATTGGCAGAGGTAAGCCCATGATTACCTACCTAACAGGGGGCATCTCTTGAGGAGCCATCCTGATATGATTCTTTCTACACGTGTCGCTGCTATGACTGTTGTAGCACACTGGCTTGCCGATGCGGATTTAGGGTTATCTAGTTGTTAGCTGAGAGAGATGCTGAGAATCAAGGCGATCCTATCATTGGGTAGCTATCTCGCTCTACTCGTCACGCATATGATGCCCAACATCACTGGAATGCAGCTTGGCAATGCAAGCCAATGTAGCACTTTGCCCTGTAGAGAGTTCGTCCACGCTGTTCCCAGTATCCGCGGACGAGGCTCCTCCGCAAAGATGCTCACGCATAGCCGAACCCAGGGATCTGACTTGGTGAAAGCTGCCCCGAGTGGTAAGTCGATGATCTATTGGATCCAATGCGGAAGGCAGTTGCCCTAAAGAAGCGATATGGATTTGCTGACCCAATCAATGTTTCCTAAAGCATCTTCAGCTCCTCCAGACCCAGAGGCGACTTTTTTAGGTGCCCAGGTGTGTAATGGGCTTGGTTTGCCAGAAGTTGAAGATCTGGGAGACCTCGATGCGGATAATGGTGCGCAATGAGCATTGGATCACATCTCTCCCGACGGCAATAACGCGTCCAATATTAGGTATCTGCCAATATGATCAAGAGTCGGTCAAGAAGTGGTCTGGAGGTGCAAGTCTAGCTGAGATATTGATCGAGGAATTGGATTTGGCGAGTAGATTTGATCCTAGTCTGGAAGTTCATGCTGACATGACAAATTTCAACTTCCATTCCCCAGAATGTTGATGTTTCCTTTGGCCACAAGGGGTTCGAAGCAGTTTTAGATAAATTAGTCATAAGCGTTATCCATTACTAATCTCAGCCACATATGAATTTTATATCATGTACATACCTTCTTCATCCGAAACATTGAGTTCTTGAAGAATGGCGGAGGTACTGGAGTTGGCTGGGACTCGATGTCGTTTTCTTTTTCCAGTGATACATATTTCCCCAGCCACTAATAACTCGGATTGAATGTTCTCTTAGTCAAAGTGACACCGGAAATGCAACAATAGAAGTACAAGACTCCTTCTAATACTTTAACCAGAGATGATTCGTTAAACCAAGAATATGAGGCAGGAAAAGACGACAATGCAAGATGATAGGTCGTTTCTTTCGTGTTTCATACGTACTACGTGCCCGTCTGCCGTACTTGCAGCTGTAGTGCGAACCACTTTGTATACTTTTGTATACTATGTAATATGTAATGTGCTAAGTTAAGCAGGTCATGCGCCTGTAATCTTTTACTCTTCCCTGTGCTTTTCAAGTTACACAACACCTGTAGAAGGTACTCTAGGTATTACTATGGACTGGGTAGGCACAGCTTACATGGATCTGACTGGAGTAAGGGGAACCAAATTGAACCTCATTCTTACTACTGAAGCCAATGGAGACGTCACCACTACATCATTACTTTCTCAGGTAGCTTAGCTTCCCCCGCACACGCCCATGAGACCCCACTATCGTCATTGAACAAGCCTCCAAGTTACAGGCCCTAGTGATACAGACCACTAATTTAGGTGTTCGTAGGTACATACCTACATAGAACTTCTGAACTTGAACTAATGTTCGTTTGTGCATCGAAAATTTCTTGATACTTTAAATAAGCAATAACCCGTTCCTTTTCTAAAAATTATCTCTTCCACCCTTCCTTGTCCTTCAAAAACTTATTCTCCGGACCTGGGTCTAGACCACACGAACCCTCGACTACCCCTATCCTAGCTTGTCTAGTATTTAACACGATCCCAGCGTTCATCAGTGACCGCCCACGATGGAGAGAATTCACCATAGTATGTATATATACCTAGTTTCTAGAAGCCTGCGTAGAAGTAGACGAAAATTAATAGTATATTAGTAAATCCATTCGCGAAGCGTGATTCTCACAGCAAGAATACTGTTATAACCTGGTATGTGTGATATTACCACCAATACATATGTCTTGCAAACACTAATATGTATTTAGTACGTTGTGATGCTATTTCGAAAACTGCAAATATAACACTTATTAACAAACAACAGACAAGGTTTTGACAACCATCACCTGGCTTTTGTCCATCATCGTCTCCATCTACTACACCTTCCACTCCCCTCACGATGGCGTCTGGGCTCGTCGTAGGATATGGCGTCAGAACGATGCGTATAACACCGCCTTCCAGATGAACCACATCATCGCCAGCATCTACTGGTAAGCCCCCATAATACTCCTCGCCCATTCATGTAGTACCCCCACCTAATGTAATCACATTTAGGATCGTTCTCTTCATCTTCCAGGGAGTCTACATCGGCCACCTCTTCTCCGGCAATGTAGAGAAGGCAAACCAGGCATGCTCAGTGGGAAGCCACTTCATTCTCAACAACCTGCTCCACTTCGGCTTCGTCATGCTGTTTGTGCGTTCGTATTTCGGTTGGGCCGAGTTGTTCATCATCCTCAACTTTATCAACCTGTCGTCCCTGTACTTCCGCCACCCAGGCTATGCTCGCTTCATTCACCAACCCACTGTCTCAGGCCCCTTAGCCTGGACCTTCGTGGCAATCTACTGGAATGGTGCCATCATGGTCCCCCACCCGGCCTCGCTTGTTGCGCGCATCTTTGGCAATATCTTCATCTGGTCGATCCTCGTGTACGGGCTGTTCTTCATCGTCATATACAAGGTAGGCACCGCAACCCCCTCTTCACAACACAATGTGCATGTGTTGACTAACTATTTCACAGGATTACACCATGGGTTTCAACCTTAGCGTTTTGTCTGCTGCCATTGGGGTGTCCCAATTCTTCCGCCAGGTGATTGCGTTCCAGTGGATCTTTGCCTTTATCATCATGGCAATTCTCTTCATTGCGACGATTGTGGTCGCTATTCCCGCGGCTACTGGCAGAGGTTCCAAGGCCCCGGGTGCAGGTAATGGAGACACCGAGCGAGCACCCCTCCTTGGTGAGAATTAGAAAGAATCATCTTTTTCTTTTTCTTTAATCCAAAAAGCAAAGAAGAAAATATTTGAAAAAGGTGTTGGACACGATTTCATATGGCTTGCGAATGCTTGCGAATGATGGAGATTGTAATGCATTGTTGGGAGGAAAAAGTGATAACTTCCCGCTCATTTGGATACTGGGCGGTGCCCCGTACAACTGTCCTTTCAAACAACCCCTATTTCAAAATTTGTGTGTAATGGCGTTGGTGAGGAGCGGGATGTACCAGATTTCAACTGTTTGTATGCAATGTGGAATTGCTCTGCATTAGCATTTCATTGTTATCATTTTTAGCATCCTGCGTGGAAAAAGTAATTAAATAAGACCGGCAAATAAAAACACGATTGCTATGGAAGATGATGTTGAATAACTTCAAGTGCATACGTTGCTGTACACACTAACAGTGAGTCAAATATTGGTGATAACACTAAGTTCAGTGGGGTTGTCTCCCTAAATTATGGATTGGTCGCTTTTTCAGTCGTTAAATAATACAGCAATAACTTCACTCACCTGCAATTCACCCTTACCTTCCAACCCTCGCGATGTCGATTCGCGGAATCTTCCCCATCGGCATCGGCACCGATATATGTCAAATATCCAGAATATACAGAAACCTGAGTTCGGCCACGGGTCCGCGGTTCATCCATCGCATCCTCACACAGAAGGAGTTGCAAGAGCCTAGGACGTCGACGTTGCTGCAATGCATCCTCAAGTATGATGAGAAGCAGCAGCATCAGCACGAACACCAACACGAAAAGCGTCACGCTGATTCGTCACCCTATACCCCGAAGGACCCGGCGATACTTAAAGCAGCGGAGTTCATGGCAGGCAGGTAGGTGGATGCATGAGAAAAGGAGAAAGAGTGAAAAAAAAACAGTGGTAACTCATATCCGGGACTAGGTTCGCAGCGAAAGAAGCAGTGATGAAGGCCTTTGGGTTCCGGAAGATATTCTTTGGCGACGTCGATATCACCTACGAGCACCGTCTACCATCACCTGGGAATCATGGTGAAGAGATTAAGGAGGAGGGGGGGGAGGAATCTATCACTGGATCGTCACACCCGGACGAGAAAGAAGGAGACGACAGTAACAAGGGTAGTCCGCCGATAGCCGTGGTTAAGGGCGATGGAATGCACCGGGATGCGTATGCGCGACTGAGCATTAGCCATGATGGGGATTATGCTGTGGCCATGTGTTTGGCATATTTTAACGATGCAAAGGCGTAGGATTGTTAGGATATCTTCACTGTAGAAATAGTTGTATCAATTCTAATGCAAACAAATTCAAAGAAACATCAGATATTTAACAACTAGCACACCAATTACTAACTAGGTACATAGAACCAAGAATGACGCACTAAACCCACCCACCTAACTAACCTTAGGCCGATTGGTGCCCCACCTTAAAACTGAGGGGGACGAAAGAAGAGAGTTTATAAGCGCAAATAAAAGCAGCAGTTTCACCGAGGACGAACCTATCCCTTTGAAAAAAGTGGCGTGGTTCACTGTGAGTCGGTCTCTTAAAGCGAACCAACATTCAAAAACCATTAAAAATGAGACTGCTTGGCGCAATGGTAGCGCGCGGTCCTCCTATTTCCTGTACTCTATTGCAAGAAATACTTGGAGTGATAGACTGAGGTTGCGGGTTCGAGTCCCGTGGTGGTCGCATTAATCTTTTTCTTTTTATTTTAATGTTGTTTATCTTCTTCTGTTCGTCTTTTTGATTTATCTTGTTATTATTCTATCTTCTTCAACTCTTCTAACTAGTACGTTTTTGTCGTTCAATGTAACATTTTTTTTTCCCCAAACCGCAGTGGAAATAATTGTGCTGATGTCCTTCGTAGGATGCGTTCATGCTGGCTCCCGAACAAGGCTTTGTATGTTCAATACCCTAGGTATTGTTCGTTTCTTTCGCATCCATGACTGGAGTACCTGAATGAGCAATGCTATGTAGTGTTAAGCTTAAATAGTAGGTAGTTGTACCCAAGGATAGTACATAATAGTATTACATATGATTTCATCCGATATATGAAGCTAAATGTACATCAAATGTGATCAATTACTACACTCCATTAAGAGAACATTCGTACATACCAAGGTCTTTGATCATAATTCATTTCTCAACTTGAGGGTTCGACATATATGCACATGCATGTGCAGGTACTTGGGAGGTACTTGTTATAGGTACGAGTCCGTACGACATGTCACGGTACATGGAGGTAAGTACTTAGGCAGGTAGGATCGGAGATTTGATCGCTTTCCGGGGAAGGTACCTGGAAGCTTGAGCCGCAAGAGCAAACGACAAGGATAATATTGATTGGTACATGTACGTAACTGAAGTCAAAACATTTCGAAACTACAAACGTTTTCTTTTACTTCTTTTCATCTTTCTTCATACAAATGTACACACATACACACATACACACAATTAACGTCAAGATTGTCGCCTTGATCCATGATCAATTTGCTCATGTCACACTCTAATCTGCTCATAAATCTACACCGTAGAATACATATGTACCTTAAATACAATTTTGATACCTGAAACTCTGTTTCTTTTTTAGCTTCCCAAGGTTCTAAGGTTCTAAGGTCCTAAGGTTTCTACTTTTTTTTTATTTTTTTATAATTGTTATCTATATATCGCAATGGCTACCGATCTTGATTCTCCCAAACGCCAAATCACTCCCATACCCGTCCCCGTCCTTCCAATTTCCGTTCCCCAAAAACGACCTCTCGAGGACGACCACGCGCCTCCCATTTCCTCACCTCTCAACCCCAATCCCGATATAAAGCCTAGTAAAGCACAATCGTACGACGATTCGACCGCCATGGCGCGTGAAAAGCCAGCTAGAAATAAAAAAGATGCCGTCAAGAAGCGAGAGTCCAAAGCTGGTATTGGTACCGACAGCTCTAGAGCAACACCAGATCCGAAAGTCAAAGAGCTTCCGCCCAGCGAAGCATCGCCTCTGCGTTATAAGTTAGCGCCCCCGAAACCTGCCGACTTCGAGACTGCTAGAGGTCCTGTTTTCGTCCCTCATCATGAGGTTCCTGCTCTTGACGGATCTACCATTCAATTCTACCAGACTCAGGAACAGTAAGTCTCATTCCATCCATGACTACTAATCGCAACACAACTTGTTAACTGACACCTCTTTAGTGTCTACAATAAGAAGAGCTTTCATTATTTACACTGCATCGCCGACCCGACCTTCCCCTCGTCCTTTTACTACCGACAAACCGAGCCGGAACCCTTTGGTGCCCATATCAGCTTCGAGGATGCTGCGACGCATATGTACATGGACCAATTAGGACGGCATATTACCACGGACAAGGGATTCAGAACCGCAAGAGCTAATGTTGCCATTCGCCAGGGCCGATGGTATTGGGAATGCAAGATTACAAGAGGTGTTCTCAAGAGCAACACAGATGGAAGTGCCGAGTCGCATGGCCACGTACGTATAGGATTTGCAAGACGAGAATCTTCCCTGGACGCGCCTGTTGGGTTTGATGCCTATAGTTACGGTATTCGGGACGTGCAAGGCCAAAAGGTTCATATGTCGCGACCAAAGGATTTCTTTCCCCCAGGTGAAGATATCAAGGAAGGCGACGTGATCGGACTTGAGATTCAGTTGCCCTCGGAGCATCTACACCGAAAGGTCGTCCAAGGCCTGTACAACCCAGTTGTAGATGCTGCAGACGAAGAAGAGCCGACTGCGGAAGCGGCCAATATTGTTCGAGACCGAATACCCATCCGTTTCAAGCAGCACATCTACCTCGAAAAGATTGACTATCACACTACTAAGGAACTTGAGGATCTGATGAACCCGTCGCCCGCCGGTCCTTCAGGCACGATAGGCAGTAGACCCGGCGACAAACCGAACCCCAATCATCAAGTCCCAGCTCTTCGAACGCTCCCCAATTCTCACATCAAGATTTATAAAAATGGTGTGCTGATGGGCACGCCATTCACTGACCTTCTGGCTTTCCTGCCGCCGGCCTCGAAGCCTCAAGCCCAGATCGGCACGCGCGAGGGCATGGATGATGGCATGGCCGGATACTATCCCGCAATCAGCGTGTTCCGGGGTGGCGCTGCCGAGGTCAACTTTGGACCAGATTTCTGGTACCCTCCTCCCGATATCCTAGACGTGGAAGGGGACGGTGATGTTGAGATGGTGGACGTCGATGCAGATACGGTCCGAGTAGCAACGACCTCGACCGCGAACACGAAGCTGGATAAGGTTCGGCCAATAGCAGAGCGGTATGACGAGCAGATCGTGGAAGATGTGGTGGCGGATGTTGTGGATGAGGTCGACTTCTGGATGCAGGACGGGGCACGCGTAATCGACCGCACCGGCGGCCGCGATGCCAAGGCCGAGACCACGGCAGGCATCGCCCCGGGTCGTGAGGAGATCAAGGAACTCGTGCAGGACGATTAGAACTTGTCGCAACGCAGAAATGCCGCTTATTCTCCTCGACCCAGCACCGTTCCCCCAGCTCTGACCAGAGCCTCCTCTACGATGTCTCCTCTCGCCAGAGCTGTCACCAAGTCCAGGGCTTTCAAGGCTGCCGCCCGTGCTTCCGGCAGAGCTACCTCTGAAGTGTCCAGCACAGCCTCTCCCGATTCTGGTTCGACCGTCCCGTCTAAGAGGAAGGCTCCTTCTCCTCTAATGGACCCTTCTTGGGAAACTGAGAGTCGAAGCCCTCGCCGTCAGCGTCCGCGTTAGTAGGGGTGGGTAGATGAGACCCCTGGGGATAAGGGGAGAAGGTGAAAAGGTGAAAAGAGGTCTCTCCTAGGTACGCGGTTGACTGTATCAACCAACCTTCGATGATAATTTGGGTTGGATCTGCAAAATGAGGGAGTTATTTCTGAGATATGAGAGACGTGGCTAAGATTTTCTGGCCTCGTGTAATTTGGAAGGGCCTGTCTGAGATGTAGGAGGCTACCTACGAGGACGAGGCGACGATGTGAAGCTACCGGTACCTTACCTTATCTACCTCTATAAGATAGGTACCTGGCATGTAGCTGGTATTAGTAATAGTCGTATGGATGGATGTACATATGCCCTCAACCGCGTAGAATAGGGGGATGATACCTACACAACAAGTATGCGAAGTTTTTTACTTACATACCCAGGTGCTCGCTCTCAATGAAGTGCCGACTCACTATTTACTTGTTCAGTTCACAATGCTGTCGTGAATGCGTGAAGAAGGGTCTGCTATGCATTAGGTAGACTACATAATCCATTCGTTTCCTAAGTATACTACTTACTACTACTACTACTACCTAGGTTCTTAATGTTGTTTAATGCTGAGCTTAATTCTCAAATGAAAAAAAAAAAAAAAAAAAAAAAGAAAAAAAGCTTAACGTACTGATCTTGGAATCATTATATCGAGTTAATTTATTCACTTACATAAGGTAGGTACTGTACTTAGTTAGTTAGGTAGGTAGGGTTACCTGTGCAGATGATGGATAGGATATGTTATGCATAGGTACCTAGGTAGGTAGGTAGGTATGTAATATTTGTGAACTGGATTTAGATCTAGGGACGAGCGAGTGGTGTTTTTTTTTTTTCTTTCGTCTACCTAGGTAGGTATGTTATTACTAGACATTGCATTTCATCATCATCCTTATCCAAATGCCTATTATATACCTACACGCCTAGCACCTAACACCTAATGCCTACCCACCAACCTACCTGCTCACGTCGACAGTTAAAGGGAACTCGTTGCTTGCTACCTCGCTTGTTATTTCACTCACTTGGCTCACTTACTAACTAGCTAACTGCGTACCTATGCGTAAAACATTCACGGGGGTATCATCGTGTATTCTATACGCTTCTGTCCCCTGCTGTCCTATTCCCCGATCGCCCTACCTATTGCTCTATCCCACTATCCATTCATTACCTCTGTCTGGCCCTTACCCCTGACCTCTTTCCCGAGCCCTCGTTTCTCGTTTCTCATGTATACCCAAGTACGAATAGATATATCGCGTCAAATGTGGAAGCAGAATCGCAAACTAAAACCATGATAGCTGCCCATCCATCCATTCATCCTTTCCATAACTTCGTAAGCTTTAGAGATAAGGAAAAGCAGTTCCTCGGGTAGTAAGTAAGTAAGTAAGTAGAGCTGAATCGCTTACTCCTCGCCCCTTTGTTCGCTCTCCTTTTCTTTCCTCTTTTTTTTCTTTCTCTTCTTCTATTTTTCTGAGCTTTTCCCTTAAAGGCAATCACCAACAACCACTACAAACCTCGCACTCACGTCTTCCCACTCTCCACAGCCGACGACGGCGCCGCGGACACAGGCTGCAACGTCTTCGCATTCGGATCCGCAGCCTCCAACAACTTCGTCTCCTTCTTCCCCTCCCCATCTCCCTCATCCTCTCCCGCTTCCTCCACCTCGACCACGATCCCTCCCTCCCCTTCAGCGGCAGCAGCAGCTTCCTTCTCGAGTCTAACTTCCTTCCCCCTCTTATAGCAATACCACAGCGCGCTGAGGAGCAAGAAGACCGCGACGCTCCACAGCACGTTCGTGCCAACGAACGCGGGCCATCGCACCTTGAGCGCATTGACGATCCCCTTCAGCAGCCCGACCACGGCGCCTGGCTTCGTGACCAGCTCCATGAGGTTGCCCGCGCTCAGCAGCTTCTTAGCGCCCTCCTTGCCCGCCTCCTCGCCGACTTTCAGCCCCTGGGCCTCTGCGGCCACGGCCAGGAGCTCGGGGCCTAGGCTCGAGGTCAGCTTGTCGGGCAGCTGGGCGACGAGCTTCTTCAGGCTCTTGGGCAGCTTTTCGTAGGAGCGGGCTAGCACGTTGTCGCGGTCCTCGATGAGGTTTACTAGGTCCCCGTACGCCGTCGGCACACCGTTGACGAGGTCCTTGAGGACTTGGGTGAACCGGCGCAGGGTCTCGGCTGACTCGCGCGAGAGTGAGAAGACTTTGTTGTCGGTGGACGAGGCTAGGTTTAGGTCTTCGAGGACGCGGGCGATATCGATTTCTTCCTTTTGTGTTTCGTGTGGGGAGGGGGTGGAGTCTGCTGGTGGGACGGCAAGATGTTGCGTATCTGATGAGTCCGGGTGCTTGCCATCTTTATCTTCTTTATCATGGTGTTTTCCAGGCTTGCGCTTAAGGGTCATGTTCCGTGATAAGTTTGTTATAAAAGTGAAGCGCTTTGGCTTGTTCTGGCTATCCTTTTCGTCGCCTTGCTTGTCTTTGTCTTTTCCCTTGCCATCTTCCTTACCCTCCTTCTGGGTAGACTCTTGCTTTTTCCCGCTACTATCATCTCTGCTGGCAGTACTAGAAGAGTCACTATCGTCAAACTCGATCACCGGCGTTTTGATGCGCGGGGGCAAAGGCGGTGGTGTCTCATCATCGCCATTGCCGACGTTGCTGACAGCGCTATCTGACCGAGAGGTAAGGCGCTCAAGAAACTTCTCGTCATCTTGATCGAGGATAGGTGTGTTCTCCGCAGATTCTAGGACGACTTCGGGGGAGGAGGTAGATGCGGATGGGACAGCTTCGGCACCAGTTTTCTTCGCATTCTCTTTCCCTTTGCCCTTTTCTTCACTTTTCTCCTTTACTTTTTCCTTCCCCTTCCCCTTTTCCTCGTCTACTCGCTTCTTCTCAGCCTTATCCTCTCGGTGTTTCTTCACCTTTTTGGAGGTGAAATACTCCATCATCTTGCCGATCAATGCTAGATATAGTCTAAGAATAGGTGTCTAGATACCTATAGGGATGTAGATGAGTATGGCACTTGAGTATATGAATGTGTTCGGTGTTAAGAGAGAAAAGATGAGAAGAGAATAAATGATGAGCAGGACAAAAGTTAATAGAGGCCAAAGGTTGAACCTGTTTTATCTTTGTCCGAGCGATTGGGAATGATTGGTCAACATGTCACAATGAACACTTGAAGTAAGTTGCTATGTAACGATGTACTGCATACTGAAAAAGGCTTGGCATAGGTCATTGCACAGCCACAATCATTTGTGGCAAAAGCTTGAATCCCACCCCTTTCACCCCTTTCCCCCCTTTCCCCCCTTTCCCCCCAGACTCGAATCAAGATTCAAATCTGAATCGAAGCGAATCGATCACAACGTTATGTACATGTACATAGATAGGAACAGGAGGCCTCGCAAGGAATAAAAATCATCCTAGATTTTTTGTTTTTACTGTACTGTAGTTTATCAGTTGCGCAAGCCTTGAGGGTATCTAACCGTACCATGTTCATTTCCGTTTCCATGTCTATTTTTGTTCCCATCCAGTTCTTCCCATCCTCTTAAATCCGTCAGCGAGATGAATTCATCGTAATATAACCGCAAGTAGTCGTGATAGCCACTTAAGGCCAGTAGCTTTGTAGACCGGTAGTCGATAATCACCATCGCCACACCTTCACACCTCCTCTTCCTCCTCCCCATACTCAATAGCCTGCCCAGCCAAACTACTCCTTCCTACATCCCCTCTACTGCTTCTTCCCTTCCCACTCCTTCTCCGTCCCCTCATGTACGCCTCCGTCTCCGTGACTGCCCTCTCGCCCACAAAGTGCTTCCCGTCCCAGTCGCGACTGCACCGGGGACACTTCCTCTCCTTCCTGGAGCGCCAGAACCCGTCGCCGCAACCGTCGTGGAGCCGGACGCAGCAGTCGCGCTCGGCGCACCGCTGCCCCACCGTTACTATCTCGCGGCACGCCTCGCAGAACTTGATGCGCTGCCACTCGTTCGGGTTCAGGTCCGGGTCGTTGTACCCGTCCACGAGCCACTGCCGGAGCTCCAGCAGCGCCCGCGCCGTCAGCGAGTAGAACCCCTCGCGGCTGCGCTCGAACCACCCCTCCTCTACCATGCTGTGCATCACGTTTTCCACCTCGCTGCTCCTGAGGCCTTTGAGGCCGCCTATGGTTTGCGTGGCTGCGCCGTTTCCGTCCTCCTCCTGCGGCGGTACGTCCTCGTCTTCGTTTCGCGGCGCCGAGCGTAGTTTGTTTGCCTGCATGCCATCGAGACACATGACTTCCATGCGCGGAGTGTTGTACTTATCGAACATGGCGTCGATGACCCGGCGTATGAAGGCGATCTCCTCGGCGTTATGGAGGGTCGCTAGTTGGGTGACCGGGTCCGAGGTGGTGTTGACGAGGGCGTAGATCCGCTCCTTGCTGACCTGGTGCGTGATGCTTCGGATCTCTATATCTAAGGGCGACGTCATAGTGGAAAGGGCCGAAACGTAAGATTCAAAGTCCTCCTGCGTGACATCAGCTGGCTCTGTCCCCTTGGCCTTGTCGCCTTCTTCTTGCTTTTCATCTATCGTGAAGATGGCTGCGAGAATAGGCTGTGCTTCGCGGAAGGTCATGGATCCACGGGATAGGAATGCTTGCAAGAAGGCTCGGTGGGTATCATTGTAGTACGCCTCCGGGCCTCCATCGTTATCGCGATCATGATCTGAATCGCTCATCGTGCCAAGCTAACTCAATTCTTCTTTTCGTCTTTGTAACTCTTTTCGGGTCAAATTTCAAGGCACTATTTCTCCAATTTTTGTTTGGAGAGAATTTTGAAAATTTTGGATGAAATAGAGTACTTGTTGTTGAATAGAAAATAGGTCGGCGTGTATATATGAGGTACTGTAGATTGCCGAGTACGTAAGGTGTGTTGGTGCAAAGTGTACGGCATTAAATTTAGGACCCCGCGATCCAAGACGCGTTTTCCCATTTATGTATCGATATAAGAATACGCGTTAATATGGACCCGCTTCTATTAAACGGCGCTTATGCGCCTCTGCGATGACCCATATTATATGTACATACAGTTGTACACTTTATAAGTTTATATCCATAGTACCTAGTACATACTACTACCTAGTAGTACATATGTATATGGATGTCAAATAGACAAAGTCATGTTGGTGAAACAGTAGGTAAATAGACAAGTCTACCTATATTTTATTCCCTTGTATTACAAGATCAATTCTGCCAAAATGTAACCAAACGTCCAGACCGCTGAGGCGAACCCAATGATACTTTTCCCCCAACCGTCTAGTACTGTACAGGCTAAGTAGGTAGGTAGGTACCTAGTAGTTATGAGCTACATAAAAACAAATCAAATGTGCTTTGTCGTGGCGTCGTCGTCCAGGTTTGGTGACATATGAGATCGGCTGTTGGAGCTCTTCTGTGCTGTGCTGTGCTGTGCTGTGCTGTGCTGTTCTGTCTATGTGTAGTTAAGAAATCACTAATTCTTCTCTCCTCTTCTTTCCTTCCTTCCCTTTTCCCCGCAATGCTTCGAGGCTGTTACCTCTCGGTTGTTGGGACTTTCGTAGTTGGCCTGCTATAATCTCCTGACTTTTGTGGCCCCTTCTTCCGGTCCATGAAGGACTTCAACACTTGTAACTTCTCTTCTGTGACCTTGATGGCTTCTTCGACTTCCCGTTCGTTCATTCGTTCTTCGCGCAACTTCTCTTCCACCGTCCGCGGCTCCATCATCTTCTTCCTAGGGGGGATGACTCCTTCGTTCATGCGGTGAAGGCCTACTCTCTCTTCTAACCAGTCCCACATATCGCTTTCTTCGCGTCTCCAGACCTCCTCGTAGGCAATGGCACGCTCCGGATATCCCATAAAGCCTAGCTCACGCCCATACGGTGCGCCCCGAGGCTGGGAATTAGAGCCGAATCCAAACCACGTTGCTACCAGCAATCCAACTAATAGTCCGTAAACGACATTGCCGGTGAGGAGCGGCCCTATAATGTCAACGATTGGTCCAAGAATTCCGTGGAGTGGTTCAAGTAAGCCCCAATCTTGAGACTTGGACACTGTCGAATCAGCTGGGCTAACCAGGCTCTCCTTGGAAGCCTGATGAAGCTTGCCCTTGACTCGCTTCTTCTTGCCCCCCTTTGTTACTGCACCATTGGCAGCAGCGGGACGAGGGCCAGAGGATACCATTGCTTTTAAGCTTGCAAAGAGATCTTTACAATATTGTGTTTGGCCATCCTTGGCACCCTTCTCGATAGGTCCTATGAAATGGTGAGTTTCGTTCTTACATCAGATCATGCATAGAGTTAGAGTCTCTTACCTTTTAGCCAACTCTTGCCACTCCATTCAATCGTACAATTGATTGTTACATGAGTAGAGTTGTTCTCTGCCCAAGACAAGCAGTATTTTGTCTTTACGCAAAAGACATTGCCGCTAGGCACATCTGGATTCTGCGTTGTCACCAATACGTTGACGCTCTTCTCGAGATCCATGTTCTCTAGCGATTCGGTGACTATGCATTTGGTCTGCTTGGGCCCTATCGAAGCATATAGCGGCTTGATATAACTAAATCCCCGGCTCTTGTTGTCTTGGCTTAAGCCTTTCTTGTCTTCCATCTGTAAGTCAGTGCATTTTTGCTCGCCTGTCAACCACTTTCCCATATACGCGACAGATGCAGGTCCAAACATCAAGTTATACACCTTGCCCAATGGGGCAGCCACAATATCGTCACCAACGACTATGTCGTAGTGGGCATCAGTATCACCGCAGTCTGTCGGGGCGTGGGTGGCTGGTCCTGGATAGTCAGCTGGTCCGGAAGGTGCAGGGGCAAGATCTGTCTTCTCAACAGCTCCGTTTGTCACTGCACCTGATACCTTCCTCGCGCCACTTTTCTCACCATCCGTATCGGCTGGGCTTACTTCGCTGGTTTGTGTTGCCTCGGGTACGTTATCATCGTCCTGGTCTTCGTCGTACACATCATCTCCATCATCGCTCCCCTCGTCTTCAGATGCTGTACCGCTCCGGCTTCCGACCACCACTTCGGCGTCTTCAACCTTCTCAGTTTTGTCACCGCCCGTGCCTTCTAACGAAACGCCATTCAACGAGCTTTGTAGAGAGGGATGGCCAAGCTTCCAGATATTAACAATGAGGTCGTAGGTGGAATCACGACTAGTGAAGCTAGCAAACACATGCTTTGCGTGGAGCGTGGTAATCATAAGACCATTCCTAAAAACCAAAGCAGTGCTGCGTTTTTCAACAGACACGATCTCGTCGAAGCTAATGACCAGAGTTGTAGTCCATCCAAGAATGTTGCTGCTAAAACACAAGTAGCCTTCCGAGACATACAGTCGGCCGTGTGCGAGGATCTCTCGTTGAAGTGCACAACTATAGTCTTCTATGAGGTAGTCGTCGTCCGGTACGCTCTTGAACAAAACATGGAAATCCCGGTTGCGCTTCTTACTCGCCACGGCAAACCCGGTAAGCTTCGGGGCACCTGGGGGGTGGGCGACGTTAGCATTAGCTGCGGCAATAGCAGCGCCGATGGTGTTTCCGGTACCTGCAGTCCCTCCAGTACTACCACGCTTTCTCCTCCGGCTAATAGCACTCCTAATGCTACCACTACGTTGGATCCCGGCCTTCCCTTCATACAAGCTCGTAGGAGGTGTCGTGACAGCTGTCTCGTAGACGGGCGGTGGTCCTATGGTAAGGTCTTCCGATTGGCCATCTTCCGTGGGGGATGTTACGTCTGCCGGCGCCGATTCCGAGCGAGCCCGCACATCTGTAGTAGATTCAGAGAATTTAGAAGTGGTCGGTGTAACTGCAGTACTTCCAGGCTCCGGAATACCTAACTGGCTCAAACTTAGATCACCCTTCCCAAGGGTTTTGACAGCAAGCTCCTTATCACCCATGGCGCCCCCCTGTCCAGCAGATGGTTCGACTTCCACTTTGTCGTCTTCGCTCGATCGCGTCTCCCTGGGAACGTTCGGCTTGGGTTTGTTCGCACCGGATCCGATATTGGAATTGGCTATAGAGGTACTTAAAGAATTGGCAGCAGTTTGGGCAGCAGAGAGCATGCTAGAGAAAAAGCCACCTCCAGGTGTCAGAGGTCCCGGATTTTCCGGGGTTGGTGTTAGAGGAGCTAACGTAATATTCGATAGCTTGCTCGGTCCTAAACTATTAGTCGATCCTGACCTTCTTCTTCGATGCGATATAGTATTATTGTTGCTCGAGGAAGAAACCACCACATTGGGAAGGGAATTGGCGCTAGCGGACGAACTCTTCCGCGAGTGATGCGAGTGATGAGACTCGGTTGGAGTTGGCGGTGTATTGACAATAACGGGAGCTGGGGGCTCGGACGGCTGAGGAGTGCGAGGACGGACAGGTTGGACGGAGGTGTCGATAGGCGCCGGGCTTCTAGACGGACGTGACCGTTCAGTTGTAGATGCTACCTTGGGGACGTTGACATTAAGGTCGGACTGTGAAGCAATGCTAGAGCCTGGACGGGAGACAGATGCGGCGGTCGACCTTCGGGATGACGCGTTCGATAACTCGTAATTCGGAGGGTCTATTTGGGTTTCGCTATTGAGGTCCTGCACACTACTGTTGCCACCGTTCTTTTTACTTTTGAAGACGTCCCTGAATCTACTGGTGGGTGATTTCGAGCGCTGCGTAGACGAATCCCTCGGTGGCTCCAAAGCAGTCTTAGTAGCAGATAATTGACGAGCCGGCTCGTTAGATAAGCTACTACTAGCGGAGTAGGTGACAGAACGTGAAAGGTTGTTTGGTTCGTCTTGATCCGGATGTTGGATCTCGGGAAGGTGATCGGCTTGAATTATAGGCGACGATGTTGTCAGTTGTCCAATTTGGGATGGGTGGGTTGAAGGAAAGGTGGGTCTAATTGAGGACCTATGAGGAGCAATTAGAATAATTAGAATGACTTTTTTTAATCTAATGTCTTTGACTAGTTATTTGTTATTTGATGAAGTTATGGGACAGATGGATGAACCGTGCTCTTCTTCCTTCTGTCGAACCTTGTTCTTTCTATGCAGCTATGATACTTTATAGAAGCAAAGCCACGGTACCGTTGTTTTGATGAAACGGCTGCAACTTTAAGATAATAAGGTAAGGGTAATATGAAAAGCACAAGCAGTGGGCAGTCAATAGGTACTGTGGCAGTACGGTGACAGCACTGATTACAGTGAGTAGGTATGTAGGTACGTAAAGAATCAAAGCTCTTAATAAGAATAGTTAGGTGGTTATTAAAAAAAAAGGTAGAAGCCGTTCACTTAGAACCTTGTAAGTGGAGTCCACTAGACTTACACTCCCTTTTAATAGCTCGGATGAGATTTGGGATATTGGGATATTGGGATATGAGCACAAGTTAATAATAACTTGCTCATTTTAAGTGCAACTTACTTAAGGCTGTTGTGTTATGTGTGATATGGAAGATCGAATAAGCTACCTTACCCTTGAATTCAAGGGGGCTTGAGGAGAATAAACAAGGCGGTGTTGAGAGACTGGTAGGCTCGGATAGAGGGGTAAAGGTCCCCCGTAGGCACACCTACAGTATGTAGAAGGTTGGATATGATGATCTGATCTGATCTGGATGGATGGATGGATGGATACATACGACACGGGGATGTACATAGGTAGATAAACCGGGAATAAATGATATATGAAAAATAAAGATAAATCAAGAATAGTTAAAGATTGAAATTCGTAGAGATGATGATAATGATGATGAAAGAAGAGAGATAAGATGAGAATAACAACTTACGGGTCTTCCTCGTCGGAATAGTACGCATTGGCATTGGCATTGGCATTGGCATTGGCATTGGCATTGGGGTTCCCATCTTCATCCTCTTCCGCCATGTCGTTGGATCTCATAATAGGATAGGTTCGCTCACGGCCACGACTATTTGGACTTCTTCCACGGGGATGTTCCTCGCTACTAGCTGTCGATCGGAAACTCTCATTCGAAGGTTGTTTCTTCCATCGCTTGGTAGCCAAGTTCTTGGGGAGGAGCTTGCCAACCTTAATAGTATCAGGGTTATGATTGCTTGCGACGTCCATGGCGTTGGTCGGCAGCCGTTGCTTGATGACGACGATGACTTTTAACAGCAAGCAATTATGGCTGAAGCGGCGTCGGTAACACAGCAGGAAGCTAGAGATACTGTATCATAAAAGTTCGGACAGGAATATTCCGATATGTCGATATTCTGTCCTATCCTTTACCTAGGTAGGTAGATAAAAGGTAATAAATGAAGTTGAATACTATGTAGGTAGTATACACTTATGAAACAAAGACTTGGGAATCTGAATTGTCGAATTATCGTGTTGAGACTTGAGAGAGGTCGGATACCTAGTGCGCTAACTACTAGATCCCTGGGTCAGTACTTACTACTAGGTAAGTCAAGTACTGTAATCATGTAATGTAGTATGTAGTAGCGTATGTAGCTATTACCACTTTATCGCGATGACTGTCGTCATAGTCTTTAGTCTCGCCCTTGCATTTAATTGGATAGAGGAAGTCAGTTGCTTAATTGATTAGGTACTACTAACTAGTAGTAGTTGACCAAGTGATGTTCTTTTCGGTTTCGGGGAACTACAATTCCTAAGCTTAGATAGCACTATGTATGTAATTTGAAAGATTTCGACATTCAAAGCTGGAGATATAGGGAGTTTATGGACGATGTGAATAGGTGAGTGGTATAGTAATGAACATGTTAATGCTTACGACGCAAGACGAAACCCACTTTGTTCCCGACACTCGCTCATTGAACAACATTGAACCTGGAAAGCTTCATGAATCAGACTACCGAAGCCCCTATGTAGATAGTAGATACAACTTCCTTAATAACATACGTACCTACCTGCTGCTAGTACATATGTAACTATGTATGTATCGTACAATACTACACATGGCATGCACTTGAATACCTACCAGCCACTACCCTACATAAATGAGGTGTAACAAAGAAGAACTAGAAGGGGAAGGGACCGTGGAAAGGTCTAGCCAATGTAGCCATAACCCACTGCGGGGCCAGGGGGCGATAATATGTATGGTCATGGTGCATGTTAGCCAGGCTAGCCTACTATGCTTATGCTAGATAGTACTTAACTAGCTAGTACTACTAGTACCTACTGGCTGGGAGTGGCTGACACGGTAGATGCCGTCCAAACTTCTGTGGGCATCGGAATATATGCTCCCACTATAATTAAAATCTCCCAATGAAAAGATCAAATTGGTAACTAGCATGCAAGATATGAGATCCATGGGAAGTCGCAGACTGTGCGTTGTTGTGTGTTGTGTTGTGTTGTGTTTTGTTGTGTGTGTCGTGACTATGTACCAGTTACACTAACTACTAGTCTACTACATATGTACCAGTTAACTACTGTTAATAACTTAAAGTACTTCAATGTTTCTCTCTCCCTTTTCATGTTGCACCTACCAAATAGCTACTACCAAAGAGGGCCTGCAGCGTGGTACGTACTACGAACTAGTTACTCACTGGTGCATGTAAAGGCTACCTAGTACAATGCAGTACATAGTACCAGGCTAACAACGTTAAACTTGAATTGAAGCACGATAACTAAAATTAAATGGGTCCCCCCCTAAACTTCCCCCACCCCGCTCGCTCCATTTGCTAAATTCGCACTTCGTAATCCATTTTCCTCTTTACACACCCCTAGCTATCCACATCCTGCCGACGACTACACATCCATACGCGGATACGGACCACCGTACCTCAAATGTTTTTTATGAGGTGCTTAAACCATCAATATTGAATCACATTAACGCTATTACTTCGCCTCACAATATGGAGTCATCTCCCCTGATCAAGGTAGGATTCCTTTATCTTGATATCTCTTCCAACGATGCATGCCCCTTCCTACCATTCACCATAGTCATTAGCCATTAGCCGTAGCCGGAGCTCATCGAATCACAGGCGCATGACCATGCGAGAGCCGCATCAGTGGCCACCCACACATCTGATACCACCGTTGCAGTCAATGAGCATACTAGAGCTGCCGGCGAATTTGCCAACGCTGCTAAGAATACCAGCAGCGTTGAGGCTTTACGTACCTTGAAATTGCTTGAGCAGCATCATCGACGACTATCTGAACTTCTTCAGCTCCCCAACCAACAGCCAACGTCACAAGCTACCTCCGAAGATGACTCTCAGCCCAGCGAAAAAGATGAGTCTGCTACGACTACATCTTCATCTCCCACAAAACATGACGCCAACGAGGCTTCAAACGAGAAAAATCCACAGCCTTTGCCGACCTTAACCAAGCAGCCGCGATATCCTCCTCGTGATTTGGGGGCCTCCATCGCCAACAATCTTGCTTCTGCCCGGGGTATCCGTTCCAAGTATAGGTCCCAGCCTCTTAGCCCTAGTGTTTCTAATACCGAGGCTCCCGGCAATATGGAGACGGCATCTCGAAGAAGCGGCCCAAGAACCAAAATGCAAACTATGCTAGATAACTCCGACAAACCAAATGCCATCACATCTCCAGATAGTGAAAGAGCTACTAGACGGTCCAATGCTACCCAACAGGATGGTGTCACTGGTAAAGGACGAGCAGAAAGTGCTACAAACACCACCGATGAGGGTTTTTCAAGGTTCTACAGCGCATTTGGTAGTATCATTAATAGGATTTCCGCTCCGCTTGCCTTTGCCGGACTGCCCTTGATAAGCGAGGACCAAGTTGAAGAACCACCGGCCCCGGTCCCGGCTCCCGAGTCACCAGCCCCGAAGCGAAATAGGGTCCGAGGATCCCCCTATGTTTCCGCTGAACCTGATCTGAAAAAGATATATTCCAGGGCAGCTCTTCGAGCTGTGGCTCGCGATGGACAGTCGGCCAACGACTCGTTCTACGTTGTCCCTACCAGCGGTCATACCGCCTCGTACGCAAGCATCCTTACTTTCGCAGACAAAGAGAAGCGCCGAATGGAAGCCCAGGGTGCCGCAGGTGTCCTACTTCAAGACCCCGACGACGAAGACTTTGTCGACGCCAGGGAATCCCAAATCCCACGCTCGCCTGCACTCCAGAAGTTGTCGGGTAAGGCCCGTGCCGATAAAGATCTCACCAACATGGTTGAAGAGCTGTATCTCGAGAATAAAGGCTTAAAGGACATGCTGGATAAACTGAGCAAGCGTCTCCATGCGTTCGAGTCTATGTCACAAAACTCTGGAATGCGCCTTGCCGAGAGCATGCGTCTCATGCGTCCTAGTTCGCCACTCGCATCTGGAGGGAAAGCGCCACCAGCAATGGCGGGCGCGGGGCTAACGGATGAGGCCCTCGTAAGAAGGAACCAGGAACTCGAGGAGCAACTCCTAGTAGCATCGAGGCAGATGGAAGAAATGGAGAAGAGCTACAACAAGGCGAGAGCGAACCTCGTTCGCTACCGGGAGAAATGGGACCAGCTCAAAGCCGGGGCTAAAGCACGTCGGGCTGGTGTTGGTAGTGCGAGTGGCAGTGGAAGTGCTGCGGGCGTTGGTGGCGGTGTTGGTCTTGGTGGTGACTTAATGCAGGGAGGTAGAGGCGGAGAAGGGGGTGGAGGTTCAGAAGCAGGTGTGGATGATGGGTTCAAGAGCCCTGCTTTAGGTTAGGGGTAGTAACATCGTAGTAGTTACATTCAGACGAGAAGGTGAGATGAGTGGTAGGTAAGTAATCTACCTAACCTTAGGTAGCTAGCTACGCAGGGTGAGTACTTGCCTAGGTAGGCAGAGTAGGGTGGGGTGGGGTAGAGAGTAGTAGAATATAAACTGGCTTCATGTGACTCGATATTCTCATTTCCCTTCGCTTCCTTTCTGTTTTGTCTTGGTCGTAGATATCATGCCTACTTAGGTACCTATGTCCCTAGGTAGATTGTGATGTTGGAGTTCAGCTTACCTACATGTAGCCTAAGAAATCTGCTAAGGTATAAAGACTACTTGTTTGTTTGTAAGTAGATAGATAGGTACTAAGGTAGGTAGGTAGGCATAGTAAACACCATTTCACACGCTACATACATACATACATACATACATACATACATACATACACTCGATTCTCCTAACCTAAAGGAGGCCTAAATAACTAACAGTCTTCACCAACATCATCTTAGGTACCTACCTAATATCCCTCGAGTAGGTAGGTACTAGCTAACCTAGTGACTTCAATGTTACCTTAGGTACCTAGCAAAGCACAACAAGCCAGAACCACAATAGCAACGACGACGACAACGGCAAGGAGAGCAACCAAGGAATCATGCCACACACGTGCCTAAAACCTAGCTGTACGTGAGTAGTGAGCATGTACATACGTACATCATCTTCACGGCATTCAATGTTGGGGTAGAAATTAGTACATATATACAATACAAACAAGCATGTGACTCTTTTTACTCCTTACTACTTGCCGCTCCTCACTAACTCCCACTACCTACTACTTGCCGCTCCTCACTAACTCCTCCTCCTGCTGCTGCTGCTGCTGCTACCGCTACCGCTACTCACAACTACGCTCGTATCAATAACCTCTAACCTCTAACCTCCAAGCCTAAGAAGGCCTCAAAAAAGCCCGAAAGACCCGATAAAGACTTGCAAAAAAGCCCCTATTGTAGACTTCCAAAGTTTCTTGGTATCTCATCTCATCCTTTCAAAACAAAATTGCAAGTAAGGCCATGTCTACATGCAACATGCATTTCCCCCCTACTTAAAACCCGTCCTATAACTTTTCTTTTCTCCTGTCTTGATTTTAACTTTTTTAGGCGCTCAGTCAGACAATTAATCAATCAACTCCTGATGCACTGCTTGTTGTGAATGTAGGATATGCTGGTTGTAACCTCCCATAGTTAACCAAAGGTAGGATAGATATCAAAACGCATCCTCCTTCTCCGCACCCGGCGTAGACGTTCCATTCGAAGGTGACATAATGTAAGGTGCCTAGGGAACATGTTAGTTTTCCACACCGTTTCCATTTATAAAGGGTCGGGATATCACTTACCAAGACCTGTTTTGCATTACAAATCCTCCAGGCCATGTTTCTCACATTACCATCAGCAGGAACCACTACGGATGCGAACTCAATACCGAACATCTGGTGAATCGCGTAGACCAGTCTCTTGGCATATTTCCCATCTCGTTCCACGTGACCACCGAATGGCTCCTCAGGCTTGCTCGGTGCAATGTCTGGATCTCGGTCCAGACAGTTCTGCACCACTGGCAAAAGAGCTGACTCGATGGCCTCCTGAAGGCCACCCTCATGACCTGCGTCGACGTCTTCGTAGTTAAATTTGTTGACATGAATTTCGAATGGCTGTGAGATAGACATCACATTGTGATTACCATCATGGTGGTAGCGGAACTCGTAAACACCTTGAGTCCACCAAAGCTTGTCTCCCGCAAAGACCATCTCACCGCTCACAAGGGTCGTGTCACTCTTTTCGGAATCGTCTATCGATTGGTCCCATGACAGAATGCCCTTGTCTGCCGTAGTAGACTCGAACTGGTTGGGCACAGTTGGAATCCATCGTCCGAGGGATGAGAGCTCCGTGATCTCACGCGAGGGATTATCTGCTACCATGTAGAGACCAATCCAATCTTTTTTGCCGTGATTTTTCGGAGCCCTCCATTTGACCTTGATCGGCGCACCATACTCGAAAATCTTTGTCTCTAGCTTATTCGGAAACCGGCCTGCTGTGCCTTCCTTGCCACTAGCACGCTCTGACAAAGCAGAGACTCCAGATGCTTCTCCTTCTACAGAAAGCGAGTAATGCTTCGGATCGAACCCAGCAAGATCGGGTGACAGCTTCGTCAAAGTGAGGCGAGCAGGGTATTTGTTAAATAGTGCGGTAGTATCTCTCACCATCGTTGAAACACCAGCGGCTAGCTTGGGACGGGCTGCGTCGAGGAACTCTTCCACAAAATGGGTAGTCTCATCCACAACCTTGTTCATGCTTGATTGCCATCCCACCACAGGCGGGGGTAGGGAACGTCTGATGAATTTCGTCAAGCCAGCTTCACGTCTGAGGCTACGACCATAAATCTTTTGCATGTGCGGTTTCTCGACGAAGTGGAGGAATGCAAGAGTAAGCAGGTGGCTAATCAAGGCCAGGGCAAATATGGATCTGCTCCATGTAATAATTGCCGCACCCCACAAGCCAGCAGTGCCCAGCACTCTCTCCGGGTTGTTCAAGTAACGGTAGATGGAGGTGTATGTCAATTTGACGCCCTGGTCGAAGAAGAAATCCCCAAAGAACCAGCCGAATTCGCCTAAAGAATCGTAGATGCTCACGGCAGTCCATATTTGAAGGGCGATGAGACTAGCACCGATGACATGCCTAAGCAGTACGAACCCGTAATTCCAGTCGACCGGAGCACAGTACATCTTCCAACAGGCCGCGGCAAAGGTGACATAGCATAAAGTTTGGGATATATGATAATAACCCTTCCATTGCCGCCAGCCTTCCTCTGGTGTATCTCCAACCTTCAAGAAGTGACGAGTCCACGCTTTGGAATTCGACTGTCGTGTAAGTAGTATGCCCAGTCCAACAGAGTACCACAACCGAAAAGCCAGGGCGAGCGAAACGAAAAGAGACTGGTAAAAGGGAGTCTGAGGCGTCACCACGGTGAATAGAGCAACGAGCGCCATATTCAAAAACAAAGAATAATCTATAGTTCGTAATAGATCAATATTTTTGATGCCCAGCAAATTATGGATCCGAGGCCTGGTGGGCACCTCACTCTTGCGAGTGGGAGGATTGTAGATCTTTTGAATGTGAGGATCCTCGATAAGTACCAGAAAGGCGAGCTGGGCAGCATGGGCAACAATAGAGATGAACAGCACATTATAGCTAGCCGCAATCAAAGATATGCCATAATAGCCAGCATAACCAATCGAGTACATTGGGTGAGGTGCCATCTCAAATACTCCATCAAAGGTCAACTCTTGATCAACCAAGAAGAAGAAATCGCCCCAGTACCAGGCATAATCCTTCACCACACGATGGGCATCCAGTTTGACCCAGACGTTGAATCCTATCAATAGCCATCCAAATAGCCACCGGCCAATTGTAACATAGATTGACTCCCCGGCGGGGTGGTAGGCACAAGCAATGGCGAACAGGCAGTACGAGACGAAGTCGCACATCAGGATGAGGTCCACAAGTCGCCTGAAGACTAGCCAGGTATTGTACTCGATTGGCGCTTCCTCAAGCTTGTAGTCCTCTGGGATCTTGGTCTCCAATTCGCGCTTCAGGAGCTTGTAAAGCCATGGGCGGGGATTCTTGCCAGTGGTGGGGTTCTCAAAGAGTTTCCATTTCTGCGCCCAAGCCACTAATTTGTTCTCATTGGACTGGAGTCGTAATAGGATGCCAATGCCTAGGTTGTAAGATGTGCGCCAAAACAGAAAGACAACGGCGAATAGAGGGCACGCAATGGTATCGGGGACCATGTAAAGGGTCACAATATGTATGGCCAAAACAGCTAGGACGATTCTATCTGATAGGTTTTTGGGTTCCCTTGGGTCGAGTAGCTGCGATACCATGTCATGGGTAGTAGGAACTGTGAAGACTACATAGAGGGTCAATGGGTTAGTATCGCAATATTGCCTCATATATTCCATTTTATTTCTTTCCTTTACTTACCCGTTCCGTCATTGGTGCGGCCATAGGTCTTCCTGGGTTTTGTAGGTGCTGTTGGCGTCACTGGCTCTTCACTGCCATTATCACTTTCATCATTCACATTTGTGTCAATCTGTCTACGGCGTAGCTCGCCGGGAGCAGCAGCGCCATCGACAGCGCCATCGGCGGAGATATCACCGGTGGTACTCATCATCCCTTGAGATTTGTTGTATTGTACTCTAAGGTAGTTGGGTATGTAGCTGAGTAGGTATGTAGTTTAATGTTGAATGGTGGTACGTAATGAACCTCGTCGACTTGCCGCCATGTGAAATCAGTGAATAGTTGTTGAAACTATGGCGAGGGTTGTCTAGGGTAAGGAAAGGCCACCGGTAGCTGACACTGGATAGGTATCCGAGTAGACAAGATAAGACAGACTCACTGACAGAGAGACAGAGAGACGACTTAAGTACTATATGTACCAATACCTAGTACCTACATGTAGTGGTGTTAGAGTGGTGTAGGTATGTATGTAGACTAACCGTACCGGTTGTATCGATGTATGGTAACGTTGAATGATTTGGCACACGGAGACGAAGTGGAGAGGAAATGTACAACAAACGAATAACACTTGGCAACTTTAAAATATGCAGGTTTATGTGTACAAGTTATACATGGGGAGACAAAGCCAGAGAGTTCGATTGGGCGAAGTAAAATGTAAAGAGGTCCACGTGAGTTGCTTGAGATTTAATGCAATTCATGGATCTGCTGTACATGTACCTATACATGTTGGCTGCTACGACCAGACGTGATGTAATTTTCCAGCCTTAGCTTTAAATGCCGGGATTGATGTCCTTACAAACCAACTAGATATGGATTGGAAGTCTTACCTAACACATGTGAAAAAAGAAAAAGACAAAAAAAAGAAAGCCTTGTGTAACTTGGGTTCGAATTGGTCACAATCATTTGTCCTTGAGGCTGAAGGAAGGATTCAATTCCAATGTACGCCACCTGCAAGCAAGCATTTCGCATTCGATGGGTGGATGGGTGGATGGGTGGATGCAATGGATGCAATGGATGGATGGATGGACAGGCACGGCACGTTCTGGAATGTACAATACGTACATTTTAGTAGTAGCTGTAAGCGTGCTCGCTTCTTGATTGACTATTGATAAAGGGAAATGTTACTGGCTGATAATAATTAATAACTAGACGGCGCGAGGGGCAGGGCGGGGTTGCACAAGGTTAATATTAGCCTGCCCTGTAATGCCCTAACCTAGCTGTTACATGTACCCAGATAGATTATCCATGATTCATTGATCCCATGTAACATCTAGTTAGTTACCATGTAACTACTGATGTAGCTCGGTTATTGCATCGCTTACATAAGACATCACATGTCAAGACCACATGTGCAGCACCTGACTGCTATTTACATTAATTTTATACGCTACACAATAGGTATTAATCCCTCTAATATTCACATCCTCAATCTGAGCATGCATGACACATACGGCTCTTATGTACAGAAGGGAAACCGGAAAATGTCAGATTTAACACAAAGTCAGTCGGCAACTTTCGAGGTAGTCAGTCATCTTGATCCTCTTGCGGCAAGGGATTCATGTTTCGGTGAGTTAACGAGTGGCGCAAATTGTGGTATGTAGGTAAAGGGCTTCGTTTTGTCTGTTGTCCTTGACGAGGAGTACTTCGAGACGAATTTAGATGTACATATTCATGGATAAAGGGCAAATACATTGGGCCTACAACTTTCTATGTATGCCTTATACCTACCGACATATACGATTATTGGTCAAGCTGCAGCTCCATGCATAGGCACCTATACAAGGAGTAAGTGAGTGGGTGGTAACTAGACCAGGCAGTCAGATGGCTTGGTATTTATCAGCATTTGAGATTGCCGTAACCAGAGTTGCGGCTTGGGTTCCCAAGCAGCGCATACGAACGAACCAGTGGAGATGAGCTTCTCGCCCTCGGCTCGGAGCCACCCATTGAACATCATCATAATATACCTAATAACTACGAAGGTTGCGGCCAAAAGTAGGTACGGACCAAAAGTTCACTTATGGGTTACAGCACATTATAGCTTCTAAGTGCGCTATAATATAATTAAAGTGCTATAATTGAAAGAGTTGTGGGGGACTTGACGTTGAATGTGTACCTGGTAGAGCCCTTCGAAAAGTGGCACACTATGGGGCTGAGATATCTTTTGGTCCGTACTTTTGGCCGCAAGCTTCGTAAACATATCACGATGAGAATCGCAGAAGTAGCACATGATATACATATTCCTCTTTGTAAAGGAAAAGGAAGAAATGCATTTACCTGAAATGGGCTGGCTTATAGCACGCTAGACCATCGTCGCTACAAGTTTACCCCCCCTTGGTTTTGACGCATATTCCTCTAGTAACATGCCCGTAAGATTTTATTCTGTCATACCCATGTTATACCATGCCATGCCATCCCTTTCGTTACGAGTCCATTATACATGCTGGGTAGGTATCTACTTAAACAGTAGGCTGCCATCCAGCCACGAACCCACGACTCCATGATTCCATAAACTACCCAAGGTACCTGATAGCTTTCTAAGCAGCCTTCTTGGCAAACTCGACGCGAAGAATGAGATGCTTGAAACCGTAACCGTCCATCTTGCTGCACGCCTTGACTGCGTCGGTTCTGTCTGCGAAGCTGATGAAGGCAAAGCCCTTGGCGAGGCCAGTTTCACGGTCCTTGGCCAAGAACACACGAGTAACGCGGCCGAAGCGCTCGAACATATCTCGGAGTTCGCCTTCCTCTGCCATTTCGGATACCTAGTAAATGTGTTAGTAAAGAGATTTTGTATATAGGTATATAAAAAGAAAGAAAAGGAGAGGAGTGGGCTGGAGAATAAGATTATAAGAAGAAAGGTACTCACGTTGGTAACACGGAGAGTTGCAAGGTCGTCGCGCTCTCCATACTTGCTGCCACCCATCCTCTCGCCGCCACCAGCAGCGCCACGGTCTCCTCGGAGCGCAGGAGGGACATAACTGCCCTTCTTGCCCGCACCGGCCGTACCCACAGCAGCCGCGCCAGCCTCATCGCCCATGCCAGCCGCAACATCGCCAGTGCCCTCGGCGTTGATAGGCGCCATGGTGTCCTTGTAAGGACAGCGGGCAGTGAAATGCTCGCCGTTACAGATACGACACTTGACGGTCTTGTCCTTGAGCTGCTCCTTCATGGCGTTGGCGTTAGGGTCCTTGTCCTCGTCCTTGGTGTCCTTGCGCCAGTTGGTGCTGAGGCGGAAGATGATGTTCTCGGCGACCGATGTTGTGTCCATCTGTGGGCCAGCGCCGTCCTTCTCCGATAGTCCAAATTTCTTCCAGTTCTTGCGCTCAGCTACGCGGGGGTTAACTACCTCGCGGTGCGTCACCAGGCGGATGCGTCGGGTCGTCTTGACCTTTTGACCATTCTCGTTATATCTGTAAGTGATGGTGGTCTTGGTTCCATCCTTGTTGTGGATGGTTTGTGGGGGAGGTAGCTCGGTGATGAGCTCGTCGCCTTCGTCATCATCGGCCCAATCTCTATTCGGGGGATTAGTACATGAATGGGGGGCCAAATATCAAAATAAAATATTTTGGTGATTGCTGACCTGTTCTTTGATGCCATATTTGCAGTTTTGTATTTATTTTGATTTTATTCCTTTTCTTTAGGTTGTCGCAAGAGATAAAATTGAGTTCTGGTTGATGATGGTGAGTTTTTTGTGCGATTTGGAAATAAAAATAATAAATTCCAAGTTGAGTTTCCGATCTAAAGTGTGGGGTTTCGAATTCTCTTATCGGTAGGATTAGAGTTGCCCCGCCTATCAATTAACTCCGAAGGGCTCAATACTGGCTCAATACTTCGTACTAATGAGGCTTAACTACCTCTAAGCACTTACATTTCTTAAGTGTATTTTACAACTTCACAACCTTAAAAGCTTCACCATTTCACACACGATTATAGGAATTGGCATTGTAGTTCATAGTTAGCTGCTTCAAGCACTTTTCTTTTCTTTTACACCTTTGTTGTACTAGGTAACATGTACCTACATAATACCCTAATCTTTTCCTTAATAGTCCCATACTCCACAAGTACCTACAGACAGTAAGAGTATAATGTCTTCAATGTTCTCTTACAGACACAATCCCCAGTAATCTAACACGCCATTTCTAATCATACCCATAATCGCGATAGAGAGAATATCTCTCTACCTCGTCTTCATCTGCTTCATGCTCGCGTACAAATCCATCATTAAACTCCATCCTAGCCCAATCCCATATACGCCCGTAATGGAAACAAGAAATCAATCAAAAAAAAAATTCAAGGAAAAAGATATCCCGTAAGGGTGCGTTTTAGTCTTTTCAGCAAGTAGAGTCTATACACGAGCTCGGGGAAAAGAAATAACGCCATCATCGTCATTAGGGGTCGTAAGGTATACAGTAGTGTACACAAATGCTGAAAAGTAGGAAAACAAAGTAGGGAAGCAACCTATTGTGCTCTGATGCTCCTGGGTTGGTTGACCGGACGCTTCATCGGGATCGGAGGAAGAGCACAAGTCGGCGGAGGAGCCGGAGGAGGTCCATCGGCTAGATGAGGCATGCTCCTCCTAGTCAAGAGAGCCTTTGGGCTAGAGTTGACTGCTAGGAACTGCTTTGCCGAGGCTTCATGTTGCGTGGACTTGAGTGAAGGCACCGAGCGTTTAGGTGAGAATATTTGCGGTGGCGTCAGAGTGTAGGCAGGCTCCTCAATAGAGGCCAAGCTGGACTGCTGGGGAGAAGCGATTGAGTTACGATTTTGAGGAGTCGGATTTTCAGCTAGCAAACTCGTGCGTTTATGGAGTGATTGCGCAAGTCCTGGAGTTGCTAAACTCCGCATCTCCAGAGATGAAGCAGCTCTCCGTATCTGCTCCGGAGCCTCTATCAATTCTATGGTATTGGCTCGCTTTGGCCTAACGAAGTAGGATTTACCTGTTTCGGGCCGCGGATATGTTCCGCCTCGCTGTCGAGGCCGGCTGCTGGTCTCGACACGGTATCCTGGGCTCACAGAGCGACTGATTGGTCGTCCTTCCTTAATCTGCGGGGAAGGAATGAGACTTCTAGCGACTTCTATCCTTCCGGGCGGACTCAGCGTTGGAACATTACTCGTCCGAGGTACGAACATAGAAGGCGAATCGGGCACTTTTATGACAGGAATGCGATTAGTAGAGCCGACAGGTGACATAGGCGACGGTTGGTCAATAACAATAGAAAGTGGGCGAGAAATAGAAAGCTTTGTTGGTGGCTTCGTTGGTGGAGTCTTCCGGAATGGTTTCATAGGTCCATCCCGGTCAAGCCCTTCTGGCTGATCCGCTCTGGAGGCGACGGTCGAGAAGTTCAAGGAGGAATACCGCCTATTTACAGTGTGAGGCACACTAAAGTTGGGAACATGGCCGTGGGACAAAGAGGCTGAAGTAGTCGGAAGCGGACGGCTACTCGCATCTAGGCGAGGGTCGAACCCGGGAATCACCTTTTGGATCGATTGTCTACGACTGGCAATTGCCGCGGCGTTAGGGCGAGGGCGAGGCTGAGGCTGAACCTCAGGCACTGACGGTAGTACTGACAAGCTTGTCTGGGTTGGGTAGTCGTCTCCCATACTTGAAAAGCTCGCTCGGATAGGTGAGCTTGTCGGAGACGATTCTGCCGATGATAAAATCGTCCGTTGCCCAGATGAGATATAGGACAGCCGGTTATTGCTTACGTTGCTTCCACTATCACGTAGGCTATCTAGGCGTTGGCCGTCCGACGAAACCATGCTCGAGCCATCATCCAAAGTCGATTCTGACAGTCGGTCTAATGGGTGTTCTACAAAATCGTTCTCGGTAGGATCCACGAGGGCATTCTCTTGAGTCCACGAGAAATCCCGTGAGATGATGCGCGAGAAGCGAGCCGAGTCCCGAGTGACAAGGTTCCTCTGACTTGTTTGGGTTCTTAACGTTGCAGCATTGGCACCGACCTCGGGCTTCCCAGTCTCTGAAAGTTTCTTTTTACCGCCCAGAGACTCAATCTCCCGTCTCAATATGGCAAGCCACGAATCCATACTACCAGGGTTATCGAACACAAGCAACATATTAGACACCTGCCGCTTCTCGATTCCTCGCATGGCGAGCTTAGATCTGAGAGATTTTGAGTCAGAATTGGGGTTCCCCTCAGCGTCTGTGGTTGAGGTCACTCGAACAACCCAATGTTTTCCAGGGATGAGGTCACTAGCATAGGCAGCTGAGTCTCGGTTGAGGTTGAGAACCTTCTCGGGTAACCTATCGAATGAACCCTCTGCCGCATACTGGAGTAGGTATCCAGACGTAACCAGCGCATAAATCTTGCTCGTCCATTCCGTAGCAAACTTGGCCCTCTTTTTCTTCTCTGTGTCGCCCTTTCGGTCAAATACAGTTACGTCACCATGGTCTTGAACAAGATCAACCCGTGAAACACCATTCGATAATGAGCTACTTTTGGTCTCGCTGCGACGGAATAGGCCATCAATGGAGGCAACGCACGCGGGTAGCGTGGCATGCTTTATCGCTTGGGGGTACATTTGGAACAACGGCGGTGGATCAAACCCAGTGACTGGGCCTATTGTTTTCGGTACCGTTGACTGACGAAGCTTAGCCCTATGAGCACCAAGGCTATCCTGACGTGTCCGAGAGAGCGTAGGAGTTTCGACCTTGGCCAACCCAGCTGAAGATGGCGGTGAGCTTAGAAGTGACAGCTCTGAGCGAGAAGACTGGAGTCTCTGAGGCCAATTGCCGAGGTCTGCTAACGAAGTACGTATTCCACCCTGTCGAGGTGGTTCTTGTGGGGGAGAAGCCCCTTGCGTCGTTGTTTGGCCGCCATCCTTTCCAGTTTTGGACTTGCCAAAGATATTTCTCAAACCAAGTCTGGACTCACGCTTCGCTAATTTCTCTGCTCGTAGTGGCACTCTGTTCTCACTCTTCAAAACGGTTATGTCTGGTGGCCGTGCTCGCCGCATATCGCGTGTATGATTTTGGAGTGCCTCAAAGCTTGGGACTTCCAGGCCGGTGCTGTTTAGGCTAGTAACGTTTATTTCAGCCATTTTATATTTGATTCGTCGACAGTTGTCGTTGCTGAGTTAGCAAGGGTACATTGGCTATTGTTCGTCTGAACAGTGTCCAACTATTATTGGTGGATGGATAGGCGGTATATATGCAAGTCGGGCAACCCAGAGAGAGACGGACGGACAGACAGAGACCGTAGAAGATCAGATGGTGTGCCGTGAAGAAAGTTGATATTAAGATATGCTTAGAGAACGTAATAGACTCGACGCAATGAGAGGAATGAGGTCTAAAGGCATGTGACAAGTTAAGTGTAGGGCATAATAATATAATAATCAACAAGAAGCGCGAATCCGGAAAAAATTCAGTTAAAAATCAAGGGATATTAGATCATGAGGGGAAAGCGAGGGGGACTGTGACTCTGTAAGAAGGAAGTCAAGGCAACCCTGTGTTGTAAAAATTTACCACCGGATCGATCGTGCTTGATCCGTGCTTTGGAATTATAATCCAGTAGACTGTCCCAACCGGCACAACTACCCAGTTGGTTATCCTGCGAATCTGACTAGGAAGACGTAGCTTGAAACTAATCTTGGAAGTTCAGGATCAAGGCCTTGGAATGACCATTAACCTGGGTACACCGTAGAAGATTTACCTGGGTTAGGTAGATAGATGGATGGTCTTGAGATGATAGACGATAGACGACAGACGATAGATGTAGGGGAGCAAAGGATTGGATAAGTAAAGGTAAAAGGGCCAAAACTGTAAAATCGTGAGAGGGTTGAAGAGCTACGAGGGTGGGAGAAGAGAGTTTTAGAGAGAGAAGGTTAAAATTAGGAATCGAATCAGGAATCACGTTTTCTTTTTCGAAACTCGTCAGAACATTAAGCAGAAAGTCACCGGCAGACGGCGTATACTTTTAGGCATCACACTAGTATAAAAAGGATTCGCGGTCTCCAGGTTCTCTTGCGGCCTTGAAGACCCGAAGAAGATGGAATATGCATGCATGCAGGTTGGACAAGGGGGGTTTAAAGAAAACGAAAGCGAAGCTGCATAGGTATCATTGATGTACAGAATAGGTATTGTGCCCAAGCTTACATAGAGTAATTACATATAATGATACATGCAAGTTACGTCTCGAGACTCGGGAGTGAGACGTTTCGTTTTATTTTTTTTATTCTTTGATTTTTTTTTTTTAAACTTTTAAACCCATGTGTATTTACATATGTAGTTACTGAAGTGCAAAACTAGCGACGAAAATGGAGGACAATTGAAGGAAAAGGGAAGGAGAGGGCCGACTTGGGGACTGGGCTTAGTGGGCTGGGATTCGCAAAGGGAACCCCTGTTGATAGTTCAAACTGTCTAAAACCCACGAAGCGGGTTGGACGGTGATGACAAGGGGGGGATGGTGGACTTGCCCAGAAAGTTCAAGGTTTTGTTAGGGTCAGGGATCTCTCAACGTGCTCAGTGGGCTCAGTGTGGTGCTAAACCCCACTGGCCGTGCGGTCCTGGTGTAAGACTAAGACTAGGCAGTTGCTAATTTTGTATTACATACCCAGACAGTCTAGTACCTTAGCAGATACTCTATTGATTGATACTAAATAGATACATCTTCACTACATAGTATACCGCCTAATACCGCCATGGAATGAGGGATTGACAGGTACCATGGCTGTACATTAGTAGCTGACAAGGCGGTCTCTCCGGCTAGAGTTGCAAGGAATATTCATTGAAGAGCAGGGAAACGGGGGATCTTTTCAGGGCTATCACGACTTTTTGTTTACTATGGATTTACCTACCTAGGGTATTTACCTGAACAGCTCTAGTTATTAAACAACTTTCTTGCCAAATTCCTAATCCATTGGAATTGCTCCATTTTATGCCCAGATAGGTTGTTCTGTCATATTTGATCTTGCTACAAATAGCAAGATCGACTTTTACTATGCCTTAAGGGTAGATAGAGATAGGCGCAGAGCACGAAACATGTTCGTCGGTCCTCATACTCGGAAAAGCCAAGCTTCGATGGGGGTCCTTCTCTAACCTAGACATTGGCATACATACCTACCTACCTGATACCTAGCCAGAGTTAGAGATCTTTGAATCGGAAGAAGAAGAAGCAAAAAGAAGGAACCCATTCGTTTCGTTTTTGGAACATCTCGGATGATTCAGAAAGACCGGCTCAAACAAAAAGCAATCGGCGCCTACAGAAAAACGAACGCACATATGATGATATGATAGCCCAATCGCATATCGTCGACTTCCAGTAGGGTTTCCAATGTTGTTTTGAACCTGTCATCAAGAAACGCGGGTCCAAGGGGGTACATACTCCTCCCCTTCCCCTGCCCCTGACCCGCACTGGCGAATCAACGACGTGCTGGGGTGTGATCTTGCTGGTGAGCCGCGAAAGTGTTTGTTTGGGGGCAACTACGCGCTACTGGGCTGTCAGTGCAGTTGGTGGGTGGGGAGGAATCTAATACATAGTAATGTATTATCGTCACCGCATACGAATTTGTCCAGGGTCTGGTTTTCCTACTACATATGTAAGTGGAGGGAAGCAACTTGCTTTCGGTATTGCATCGTTGCATTGTTCTGCGAATTGCTACCATGATGTCTGTTCATTGACATTCCCCTCATCGACCAGAACCCATTCCGGTCGAGCAACGTGCGTAGTACGACTGTACTCGGGCACTACCTACGAACTATACCCTTAGTTCCCTTATAAGTGTCGGATGAGTTGGGGGAATTGGAGGTCTGTTGGTTGATCTTAACGGAGGATATGACCGAGATATGGATGCGTTGGAATCATAATAAATCGGCAATATGTAGCGAATTCTACGGGCGACTATTGATCTTACACCTTACTTACACTTACAATATGCGCAACATGCGTATCTACGTTCCGGGTGGCTGCAGCTAGTTGTGTCAGACTGTCTCCGGTATTGATACAATGCTTGCTTCACTTGATGATGCCTTGCAGAATTCGTTGAGAAATCCTTCCCCCCCTTTCCTTACATAATGATATACAGTATCTCCTGGCAGCAGACTATCGAGTAGGTAACTATTACGGGGGAGGGGATGGGAGGCAATTCGAGAAAAGCTGCCAAGTCAATGAATGTGATGAACTGCAGAAACAAAGCGCCATTACCTTTTCGTTATTGCTGATCATTTCCCAAACTTGGCGGTGGCCTTATGGATCAAGACTACGAGAAGTTCGATGGGCAAACCAGCGGGGTCTTTTTTTTTTTTTTTCTCCTTCTCCTACTCCCTCCTCTTGCGCTTTGACAGATTTACATGCTCGGGATTTTTAGCAATTGGGCCCTTATCGAATAATATTGTTCTCGTGATGGGTTGGATCGAGTTTAGTAGCTTTTCGAATTTCATGCCTACATACCGACCTACATACATACATGAATGAGCAGCTAGTATTCACCGTATGTATGTAGGTGCATTCCATGCTTGCACGTACGTACGTATGTAGGCATGTATGTATGTAGGTACGCATGTATGTACGATGCCCGAATTCGTGATGTTTGTTTGCTCCAGATAACTAGGTAAGTAACCTGATTTAGACTTCCAACCACGTTTTCCCTCCCGTGCCTCAAGCCGTGCCGTGTGGCGGCACAGAAGATGGAAAGCTGCATACATATGAAAGGTAAGTGCCTAGGTTAGTTACCTAACCTTAGGTATGTACGTTGTGGGATTTTGACAATTACAATTTAGCTCAGCTGACGCTTTTTCCCCATTCTCGTCGTTATGTATTTTCTCCCAATCTGGCAATACGACTTTTGTGTTTCCATCGTGTCAATTGCTGGTCCACAATGGTGTGGGTTTTGTTTTTCCCCATTTTCTCCTCTCCTCTCCTCTCTCCCTCTTTTTTTTTTTTCTCTCTCGAGTCAAAATTCCCCAGTTTCATTTTATTGACATCTCGTCATTCCCCAAAACAGAAAAAAACTGCGAGCTGTACGTATGTACAGTAACTAACCTATGTAGGTAAATGTTGGTCTAAAGCGTATGTAATACATAATAGGTACATATTATAGTAAACTGTTCACGGAGCAGACTCCTCGACATCTAGGCCAATACAGACCAGTCATATCGGCCCGGCACTTAAACGCCGCTATGTGGCTTTCAGGTTAGGCGGGTGAACCTTATGGAGAAAGCCAACAGCGTGGAAGATCCGCTACTAACTATTACGTATTTTATTATTTCAAGTTTCTCGGGCCCAAGGGGAGAAAGAAAAAGCTTTGGTTTTCTTTTTCAACTAATAACTACTTAATAATAATGTACCAACCAGAAACTGATGCCTCCGAACATACGTAACTATGTACAGTAGCTAGTCTCCGTGTCTGCCCTACATAACGAACGGGTGCTCCAATTGCTACATAGTTACGATGTATGGTCTCCGTCTCCGTCCCCCAATCCTGAGCCCCCCTGTGGCTGCGACGCGTCAAGCTCCGTCTTCCAGTGCTGATTGATGTATGTATGTACTATGTTATGTAGTTCCTGCAGTAGTGGCTGGAGAACGCCGGGATCTTCCACCGAGGCTTATGTGTGTACTATGTAGTTGGAGTTTGGAGATTTCCCCTGAGCTATTGTATTGCATGTGTAGTGTATGTAGGTATACGTATGTAGCTTGCTAATCGATTTACGGGGCTAATTTCAGGCTCTTTTTCTGTTCGTCAGATCTTTGTCGCGAAGGTGATGGACTTTTTTAAGAAGCAAATATGATGATGATGATTATTATTATTATTATATGCCCTTTGATATAGGTATGTAAACAGGTGAAAACAATGTCGCTTATCATTGAAATTAATTCATGCGGGTAAATAGGCATACCTATATAAAGCCCAGATTATGCATTTATTCTGACAACGCAGCTCCAGCTGAGCGGCGCAGCCTAAGCCTAACTCTCTTCCCACACGAGATAGACAGACACGGGCGGATTCCGTGGGTAGGTATGCTCATCCAACGTCCTTCTTGAGAATCCTTCGCAACGGCGCGAAATCTTATAATTCAAAACCAACCAACCAACTCACTGATAAATTGACCAACCAAGTCATTAACCGTATCCTCCCGCGATACCCCTTTTATGGCGGCTCCTTTCATCTACACCCCTACGTCTGGAACGAAGGGCGATGGGGTCTGAAATCCTACTAACCGCCACAAGGGGTACGGAGCAAAATGCTAGCAGGGTCGCCACGCGCAAGATTCTTGGATTGGGACACCTTGGCCATCTCCAGGGTTACGGTACCCGAATCACCGGGTCTGCGTAACGGCAGCCGTCCAAGACATACATACATGGTATCGTCACAGAAGCATAAGAAAAAGAAAAAGAAAGGAAAAGAAAAGGGATTGGCCACTCAGAAATCGATTAAACCCCCCGGCAGTCGAAGCTTGTAGGGTTCTAAGGAAAGGAGACCCGGTAGTGTTTCCGCAGCGCACAGCATCAGCATACATATATGTAAGCCAACGGTAAGGTACCCGCGAATCATAGGCGGACGATGCTTGGAAGCGGCCGCCTTATGCATGTAGATGATGCATCGACCTGTATGTATGTATGTATGTATGTGACGCTGATCAAGACGGAGGTCCACTACGAGTCATCAACCCCTATTCTTCAAAGCAGCCCAGTCCTCAGCTGAGTTGCATGAGCAAGCTGAACATACCTATGTATTGCTTTTCCTCCATTCTATTCCCCCACAAAATGTTCGCCGACTTGTACAACTTCGATATAAGTAGGTACATATGTATGCAATCTACGTATAATCCAGCCTTGACCTCCCTCTCGGGATACGATGATGACGATGCTGCCCGCGTGTAGTCTTACTCAACTCGCCCAACTTACCAATCAATATGCAGCTATGCTTGCTCAAGAAATGACCATGCGGAGCCAGTACCGCATTTCAACTTGTAACTAAATCGTTGCTGAATTATTCCACTGACCAGCCGAGAGTTCCGACTGGAGCTGAATCCACACTCTCGTATCTCGTATGGATCATCGAGGTCCGACTTTAGGGGTATCCGCTTTCCGTCGTCTCGCATAAGCCTGCCGGGCTCATCTGCTGCCGAGGCAATTCAGCTGGCAACAACGAAAATTTTCATATATCAACTGAATTCCTAGCTATATCAATTACCGTGCGTAGTTGCATATGCCCTAACCGTCAGTTCATTTTGCATTCTTCAAGAGCGAAGCGAAGAGCCCATGACCTCATAGTGTCGAGCTAGATAACGGCTGGTATGTAGTCTTCGATCACTAAATATGCACATGGCAACACTAGGTTCGAGGAGGTTTCTTTTAGAGCCCGAGCTTGGCGGTTTGTCCGTCGCTACCCGCGTCATTAAGAGGCTCTATCCGTGCTCATGTCTACGCCAATGTCGATCATTAATACTTGCTACTTAGTGACATTCTTAGTCGTATAATAAGTTGCTGCGGATGGTTTCCCGAAACATAAGTGCCTGCTGCCGTCCCGGAACGGGTATAATGCTCTACCTTATCTGATTCGTAAGGATACGAATGATACCCCCATTTCGGCGTGGCGTATTCGGTGCATGCGCGTGTCGGCACCCAAATCTCGGGTGATGCAGTGTAGATGATAGCGACAGCTAGAAGAATCATAAAAAATACCATTGACTTCGGCCTAGAGTCATTGTTGTGTGATAGGACAGTCATATCCAAAGCGGGACGGGGCAGATTACCTATTTAGGCCATCGTATCTCCGGTGGCATTATCCTGTGATATGTGATGTGATTGTCGGTGTTACACGTTCCACGGCATACAATAGGCTGCAGACCAGATTCCCTCGTTGGAGTAGGTAGTCTATCAATATCCTTGGGGCTGAGGCTGTGGTTCCCACCATCGGGATGTTGAGTATAGATAACCCGAAGGGACTCGACTAGCTCTTGCGCAACGAGGCAGCCTGCTGGATTCGCTGGCTTGTTTGTATGTTTACCCTATTCATTGGCATGATATCCCTTTCATGGTATTCGAGATGGACACTATAGTACTTATTAGAATATGACGTTAGGTAAGTATTGAGGCAATATCTTGGTTTATATTTCAACTGAGCGGGCGCCACAGTTTATGCCTAAGCTGTTATTCAATTAGAATGTGCAGTTGGTCTAGTATCTTTGAATAGAGAACCATATGAAGCTAAATAACCTAGCTTAGGCAGTTACTTGACCTTACAACTTACAACGGTGGATGACAACTTGTAGCGACCGAGCGTTAAATCTCCAAGATCTATGACATCTAGGTAGTACGTAGGTGAGTGGTACGTAGTTTGCTTGGAGGGACTGACACGCAAAGGGCATTGAATGTCCACGAGACTCCGAATAATATGAATCTACATACATCTTCCTCTCGAAGATTTGAAGATCCATGGTTTGCGTAACGTCATCGGATCGACATGTGAACAGTGGATGTTGAAGGCGAAGGACTTGCGTGTCCCTGAAGGCGTGTCCCTGAAGGTCCCTGCATTCAATTTTGTCATAAGGGAACGTTATTGTGTCTGCTTTCGGCTGGCATGGCAATTCGTAACTGTATTTACGTAGGTACTTTGCTTGTTGATATTGAGGGCTTTGGGCCTCGATCGTCCAATCAATGATGAATATTTAGTCATGGATACAGCCGTAAATATGTATGTATGTATAAATGTAATGATACGAAGAAGGTTGTCAGCGACATCTCGTGGTGTTAGTCACACTCGTGGTGTTAGTAGAAACAAGATCGGAATGGGTTGATGGGTTGATGATGGTTAAGCGCGGCTCGCAAGACACAGCCGCGAAGAACGAAGGGCCCATAAAAGAATGCTTATGTAACAAGGGTCATGACCAGGCAGCTGCCAGGGGCTACACCAGGGTTACAGCAAAGTCACATGAACTTGAATGGCTCGAATTTGACGTCAATCAATGTTACTTTCAAGTTTCCGGGGTAGGTGCAACATGTTGGAAGCTTCAACTTCATTCATCTTGTAATGCTATAATGTTATAACGCCCCTTCCCCAACTTGAAGCAAGCCAAGTTCCGTTACTCAAGTTTTTTGTAGGTACCGAATGTACTACATAGGTTAGGGGCTGTACCTAGTAGTAATAGCTTAAATTGATACGGCTGTTACTCCGACTTGTCCAGGCCCTTTTTTTTCCTTCTCTTTTTTCTGATCACAAGTTGGGGAAAATACAGTTACAACATTCGACTTACCTTATCACCTGACCACTCTCACCAAACACAGACGGACCACAGACGGGACAGACGGGTCCGACTTCAGCCTTCGCGAACTGGCAAGGTCGTTTAGTTCTCCAGTCTCCAGTCTCCAGTCAGTCTCCATTCTACATTCTACATTCTACATACATACGTGTGCATCGTGCATCGTGCATATCGTACATATTTCAAATCCCCCCCCGGTCTGGCGTTGGTGCCATGATCGCCCTTTTAGTCGCCGCCATCTTATTCGGTATCCTTTAGACGATCCAGATGATCCATAACTCTGATAACCTACAAACTACAAGCTACTTAACCTAGTACTGTACTGGATTACGTATCGTACATACAGCACATACCTAGGTTAGGTACATACGTACATACATATACATACATCAATACATACATACCTACATACCTACATACCTACATACCTACATATCATTACATACAACAGGCTGCAAGCTAACAGCTAACTTTCCCTCCACTTCTTTTTATCACCTGGCACCTCGAAACAACTGGAGTAAGCTTGGTTCGAGGTTGGCCTAGCTAGGCAGCTTGGCCACCTGTATCCACGCCTGCCGGGTCGCCTCTTATAACCTCGATCTCCAGGATTGCCCCTCCACCTTATACCCCAAATTTATACGTCAAAGTTATTAATATTGCCATTACCGACATGGCACCCGACCTTAATTCACTTCCACCATCATCACCATCAGCAATACGTCCGCGCATCATGACATCTTCAAATGGTAACGGAGACTCAGCTATTCGTGGAGAGTCAGCATCACCTTCTCCTCGATCTGCTTCAACTTCACTGCAAGCTGCCGCTACTATGAATGCCGGTCTTCAACATGAACCTATGAGACGTAGGTCTTCCTTGATTTTCTCTTACTTCTTGCATCCTTTTCTTCTTCTTCGTATTAAACACTCGGCCTTGTTTGTTTTCTAACTTGTTCATCTTTCTACAGGTTCCTCGAGCAGTTCTTTGTCACGACAGCGACAATCACCACAAATGGGCCGACGCCGTTCCACCGTTTTGATGAACCTACAACTCAATGACCCATCTCTCCCTGGCCCGGGCGAGATGGTTGCAGAAGGTGGAGGTAGCGTGCATAGCACATCCAGCCCTCAGCCCATGGCTATGTCCCCCCTTCTCGGCGGCAGCGGCGGCGATCCCCACCACAATAGAGCCCCCAGTTTAGGGGAGCTACATCAAGAACTTGAAGCAGAGCAAGAGGCGCAAGTGGTATGGGATACTATACTGATTTATCTAATGGTTCAATGCACTAATGTAGCGTAATAGAATCGCCTATTGCAGATGATTCGCCAACAACAACTCCAACTACAGCAGCTCCAGGCCGCTCAAGGCCACAGTCATACAAGCGTGGCGGCTGAGGATGCGACTCCTACGTCGGAGAGATCTAGTTCGGCGATTCTTCCGACTCCAATTACGCAACCTATCTTCCCAGCCCTTTCGAGTTCGGTCCCTCGCTCGCCTGTTTTGTCGCACCCTCGCTCTTCCTTTGATATAGCCCGCGATGCTCTCCATCGTAGATCCAGAACACCAAGTCGTGGTGCACCTTCTCCTAGGATGAGATCGACGTCTATTAGTGGAGAAAATGGAGAGCCACATCTTTCTGGGGTTCGTGATGAAATTGCGTATTATCAGGCCGAAACTCAGTCTTTGAGTCGCGAGAACCAGATGTTGCACCACAGAATTCGAGAACTAGGTGAGAGATACTATCGTAACTTACAATATAAGAGAACATACGGCTTACTATTATGTAGAACGACAACTGGGCGAGGTTCATGCAAATGCTTCGCTAACACGGGAACCGGCGCATCATTCGCATCTTACACAGTCTACATCGGTGTCAGAGGAAGAGGGAGCAACAGGGTCGTCTTCCACTACAGCAGCGTCTGCTGGCACTGCTCAGCCTACTGCGAGTGTGGAGACTGTCAAGGACGAATAAAGGGATTTCGGTTCTAAATTTCCCCATCTAGATACGGGTTCGGAATAATGGGCTACTCGAAACCGCAACGGGCAGACGGTTCCGTATTTCATGTGATCCTTTCGGATCAAATTTTCCGGCGTTGGTGGAATAACTGGTATTATGGACTGCAGGGGTGAGGGGTAACGATGCTATCATGCGGCGTGTCGTGATGTTGCCCGGTGTTCTCGGATTACATTTCTAAACCCTCTCATCAACGGGCCCCTCTTCTCGTTAGCACTCGGCATTGTATGCGTATTGTTTTTAAAACAACGATAGAGTAAGCAAAACGTGGTGCAAATCACGAAATTTGTGCGCCAAGGGGGTCAGGCCGGACTGAACTGTCTCGGTTCGTCGACTCGTAAGTATTAAGAGACAAGAAAAATAGTTGCACCAAAAATGGTCCGTAAATGCTTGTATTGATATTCGTGATTGTTGTAGTCACCTAACTACTATGCACTGCACATTGAAGCTATCAATAGAGCTACTGGTAGAGCTACTCGGATGGTGGGATCCGGTTGACTAAAGGCGGGTAGATCTAAAAGGGGTAAAGGGGAAAGTATTAAAGGATGTTGGTAAGTTAGTTACCAAGGTAACTAATCGATAAGAAACTAAGGTTACATATGTAGTTAATAAGGCGTAAAGTAACTCTGATATGATATCATTTTATGATATTTTTATGATATCATTTCTCCAATTGGAACGTTGAAATTCAAGTCTTCAGTATTCAAATATCTTTAACAGCTTTATGTACATAGTAATAATAGGTATTATATTATACTAACCTACATGATACTTGAAAACCGAACATGTTCCCAAGGACGGCTCGACGTTCATTCCAGCCGTTTAAGCTAATAAGTCTTGCGCATTCGTTTTCCAGTACTGCGCCTGCGAGGACCGATTTCGATCATGTGGTAAGTTACATACATATAGTCTCTCTCTTACCCCTATATTTATATATACCATACACGTATACACAAATCTACGGAATGGAAACTTGCAGGGCTTGACAGCTTACTAGGTACATTTACCCACGCCCTAGGTCATCGGCGGCGGCGTCGTCGGGCTTGCCATTGCGCGGGCCCTCGCTTCTCGCGCCTCCTCATCATCTACTACTACTTCTTCTTCTTCTTCGTCTTCTAGCAGTACGAGCACACTCCTCCTAGAAAGACACCCGCAAGTGGGCACCGAGACCTCATCGCGCAACAGCGAGGTCATCCACGCAGGCTTATACTACGGCCCGTCTTCGCTCAAAACCCGCCTCTGCGTCACCGGCCGCCAAGCCCTGTACCGCTTCTGCGCCGAGCGGGGGGTCCCGCACCGGCGCACGGGGAAGTGGATCGTCGCGCAGGACGAGGAGCAGATGGAGAGTCTGCGGCGCGTGCATGCGGTCTGCAGCAGTGGGGACTCGGTGCTAGGTCCCACGACGACCCCGACGCGCTGGGTGGGCCGCGACGAGGCGCAGGCAAAGGAACCGTGGGTCCGCGCCGAGGCGGGGATCCTCGAGAGCCCGGAGACAGGGATCGTGGACTCGCACGGCCTGATGGCGGCGCTGCACGGGCTGTTCGAGGATGCGGGCGGCGTCACCGCGCTGAACTCGTCCGTCGTCGGCATCGAGCCCCTGCCGTCATCTCCTGGCAGCAGCGGAGCACCCGGCAGCAGCGGCTGGCGCCTCACCGTCCGCGACACGTCCACAGGCTCAGACTCTTGCATCACAGCCGCGACCCTGGTCAACAGCGCGGGCCTCGGCGCCGCCGACATCCACAACATGATTGTCCCCGCAGCGCAGCGCCTGCGCCTCTACTACGCCAAGGGGAACTACTTCAGCTACTCCCCCGCCTCCTCGCCCTCCCCCAAGGTCTCCCGCCTGATCTACCCCGTCACGCCCCCCGGCGCCGGCGGCCTCGGCACGCACCTGACCCTCGACATGGCGGGGCGCATGCGCTTCGGCCCCGACGTCGAGTGGGTCGACTCCCCCGACGACCTGTCCGTCAACACCGCGCGCCTCCCCGCTGCGCTGCGCGAGATAAAGCGGTATCTCCCCGCCGTCGACGTCGAGGCGCTGACGCCCGACTACGCTGGCATACGGCCCAAGTTGCAGCCGTCTGGTGCTGTGGGCGCCAGCGGGGGCGGGAAAGGGGGCGGGGGCGGGTTTGTGGACTTCTACATCCGTGAGGAGGAAGGGTATCGGGGGTGGGTTAATCTGCTGGGGATTGAGAGCCCGGGGCTCACGAGCTGCTTGGCGATTGCGGGGTTGGTGGAGGAAATGTTGTATGGGAGTTCGAAGGTAGAGGTGTAGGTGGAGGAGGGTTGAGTACAGATGTCGTTTTCCAGTGTTTTTATTTTTATTTTTAGAAAATATGGGAGTAGGGGGAAGGATAAGGGGAAGGGGAAAAGTGTCTAAGTAACGAATAAAGGAAGGTGAAGGAAGCGCAGTAGAGGAGAATAGAGTAAAGCAGACTAGAGTAGAGTAGAACGTCACACCATATGCATGAAATGTATGTAATAGTTGGTATTAAATGCGGAAGGTATAAAAAGGTCACCATCACAGCAACACAACACAACCGCAAACCCTAATGTCGCGCAACGCGCCCCAGTGCCATCTGTTTACCAGGGAAGGTATCTGGATAGATACCTTGAGTAGGTAAGTAGTAGTAGTTATTATGTACAAGACGGCAAAAAGGACAAACCGACGACCGCAACGGAATCTTCATCCATGATGTGTCTTGTCGAAGCGACATGTCTCAACTTACTTATGATAAATGCTCTCAACCTCTGCGACCTTTCAACTCAGAAACCCTTCCCGTTAAAAGAGCATTATCCATCGGTAGGTACATATCCATGTTTCCTCTTTCCGCCCTATCCTCACTCTCACTTTCGCCTTCGCCTTGCATGTGAGAACGAAACGCCCTTCGCCAGACAACGACACAACGACACAACGACAACAACTTTTGGTTAGCGGTGGAGGGAGATGAAAGCGGGAAATGTATGAGACATCGATGCAAGTGCCATCTTCTCCGACCCCTCGGTGAAACAAGAGAATACTTCATTCCAGTTCTTCTTCTCGATGACGGAGGGAACAAGTGATGAACGACGCATGATATAAAACAAAGCAAGGCAAACAATAGAACCCTGTAACCCTTTCCCCATGCACATTGCGATCAATATAGCCACCCCAACGCCATGAGCATCCTTTATCAGAATGTGTAATGAAAAAAAAAAGCGCCAAAGACAAATGATCAACGACTTAGCGAAGTGTAATGTCTGGAAAGACCTTTCTGCTGTGCATGTTGACACGGAATTCATACACACCATCCTCAGCACCAATGTACCTAGGCATCGCTTGTCAGTCCACTTTGATAGCTCGCAAAGCTGAAGAGATTTACTCACAATATTCGACCATCTTCACTCCAGCTCAACCCCGCAGTGTCATCCGGGTTCTGCTGATGTTCCCGATTGCCCATTCGAACACGGCTGAACAAGGAGTCGTTGGCCCAAACATCGGCAATCACTGGTATACCTCGACGAGTTCTGCTAGACTCGGTCCGAGAATTCTCATTGGCTCCACCGTCACCACCACTCATGTTAGCTAGATTATCTAGATCAGTCCATCCAGAACTAAATCGTCCTGAAAGCCACGGTGGTTGCCACGGTGGTTGCTCATGTTCGTGCGTGGCTCGGGTGCTGTCGCCGTTTTCGGTGCCTTGACCTTGAGTTCTATTACCCGCTTGTGAAAGGTTATCGGCATTCTGGGTCAGCGCCTGCATAATGGAGCTTCTTCGTCGCGGTGTAGGGGCACGTCTCTCGCGGTCTTGTTCAGGAGGTGTCGGGTTGGTCCCTCCTGAGCGATGTTGCTCGCGATTTTCTCGCGTGCGTTCACGTTCGATGATACGTGTCAAGGTTTCGCGCTGTGTACGAGTTTCATGAGCATAATCTGCACGTGGCGGAGAGAGAGTACGCCAAGGCGAGCGCCTTGCATTGTGAAGAGCACGTTGGGGATGAAGTGGTGCATTGTGAAGAGCACGTTGGGGATGAAGTGGTGCATTGTCAAGAGCACGTTGGGGATGAAGTGGTGCATTGTCAAGAGCACGTTGGGGAGGATATAGGTAATTGTAAAGAGCACGTTGGGGATGAAGTGAGTCATTGAAAAAAGGAAGTAGGGGATGATTATGAAGTAGAAGATATGGAGGGATAGATGAAGTAGAGTTCATACGCCGGCCGGCCATAAGACGCTCTAGGTCATCGTCTGAGTCGGAGTCGTCAGAACTTACGCGCTCTGCCCAGGCCGAAGGTCTCCACGTAGTAAAACCCCCGTTTGCGCGTTGATTCTGATGTTGGTCGCGATCAACAGCGCGATCTCGCTGCCCAATTCGATCTCGATCTCGATCTCGATCTCGCGGTTCATTCCGTCGTCGTCGTTCACTCTGCAATGCCTCCAAGATTGCAATCTCATCCGTGCTAAAGGGTTGGTTTAATCGAGATGTTGCGTCAGAGGGTTCGGGGTTCGGAAGAGGCCGACTAGAATTCCATCGACCTAGAATTTCTAGCAAAGGAGATGTTCCAGAAGTGCGCTCGTTTGTGGTGTTGCGCTCACTCGCGGTGTTGCGCTCGCTGCGTGGGTCGAGTAAACGTGGGTCTATCGTACTCCTATCATTGAGTGAGAAATGGCTAAAGTTTTCATGAGCATTTAACGAGATGATTTGCCGTCGCCTAAAATTAGTGCGCGCATCTGCTATTCCGATGCGGCCCCGGTGCTCCGTCCAAGCCAATAGGTCGTGGGGTCCTGGAGAAAATGCCATGTCTCTAACAGCACCATACTCCCCAGGTGCTCGGTCTGAGTTGAAGTACGTGATCAAGGGCTCTGACGCAGGATCCCTGAGAGCAACCGCATCAAATACAGATATCGTACCATATTGAGTGCCGACGGCCAAATATTTCCCGGAAGAGGAAAAGCAAACCGCAAAGCTCCCCCGGCAATCAGTTGTGTCCATATTCCATTGACCCTTGAGTCGTATTCGCGGTAGTTCAGCCCATTCATAGTTTGCCGGATAGGTGGCATCGTGATACTTGATCGATGGTCGTCGCACGTGAATATAAAGATAGGGGTCGTCGCATACAGCGGCCAAGAGAAGTCCATCGGGAGAGATGACACCACGATTAACACAGTCGGGATACTCAATCTCATCCATCAAGACGGGCGAATATATCGACACGGTGTTGATCGTCTTGTCGTTATTTGCCAGTACAGCCACGGAAGAGTCATACTCACCAGACACCGACGGCTTCTTAGGTGGGTTCCAGAGAGTTATGCAGTTGACACGCTCGGTGCCGAACTTGTGACGTGAGGCAGACCAAGTCCGGTTAGTGTTATTGACTCTATCAACAATGCCGAGCATGTCGCGATGAATTTGGGCCATGGCAGCCATAGAACCCTCTGCCATGTTGGAGGGCTCGCGCCAGTTGAGCCTCGGATGAGCGGATCGGACAGCCTCTTCGTCTGGATTGTCGAGGCCGGTAGTCTCCCTAATGATGGCAAACTCTCCGTTTTCACCACCACAGCAAATCCAACCGTCGCTAGCGACTAGACATCGAGGATGGAAACTGATAACCTTGATGGTTTCGCATTCGCGGGTAGTGGTATTAAGTCGCGTAATGTGGGTGTTGTTGGCGCCGGAGGGAAAGAGCACGACATCTTGGTCAACGGCACTAATTAATGATCGAAGCTGCCAGTGGCTTTTTAATTATATGGTTAGTTTGATTGCCTACTAAGGTATCTGGGTGGGCAGGTTGTGTAACATAAAGTTTTGGTGGCGAGACTTACATTGGCGAGACACTGGTGCAATAGTGCTTGCGACCGTCTTTGAGAATGAGGTTCTCAGTGGGCCAGAGACTAGAAAGAAGGGTTATTTTAAATCAGCGAGAGGTTACATTTGTATATTTGAATACGCGCCAGAATAAATCCTACCTGGCTTCTTCGTCAATGGCCATGGTGCCAATGGCGGACGTCAATACCGCAATAATAGCTCATCAAGTCGCATCGATCATAGAGGCGCGTCGGATGAAAAAGGGTAGTCAAGTGACACGTCAAGACGGAGCGCAACGCAGCGCAGATCGTGGAGATGAAAAGGTTAGGGTCGTGGGAGGTTGACGAGTAAACAGAGTACCTAGTAACCTAGTTGAGTAAAGGATGAGATAATGATCACCTCAGCAGCGATGGTGGGATAGGTTCAATGTTAAGATAAGGAGGGTTCGGATGTCGGGGGTGGATGCTAGAAATAGGATGGTGGATGGTGGATGGAAGTTGGAAGTTGGCAGTGGATGTGACTCTGTCAGATTGCGAGTTGCGAGTTGCGGGTTACGGTTTGTAGTTTGTGGTTTGCGGTTTGTGGTGTGTGGTGTGTGGTTTGCAAGATGCGAGTTGTAAGTTGCGAGTTGCGAGTTGCGAGTTGCGAGTTATGTACTACTTACTATGTACGTAGTTGCGGGTTGCGGGTTGCGGGTTCCAAAAGGTTGTTGTTCAATCAAGAATACTGATGACACCGTCAGCCTGTCAGCTTTTAAGGTTTAAATGTTCAAGGTTCAATGCTAGCTAGCTTCAATGCTTTAATTGATGTTATCAGCTTGGACCGTTGACATTTGGAACATCAATTGAAGGAATCCTAGGTACGTACCTACCTACAACTTAAGTCGTTTCAACTTCAATGTTGAATGCTATAATAATCTTATAACATTGAACATCAATAGTATGACATCCTACATATATGTGTGTAAGCATGTACTAGGTATATAACTAGGTTATGTACTTACTTGTATGTTCAGATTCAACGACTTCGGATTGAAATTGGCAGGCCAGTTCAAAAGAGAGATGTCGTTGAAGACTCTCAATGTTGTTAAATGGGAGTTACTGATATCAACGTTAGGATGAGATCTTACCTTTTTTTTGGTTTTTGTTTCTAGGAGACAATGAAGAGAAACAAAGATTGAGGAATTATATGTATTATCAAAGTTATGTTTTTTGTTTTGTATTCAATGTTAATCTAAAGTTTACAAAACGTCCACCGGAAAGACTCCTAAGGCTCCTCATATGACGTCCAGAATTTCAGAAGTTCAAATGTTCTACCCAGTGCCCACGTTGTCATAGCCACTGCATGTACATGTATCTATAATTACTACCGTACCCGGCGTACCGTAGGTGGTACTACTAGGTACTAGGTATGTACGTCTGGTACTACGAACCTTGAATTGTACATCCAATAGCCATATTACCAACATTGAATGTCCCCATGTATGAGGATCCAAGTGAGTGATGTAAAACGGCGCAATGCAGTAAATAAACTGCGTATGCACCTGCCTTCGATTAATCTTCATTTTGGTCACCATTGAACATCAAACTGCCCAAGTAGGCTGATGTACATGCGTGATGCCATTTTCGCAATTACCCGGATATGATACCTCTACCTACATGTAGTAGTCTAGGTACTTTCATGTACCTATAATGTAGGTACCTGGTACCCTGCTGCCCAGGAGCGCAACGCCATGCTCCCGCTATATTAAATTGGTACATACAATACATAGTGGATTCACAGCTCCTTACATCATCGTAATCTTTGGCATTATACTACATGTATGTATGGATATTTTGAATTGTATTTGTAAATGACCTAAGGGTTTAATATGTCGTCTATATAATGCATTCTGTAGTTCTTTATATTACATAGTAGTACATGTAGGTATGTATGAGAATTGCTTCAATTATTAAGTGCCATGTGCATATGTATGTATGTAGTACTATCATGTTTGTCGACGTCAACCCTCAGTCCAGACTTACATGTACATACCTAGTTACCAGGTACCTCGGTACATCTTATACTTAAACATCTAAAAAGTTCAACATTGAACGTTAAACAACCTTGAATAATTGGATCTACAAAAGTTGACCTATCAAATATTCTCAATTCAAGCCCTAGAGATCCCGAACCTGAAAGTTATTACCTAAGCGCGGCTCCTCGCCCCTCAGTACTTAGGTACATAGTTAAAGCAACTGCAGTGGACGTCACCCCCGAATTCACTCCATCTCAAAATTTTCTGACCTAGTAAATTTTTTTCTGGGTCCTTCCCCCCGATATTGCCGCCTATGACCGCCCTCGGCGAAGCTCTCAGAAATCTTCTCGCTTCTTTTCAATTGTCGCAGAAATTTTAGGATCCGCCTTTACCAACTCGCCCTCTTCCACCCCATTACATACTTAAATATTAATCATACGTCGCCGAATCATCTGTACATTACTTTAACTTCTTCTTCCTTCCATACCACTACATTATTCGACACACTTTTCATACTCTCGTCCTTCTCATTTCTTGAGTAAAGCCAAAGCCATGAGCATGTTGGCCTCACGCTTTGCTAGAGCTGTAAGTTGCAACACCTTTGCGCCCACAGAAAAAAAAAACCAGAAAAACTTTTCCACTCGCATATCCTCGCATTACTAACTGCGACTTGCTTCAATAGCTTCCACGAGCAACTCCCATAGCTTCACGATGGGCCGCTCCGTTGCGAAAACCTTTAGGATCTACCTTCGCTCGATATGAATCAACTGAAGGCAAGGTACAAGGTGCCGTCATCGGTATCGATCTTGGTATGTATTATGTATACTCACTTTTGCCATTGGCTTTTCGCTAATGCTTCTTCCACAGGTACCACAAACTCTGCAGTTGCTATTATGGAAGGCAAGGTTCCTAGAATTATTGAGAACGCTGAAGGTAAGATATTCTACTCGGCACATATATATGTCTACTTTGAGATTTTAACATGAATATAGGTGCTCGCACAACCCCTTCTGTTGTCGCTTTTGCACAAGATGGTGAGCGACTTGTCGGTGTTGCCGCCAAGCGACAGGCAGTCGTAAACCCTGAGAACACTCTTTTTGCTACTAAGCGATTAATCGGACGCAAGTTCACTGATGCCGAGGTCCAAAGAGATATCAAGGAAGTCCCGTACAAAATTGTGCAACACAGCAATGGCGATGCTTGGGTTGAGGCTAGAGGCCAGAAGTATTCACCATCTCAAATCGGTGGCTTCGTCCTCAACAAAATGAAGGAGACTGCTGAATCTTACCTGGGCAAGTCAATCAAGAATGCCGTCGTCACCGTTCCCGCCTACTTCAACGATTCTCAGCGTCAAGCTACCAAGGACGCTGGTCAGATTGCTGGTCTTAACGTTCTTCGAGTTGTCAACGAGCCTACTGCTGCTGCTCTAGCATATGGCCTGGAAAAGGAGGCTGACAGAGTCGTTGCTGTGTATGATCTCGGTGGTGGTACCTTCGATATCTCTGTTCTAGAGATCCAGGCCGGCGTCTTCGAAGTCAAGTCTACAAACGGTGATACCCACTTGGGTGGAGAGGACTTCGATATTCGTCTAGTTCGTCACCTGGTTCAGCAATTCAAGGCCGATTCGGGCATTGACTTGTCTAACGACCGAATGGCTATCCAGCGAATCCGTGAGGCTGCTGAGAAGGCCAAGATTGAGTTGTCCTCGTCTCTTCAAACCGATATCAGCCTTCCCTTCATCACTGCCGACGCCTCCGGTCCGAAGCACATCAACACCAAGATGACTCGAGCCCAACTTGAGAGCATGATGGACCCTCTGATCACGCGCACTATCGAGCCTGTTCGCAAGGCGCTCAAGGACGCTAACCTACAGGCTAAGGATATCCAAGAAGTTATTCTCGTCGGTGGTATGACCCGTATGCCCAAGGTTTCCGAGTCTGTCAAGAAGATATTCGGCCGTGACCCTGCCAAGTCTGTCAACCCTGATGAAGCCGTCGCCATTGGTGCTGCTATCCAGGGTGCTGTGCTCTCTGGTGAAGTTAAGGATCTCCTACTTCTAGATGTTACCCCCCTTTCCCTTGGAATCGAGACTCTCGGCGGTGTGTTCACGCGATTGATCAACCGTAACACTACCATTCCTACCAAGAAGTCTCAGGTCTTCTCTACAGCTGCCGACTTCCAGACTGCTGTCGAAATCAAGGTCTTCCAAGGCGAGCGTGAACTCGTTAAGGACAACAAGCTCCTTGGCAACTTCCAGCTTGTTGGCATCCCACCGGCTCACCGGGGTGTTCCCCAAGTTGAGGTCACCTTTGATATTGACGCTGACTCTATTGTCCATGTCCATGCGAAGGACAAGAGCACCAACAAGGACCAGTCAATTACCATTGCTTCTGGCTCTGGTCTTTCTGACTCTGAGATCGAGCACATGGTTGAGGAATCTGAGAAATATGCCGAGCAGGACAAGGAGCGCAAGGCTGCTATCGAGACAGCCAACCGTGCCGACAACGTTCTAAACGATACCGAGAAGGCGCTGAACGAATACGCAGACAAGCTTGACAAGGCTGAGGCTGACGGAATCCGGGAGAAGATCACCGCTCTACGGGAATTCGTGAGCAAGAGCCAGTCCGGCGAGGGCACTGCTACTGCCGCTGAGATCAAGGAGAAGACAGATGAGCTACAAATGGCCAGCTTAAATCTCTTCGATAAGATGCACAAGAGCCGCAACGAGTCTAGCGAATCTAGCAGCTCTGAGGCCAAGCCTGAGGAGCCTAAGCCTGAGGACGAGAAGAAGCCGTAAATACCCCATTTGAACCGGTAGTTTTCTCGATTTATTTTAAGAGCCTCGAAGCGACGAGGATCATAAGAGCCAGCTCTCTATACCTGTACATTAAACTGTACACTTATTTGCCTACCCTACGTCATTTCCCAGTTCCTACCTACGATGAGGCCATGTCTTCCTACATTTGCGGGCGGAGGCGGCGTTTTGAGATTTGGGAAAAAGCTTTGCCTGAAAGCTAAACGCATTTCACGCGGTACTGGTGACATGAATGGCATCCGAAGAGCAGCTCTGGCATGAGCTAATGTATATAAGTGGCCACGACGAAGAACAAATTCTAATATGACATCCCCTCTCATGACTTCAAACCTGTTCAGTCCGATCATTTATGTGAAATGTTTAACCTTCCCGTTACCCCGTAGGCGTATATGTGATATGTAATATGTGTGAAATAAGTTTATATTCCGATCTAAGTATTGCTGTGAGGTTGTGACTACCTGCGTAGATGTCTAAGTAGGTACCTAGGCACTGATGCACTCTGCCATTTGCTTCAACGGTATCTGGTAAATGCTTTATCTTATGTCGATACCGAGGGAGGTACCCAACTCTCCAGTTCTAACCAGCTTAATATGTTTTACAGTATGTCTTACAATAGGTACCAAGGTTAGGGACCATCGTCTCCCGCCTCGACGCCGCAGAAGCCCTGGCTCTGCCTCCTCGTCTCGGGGTCCATGGCGTCGACTAGATCCACCAGGTCAGATGGCAGCTCGGCGAGGGAGAGGAACATGCCGCCTAGAGAGGTTGGGTGGAGGGGTTGGTTCGTTAGCTTGCTTGTTGGGTATTAAGTAGTTTTTTTTTTGGTGTGGGGGGGGGCGGAAAAGGGGGAAAGGGAAGTAATAGGGAGCAAAGCATTGAGTGGGCTGGATTTACTATGTGCATACCTTCGATATGCCACGCCACATGGCAGTGCAAGGCCCAGAGGCCGGGGTTGTCGGCCGGGAAGCGGATGACGACGTGGCTGAAGGGCGGGATGGTCACGGTGTCGCGGCGCATCGGGTTCGTGAGGTGCCAGGTGGTACGGGTGGTGTTGCTGCTGTCGCCGAAGAGGCCGGGGCCCCAGGCTACGATTTGGAATGTGTGGCCTACATAGATTTTTTGGGGGGTGAGTAGGTGTGTACTTGCTGCTTGAGATGTTGGGAATTATATTCCCCCTCCCCCCTTTTTTGGATTTTGGGGATAGGTTGGAGTCAATGCGTACCACTAGATTTCCGAAGTTAGCGTTGCCTGAGTAGGTAGGTGCCTAAAGGCCCACACAGAGTGAAAGATGGAAATAGACACGTAAGTAGGTAAAGAAAAGATGGAACATACTGTAAATGCCAGGGATGCTCCATGGCGTCGCGGGAGTTTATCACGATCTGCGCGCCTTGCTCGGCGTCCGGGATGAGGAGGACCTGCTGGCTCAGCCCGAAGTCCCAGCTGCTGTACGCGTTGACTCTGTCGGGGGTGAATTTCTGGTCCAGCGCTTTCCAGAGCGTCGCGTTGTGGGGGAGAGGAGAGTAGGATGTCTGTGAGAGGTGTTTAGTAGGTGTCAGTGATCAGTGATATCATTGTCATTTCTGGCGTATAAGTAGAAGAGGAGGGCGGGAAAATGGAGACTGAGGAAGAGACCTTGTTAATGAATATCCGATTGACGTCCTGCGCCTGTCGAAACGCGTACTCGATGTAGTGCGTATTCACCTCGCTGACATCGACAGCAGGCTCCCGGCGCATCGGCACCGCCATGTCGAACGGCATATCGTCGCACCCTTCCCACACATCGCCCCTTAGCCCGTTGCTCTCCACCCCGTACGGATTCGTCGTGTTCCTCGGGCTCCCAATCGGTTCGGCGATAGTTTTCCCGGCATTACCTTCTTCATCATCGTTGTGCCCTTCCTCAACATACCTCAAAACCCCCCTCCCCTCATACCCCCCACCCTCCAGCCCCTTGCTCGTGTACGTCGAATACGGCAGAAAACACGTCCTCGGCAGCGTCGCGCGGATGTAGTAACCACCCGGTTCCTGGTCCGCGGCCACGACGACCGAGGCGCGCTGCCCCAGGTTCAGGTACACGCCCTGCGCGCGCAGGGGCTCGATCTCGACGCCGTCCAGCTCGACGATCGTCAGCGTGTGGTTGTCGATGCTGAACCAGTACGAGAAGAAGGACGAGGCGTTGATGAGGCGCAGGCGCGTTGTTTGCCCCGCACGCACCGCGGTGGAGGAGAGGCGGCCGTTGTCGTTTGCTGTGCAGTCTGTGGTGCTGGGGAAGGGGTGGGTGGACGATGGGGAGGAGGAGGGTGGGTAGGTGGTGGAGTTGATGCTGCAGTTGTAGGGGCTCTGCCCGTTGAGGAGGATGTTGTCTGCGAGTGGCTCGACGCCGGACTCCGTGGGCGCCCATTTCGAGGTTGGGTTTAGGTAGCTTTTTAGTATCTACATTTTTCATTCCAGATAAATGATCTTAATTAGTGCCAAGTAGAAGATAAAACGTAGGTATTGTTTGGATTTATATAGGGAGGCGGCTTACGACAGGCCCGTATGCATGATACACATCCGACACGAATATGATCTTCTCGTCATCCGTTTCCGGCACCATTTCATCTGGATCATGTATAATCTATATCATAGTCAGCCATCATGCTCTTACCTACATACCTCACCATACCACGGGTGGGTAGGTTGGTACTAGATCGGGCAAGCATCTCACAATAGCGCCGTACGCCCCATCACTATACTGCACGGACGAATGCGCATGCCACCAAAACGTGCCTCTCTGATCCTGCACCCGAAACTCATACGTGAAGCTGCGGCCCGGCGGGATCCCGCACTGCGAAATCCCCGCCACGCCGTCCATCCACGTGGAGCCCCTCTGATTGATCCCGTGCCAGTGAATCGTCGTGCTCTGGTTCGCCATTTTGTTATTGACCCTTACACGCACGGTATCGCCGACATTGGCCTCGATCAGCGGGCCCGGGGACTGTCCATTGACGAGCACCATCGGCTTCCGGAACCCGTCGGGCGCCGCGTACGCCTGCGACACGTCGAACACATAGTCCCTCACCATCGGCTCCCGCGACACTTCGAACTTCGTCTGTAGAGAGAGCTCCGTCTCGTTGATAAGCCTGTCTATCGACACGAAAGGGAGGTCCTCGGGAATCCCGTAGAGCGCGTTGTAGTTCAGCGGAGGCGCGGCGTATACCGTTTTATACCGCGGAAGCCCGAGTCCGAGGCCCAGACCTAGAGCTAGCGCTATGATACAGAAGCCGAGGAGTGAGATGAAGAAGAGACGAAGAGGGATTGTTCGTTGGGGCCGCTTTTCGGTGGCAATAAATGGTAGATCGCTAGTACTCTCCCATGGTTCAGACGGCCATGACAAGTCTTGTTGTGGACTATTTTCGCCATCAAGTAGCATTAGCCCGCTCGCGCTGCTGGAGGACCGGTGGCCTAACATAGTGGAACATGATGGGAAGCAAATTTATCGAAGAGATTAGGGACGTGTTGATTTATTTAGTACTTAAGCAAAATAAGGGATGTATAAAGCCAACGCTAGCTACCTAGTAGGCATGTATTGACGCAGGGCAAGTCTTAGTACTGAGACATACAAAGAATCGTAACTTGACCCAGGGAGGAGAGTTACATTAATAGTCACGAAAGGGAATACAAAGGCTAAGTATTGAGGAGTAGTTAAAAATACCTCTGATTCTATTAGATCAAGATTTGCTTTACGTAAAGTATAGGTAGGTACCCAGGTAGGTAGGTAGCTAATGGGTTAGAGGACACTATCTCCCAAACCCAAACCATCCTCTCTTCTGTGACTGGGCTGTCTGCTCTGACCTTTGTTCAGACTCGAGGGTAGGCGCTGGTGCCTTTCGAGGGTAATCAATGTAATTCCAAGCAACGTCGAAGAATAAAGGCTTCACTGGGATAGCCTCTACCTTGGGTGGATAAACCACAAGATTTTCCAGGTCCGCTCCCCCTGATGGGTACTCAAATAGGCGCTGTATTAGTGGGACCTTGGCGTTTGATGATGTTGCGTTCGCTGCCTTTTGCTGTATATTATCTATTTCGACAATTGCGCGGCATCTCTGTACTTCCCCCTTCAACAATTCGTGAAGAAACTGTATCTCAGCTTGACGAATCTCAATATTGTGAGGGGAGGTATCTGAAGAAGAATTGTCATGGCTAGAGAAGAACGCGGTAGCCTGTTCACATTCATCAAATGCATGCTTGGTAAGAACCAAAGCATTAAGGGATTGGCTGGTTAATGAGTGTGACCGTGCAATCGTGAGACACCTATCTGGCTGTTAGTATACGCACACGAACATTTCCATGAATTCTAACAATAATAACTGACTTGAGAGCCTGGAAGTATTTGGCAGTGGCATTTAGTTGTTCTAGTAGTTCTTCATCGGCGGCAACACCAGGCAATTCCTTGATCGAATCGATACTTTGTAACGTAGAGTCGTAAAGGACCACTTTGTCTTTGAGGCGGGAGATTTTTCTACCAGTTGGTTCTATTTTGGGTTTTCGAGAGCTGGCGTCTTTCTTGGATTTTCGAGTAGTGGTAGGCGCCGAGTCTAGAAGAGCGCCGTCATGCTCACCGCTCAACACCCGATTACGACCGATTCTCCAGCTAATCATGTGATAATTAACAGCTGTACGAGTTATCTGCAGACTCTGGATTCGAGGATCGTTTTGCGATACGCCTTCCTCCTTTAGTTCGTCAATGGCATGTTTCGTAGCATCTGCGGCATCTTGGCTTGCGATCAGTACTTCATCATACGCCGCCGCCATCTCCTTGGGCAATATAACGTCAGAAGATGCTAGCTTCTCTGCCAACCGAGCAGTCGCCGTATCAGTTGACGCTAGAGCAAGAGCAATGGCTGCGTCTTCAATCTTGACTTCTCGGGACCTCCATGTAATGGTCTGAGGTGCGTTCGGAGCGCCAACCTGGCCTTTTTGAGCATCAGACTCACTCTGGTTGAGCAATTCTGAGTCCAGCTTATTAATCTGAGCAACCAGATCAGAATCAGAAGAAGGGAAAGCCTTTCTTGCGATAGTAGCTATTGCCAAGGTCCTTGGGACCTTGCTCTGATAGGCAGCAAATCGAATAGAAGGATCAATGGTGTCAGACAATAGATCTTTGAATATATCCCCGCTCATCGAGGTAGATAATGCGATGTATATGATACGAGCAGTCGCATAGCTTCGTAGGCAAGGCTCCCAGCTTTGTTTTTCAAATTGGGTGGCACCCCGAATCATGGATGCATACGCACGTGCTTCCAGTACATCAGTATCGCTGGCTCCAGTTGTTGAAGTATCAGACAGGGCAACGACCAGCTGTTCAGCGGCTCGCGCGGCCTTATCAAGTCTTGAGATGATATGAGAACGAGTTCTACCGGTAATGCGTTTGGTGTCGGATGAGTGGACAGCTTTGAACCTCATAGCATGTGCCCAAGCACGTTCGGCTGTGAACAATTGAAGGTGAAGAAACCTTGATTTGGTCAGCGACATGCAGATTCCAGCAGGCGATAATGATTATGATAAATGACAATGAACATGGTAATGGTAATAGTAATAGTAATGCGCATACTCATGATTCTCTGATAGCTTCTCGGCCGATATGGGATCCTTCTTGCTGAACTTGCTTCGATTTCTTGTCGCAATATTCAACCTTTTTCGACAATTGTGGAGTTTCTTTACCAACTGCCTATGGTAGGTGCTATAATCCCCATAGAGCAAGGCCTGGTTCCTAGCCGTGACTATGAAGTTGGTAATATCCATATCTGTATGATGGATGGCCAGAGAGCCTGGACGTTGGTTGTTGGGAAAACAGATGGAGTTACAGTATTACGTTGTAAAGAGTAAGAATAATAAGGGTAGCAGTAAAAGGTAGTGGGGTTCTAGAACTTAAGGCATCTTACCTAAGCTTGAACCTTGAAGTTGAGGATTTCATCTCCACGCAGCCACGGTGGGGTACGGTAGCTCGATGTCATTAATTGAAGATTCCTGGCAATCTGTGTGACAGCTGTGTGGCTAATATATGGACCCGATAAGCGATTGGCCAATACTTAGCACACTTTAAGCACTACTACGTACCTACAGTACTTACACTATGCATGTAAGTAGGTTAGTTACTTCGCAATCGCAAAAGCCAGAAAAAAAAAAAAAAAAAAAAAAAAGAAGAAAAAAGTAAAGAAAAAAAATGATGCTCCATGTCTCCCCGTCATACTACTACTGTACAGTTTTTGGATTTCACACCTACCTACATATATTTAAACATGGCATTTGATTTCTCAGTGTTCCGATGAATCTGTCTTGCAATCAATACATGAAATGGATTCCTTTTCTATCGTATTATAGTACATGTCATGGTAAGCAAAGTCCCTGCAATGTTCCTCGGTCTCTCTTTCGCATTCCAATATATATATATATATATACAATATATACATATATAATATTCAAGGATGGCTTCAGTAAGTATATAGCACTCACATCTATATCTTACCTAGGTACTAGATAGTTCCAGAGTGATGCCTTTAAATTCCCCAAAAGGCACATCCGAATCGACCCGTGAGCTATTACACGAGGTGCCGATCACCTCTTAACGGTCTATCCTAATGTTGGAGAAGACGGCTGCCAGTTTGGAACCATGTAGCTTCCAACGGATCGTTCCTGGCACCGCCCAGTCCTTCCGGTCTACTAGGCAACTTCGCAACCTCTTCTGGCACCATGGAGCTGCTGATGTTGAGCTTACTACTTCTTGGCAAGCTTTAATGCATGGCACTTTCGATCTTCATCCAAATCCACAGCCTGAAGAGAACAAGAGCTCTGCTCTGGCCGCTTCGACATTTCTTGTCGACTTTCTGTATCCGAGTAGCGCTCTTTCACTTATGCGCCGCCTTACCCCGACCACCACTACTAATGGTTCCTCCTCCTCTTCCTCCAACCGTCCCAACACCTTCCGCTATAATCAGCGATTTGCGAGACCTGTGTCTCGTCTTTTCACCTCATCTCTCAACAAGCAGCGAGCTGATACTTCCGGAAACAAACCTACCAACGGCAAGGAAGCGCATGAAACTAACCCTGACGACCCTGATCCCAACGACCCTGACCATAACGAACCTAGCCCTAACGTATCTAGCGATGAAGGCGGCGAAGTTGGCCCGGAGCTAGTAGACAACTCCAAGCCCCCCAAGGAGAGCGATAAACCCAAGGTCCCTAAAAATGCCTATATTCCGATGGTGTCTGCAGGTGATACATCCCAGCGGCTTAATTCCGAGCTTGATCAGACAACTACAGAATCCCATCCCACCGAAACCAACGGGGAAGATACAACTCCAAGCACCAATCATCGGGAGGAACTGAAGAGTCTGTTAGAGCGCAGCCGTCTTGAAGATGCTGATCGCGTCTGGTACCATTATCAGTCTATGACCAAAAAAACAGAAAATATTATGATTCAAGTTCTACTCTTCCTCTCCAAAACTGGTCGATTATCCGATTCATGGAAAGTATCGGAGCTTTTCCATAAACTCGGTCCGTCACTATGGACCGACCCTGTGTTTCTAGCAGGCGTCGCGGCTGAAGTTAACCTGCAAAATACCGATCGGGCGATAGAAGTCTTTGTTCACGGCCTAGGTGATATTTTTCTTAAAACTACGACTTTGGTCGATGCTCTAGATTTACTACTCGCCACAGCATTGAGCTCTCCTACATATGATTATCTGGAAAAGGTATGGGAGCATTATCCAGAAATGATCAAGAGATGGGACTTCGAAGGCATAACATCAGAGCTGAGGCTTGTTGCCAGGGTTGAGGGCCTGGCTAAGAAAGCTCTCGCTTTTCAAGAATATCTGGCCGCAAAGCCTCAGAAGCTCGATAGTGCAGAACCTACAGAATCTACAGCAGCTATGGCAGCTACAGAAGCTGCAGAAGTTTCAGAATCTACAGAAGCTACAGCAACTACAGAAACTATAGAGCCTACAGAGCCTACAGAGCCTACAGAATCTGACGAAGCTCCCGAAGCTCCCGAATCCCAGCAAGAAGCATTGAATGTGCTACAGAGAATTATTGTTCGCAGAGCTCTTGTATCATCCGATATTGATTATGTTCTTCCTCTTCTCAACTCATTAAAAGATCCGCTTGCTTTCGAGCATTATTTGAGAAACATAACGGAGAGGAATCAAAGAGACGTCGGAATGAGCGCGTATGAAATCTATCGCAAATTGCCGGGGGCCACGCCGAGCCGCCAAGTTCTTTACGAAATGTTCAAATTATACTCTAGCATGAAAGGGTCGCTTGGAATCAAGCTCGCTGGACTGGAAAATATTTGGGAAGACTGGCATAAGTTTCATACCAACCCTTCTCGCCGGGCATATCAAAGGTACCTGGCCTTCTATGCGCGTCAGGGAGATACAAAGAAAGTTTATGAACTCTGGCCCAAATTTATTGAGCTGTATCGCGATGATGTGGATTTCCCTGCTATAATGGGTGACGATACGTTTGCGCATCTTCTCCAGGTGCATGCGGTAAAGGGCGAGGCTGATGAAACGGAACGGATCTTTCACGATATCTCGAAGAAGTTTCGTTTAAAACCCAACAAATACCACTGGAATATCTTGCTCAATGCTCGCGCCAAGGCTGGCGATTATGATGGTGCGATAGCTACTTTCGAAAAGATCTGTGGACAAGTGCTGGCGGACAAGTATACTTTTGGCATCATGATGCAGATGGCTGGTGTCAGGGGTGATTTGGGATTTACCGTTGAACTGTATCGCCGACGAATACGTGCTGGCGTGGATGTCAGTGATGCTATCCTTAGTAGTCTCGTCGATGCGTACAGCCAGAATGGACATTTCCAAGCAGCTCGAGATGTTTGCGTTCGTGCCGCAGAGAAAGGCATCGTATCAACTCAGATGTGGAACAAAGCCATTCATTATCATGCCCTCAACCGAGATCTTGACGCCATGAACAACCTACTCACTCTCATGGCTACTCACAGTGTTCCCTTTGACTCGTACACCTTTCAGCAGTTGCTTCTGGGTTTGGCTTTATGTCGGCAATCGCAGCACGCTTTGAATCTCCTCGGAATATCACTCAAAGACCAGGTTTTCGAGGTCACTCCAGAACACTTCCATATCGTTATGGGTGCCTTGTTAATCACAGGAGAGCCTGGCCCGGTTCTGCGGCTTCACAAAGTGATGCAGGACCGCGGATACCCGACCTCAACAGACAGTCTATTCCGAGTGACGCAGGCGCTTGCGCAATGGAAGAAGATGTCCCCAATGCAACGAAAGCGGCAGACTGCAACAGGATGGCTTGGAAATGCGCTGCGGTCTTTCCACCATATATACGGCTTAAGTAGTCGAGCGAGGAGTAGTAAATTCGCACCCCCAAGGACCGGCACCACTCGACCAGGAGAACTACTGAGGCAGAGTTCCGAGAAAACTCATTTCAGCACCATGGTGTACCTGCTGGCTCAGATGAAGGATTTCGCCCAAGCTCGTGAGCTCGTGGATCTTTACAGTTATATCTTCCAGGGCGAACAAGATCTTGGCGGAATACTACCCATCGCCATGCTCAATTCTGTCATGCGAATGGATCTTTTAGATAAACAGTATGAACGCGTTCAAGCCACATGGGATCAAACTCTTGAAACGGCAAAAGAAGGTGCACGATCAGCGGACTATGTCGTGCACCTAAAGCATACGCCAAAGATCTCAGCGAAATACCGTTATATCCTAGCGGATGGCCTTCAGGTTATGATGCAAATGCACCTCGAAAGGGAAAATGGCGCGGAACTTCAAAGGGTGGTGCAAAAGGTTCGTTCGGAGGGATTCGAGCTGGACAGCAAGAATTGGAACTTTTACGTACAGGCACTGGTTCAAGTAAACGAGCTCAAGTCTGCATTCATCACGTGCGAAGAGATACTGATGCCGAATTGGACGGGATGGCACATTCTCCGTACAAAGGAGAATGTGCGAAACAAGATATCTCTCGACTTACGACGAAAGGGAACATCCCCCCGGTATCTTCGACCGATCGCCACGACGCTGTATCATCTAGCGCGAGCTTATATGGAGTTGGATCAATCCGGGCCGTATTCTATAGAAGCGGCGAGAGCGGCACAAGAGGTAGAAAGAGACTGCCCACAAGCAGTCCGAGCCATCAGATCTATGATTCGGGTACATTCGACGGCTGAATATCAGATTCTCGGTGAGGAGGATTTCGCCCAATTTGATGCCGCCGAAGAAGAAGACGAAGAAGGTGAATTCGGATTTGAAAACGAGGGCGACGACGATGCTCAATCTGGAGCTATAGGTACAGATACAAGCTACAATACGAAGCTTGGAGCTGGAACTGGAGCTGGAACTGGAACTGGAACTGAGACTGGGTCTGAATTTGAGTCTGAGTCTGAGTCTGAGTCTGAGTCTGAGTCTGAGTCTGAGTCTGAGTCTGAGTCCGAATCTGAATCTGAGTCCGAGTCTGAAGTAGAGAAGAAGAAGAAGAAGCCTGTGTGGCGACGTGTATAAAAGACGTTGCTTCCTGTTGTATATATGAAGCACTACATATTTTGTAACCTAGTAGATAAATCTCAGAGTACTTAAATGTATAGCAACCAACAATCGTATTTAAAAGTGACTTTTGAAGCAGAATCAGGAGGATGTATAAGAAACCACCTAGGTATGTATGCATCTAAGTTAGTATGCACATGTAGGCAGTAGCCTAGACTACCTACTGCATGTGTACATTAGTAGTATACTGCCGGTGCTAACCCGATCAGTAGCTGTTTATGTATCTCTTGACATTACGAAGGGCGCATTAGCCATTGACTTTCATTGAGTCTCATAGAGTTAACTTCAGAGTTCCTTTTTTCTTTTCTTGACTGATCATCTTGCCAAACATCAACACTGAAACTACTAGGCATCTACCTTCTAATAACACCGTAAACCGACAGCCTCCTGAGAATCGTCTTGAAAACGGTAGCAGTACTGGCTAGGAAGTTAGATATACATAAGATAGGCAGCTCTCAAGATGTCACTCCCGTTCCTGCACCCGTCCGAGCTTCTGCCGTCCGGCTTCACGCTGTCCCGGTGCACGCCGGCTGATACGCCGGGGATGACTTCGGTTTGGTAAGTCATCCACATGTATCTCTACATGTCGACCCAACTATTCATATAGTTGATATGAATGGATTTCGCTAATCAATGTGGTTATAGTAAGTACCTATATATATTGTTTACTTGTGTACCTACCTAGGTACTTATCTGCCTCCTGTGAATATGGATATTCCATGTATCTATATTTTGCTCTGGCTACAAGACCTACTGTTCAGGTAGGTACCTAAGAAGCTAGTATACCTACATCCACTGCCCAGCCAACCAACCCCCCCCCCCTCCCTCCCTTTCCCTCTAATACCTGTATAGTCATGAAAGCCTTCCCCCAAAACTCCGCCTTCACCTACTGGTGGGCGCCCTCGCTGCCCGTCATGCACGCGTGGCAAAGCTCGCGGATCGCCGGCCGCTTCCAGGACCGGAGCACCCAGCAGTTCAAAGTCGTGGACGAGAATGTTAACCCGCCTGCTGTCGTCGCGTTCGCGAAGTGGGATCCCCCGACAGCGGGTATGAAGGGGTTGAGGGAGGGGTTTGTGGTTTATGATGGGAGGGAAGAGGGAAGGGGGGGGAAGAAGCAAACGACGCAGTTGTTGGCTCCGCCGGAGGGCGCTGATGAAGAACTGTACACGGAGTTCTTCACGGGTCTGAAGAGGATGGGGGAGAAGTGGCGGGCGCATGAGAAGTTGGGTATGGATGAGTTTCTTCGCACACACTTACCCTGCCTACCCCTATCTATCTACCCACCCAGAAGGTTACCTACCTACCTACTCACCTCTATACCTACTAATTCACTCATTCACTCACTCATCGCAGCCCTCTCCATCATCTGCACAGATCCCGCATACCACGGTCGCGGCATCGGCGCGGCCCTCATCAGTTCCGTCCTCGCCCTCGCCGACGCAGAGGGCCTGACGACGTACCTCGAGGCCTTGCCCTTGGCTGTGCCGCTGTACCGCCGCCTAGGCTTCGTCCAGGTCGACACGCTCGAGTACGATCTGGCGCGTGCGGGCATGGAGGGGACTTCTGTGTTGACGATTATGCTGAGGGAGCCGAAGGGGGAAAAGGAGGAGAAGGAGGCGGCTACTGTGGTGTAGGGGGGAGTTTCTGGCCCGAACCTGGGATATTATCTACATACCTAACCTAGTAGGTAGAGCGGAGCGTATACACAGAAGGAAAAGGAAAATAAGGACGGGGAGGACTATGATGAGGATGGCGTAGGCCTGTAGGCAGAGGATGCCAAGCGTACCTACCTAGCGAAGGAGGCTCCATAAGGGCGGCATAGGTTTGTCTGTCGGCGCAGATATTTATATCAGACTCACTGGGTGTTCCATACCTCAAAAAGCATGAGGCTATTTATATCAAAACAGCGCCTCACATATCAACCTATAGACAAGCATGCATATGTACATCTCATCTACCTATACTAAGCTCACCCCCCTCACCACAACTTTTATATTGGTATATCCCCACCTCCCCACCTCCTTCACTCTCCCAAACCCCAACTCTCCGGCTCGATCTATCTGAGGCGGAGTTTTACTAACGGCACGATGATGTTTCGAAGTTTGCCTACCTTCCTAGCACCCAGCCTTCTTGCCTTACGTGAAGCAGTGTAACCATAACGAGGGCGCCACCGCGCAGCCGTTGATGGCATTGATGATGCCCACCGCCCCCTTTCCCCCTCTCCTTGTGTACATGTATGTACGTTGCGGGCACGTGGGTATGTAGGCAAGTTCGTGCGAGAACGTTGTTGTACAATACACTATCTGCGTAGGTACATATGTAGGTACCTACCGAGGCGGATTATGTACATATGTAGGTAGGCAAGCATGCGTGCTACCTAAAAGGGGGGAGGGGGGAGAGAAAAAGGCGCTCATCTATACAAAGACTGTACTTGTCTGTATGCTTCATGGCGATGGTGTGTAGCACCAACGGACGACCGTAGGCACCTATCTACCTACCCAGGTTACCTACCTAGTATTAGGTTAGGTAGTTACATAAGTATGCTAAAACGCAGGAGCCGAGACTCACGTATAACAAAACCGAGCCAGTCAGCCCAGCCCAGCCCAGCCAACCGTTTCATCGGAAAATTTATCTATCGTCAGCCCAACCACGTGAAAAGGTGCGTGTGTGTGTATGTGTGTGTGTGCGGGTTAGGTGCGGCATCTACATGTATGTATCTCCTCATCACGAAAGGCTTCCACATACATACATACATACATATTTCCCCGGCCCTGGGCGTGCTGGCAAATCTTGGTAATCAGTATTCGTCCTCCCCCCTCCCCCCTCACTCCCCGGCTTTTCAACACGGAAGGCTGCATTTTTTGTATATGTGTGTGTGTGTGTGTGTGTGTGTGCGGCCATGCCGATAGACGTAATTGTCTAGGTCCCATGCCCATGGTTATGTAACAGGGGGGGGGGGAGAAGAAAAAAGAAACAAAATCGTTGCAAACATGTATGCAAGGTGCGCTTGGCGATAAACCATCTAGGTTAGGTTAGTTAGTTATGTATATTATGTATAGATACCTACCTGCCTACATACTGCCAAGTTCAGATTTCGAGACACATGCAATGTATTGTAAAATACGCAACACCTACATGTGCTTTCTTGCTTGTCAATTCATAGGTACCTAGGTATTGTAAGAGAAATCTCTTGGAATACATATAACTAATTGTGGTGGTTACCTTCAATGTATGTGAATAATCCGCCCCCTCGGCTCATAGAAATTACTAAGAAAAGGGATAGAATCACGATAACTGACGGTTAATATCGGGAAGGGCAACATGCCCTTTTCGTTTCCTTTTCTTTTTCTTTTCTTCCCTTTCATTTCTTTCATTTTCTTTTTCCCGCAGTTAGTTATAATGAATATTATTCATACTATTGTAGCCCGGCTTGTTTGATCGACGAATGTGACAAGTGGATCGTGGGGGGGAGGGTTTAGCCCAGGGGTTTGATGGAGCCATGGGGGGGTTAGGGTTAGGTAGGCAGGTACACTAGATAGTCAGGAGATGTGTAGTGATAATAGAATGCACTTTATAATACTACGCGTGTGCCTGATACTATTGTTTACGTGGGCTTTAAGAAAGGCTATATAAGTAGGTAGGTATGGACAGTATGTTGGCTACAATATCGGCCACGTAGTATTCGCGATCTGGTTATTTGACCAGAGTACGACGTTGAAAGATACTGTCTGCATATCATGGAACGATGGCAAGATTGGCTTCTGATGTCTTGGCATTACCGATCAGTGATCAATAGGATAAGCCCCGGGTTCCAAGATCCCTATGGGGCAATAGTATTCACCGACAGCACATCCTCAGATCCTGTTTAAAATAGTTGACTCGGTCCTTTCTTGCTATACTTGGTAGTCCCGGGCCGCGTTCACATTGACGACAGACCCGAAAGCTACTTTGATTAGTACCTGTGCCGACTAACTTGATTATATCGTGATGATATTTCATATGTATATACTCCATTCAACATTCACCTACTCCATACTAAATACTTAAGAAGGCTACTGTAAGTAAGGGGTGAGGTGTCGAGGACCTGAGCATAAGAATTCAGCATAAAGCATGCCTTTCCCGCTGCCAGCGCATACATATGTACCTAACCTACACTAGATGTGTACCTGCTACTTGTTAGTGTTAGTGGACTTTTCAGCGATAATGACCCATGGGGACGCAATGACGCGCGGAAGTATTCGCACGCATCTGCCTATCAGAATATTTGAGGTTATGTACTGGTGCCCACTGTACACACAGATGACCTGGGGTAGTAACTTGCCCTGATCTCTGGGATCGGGGATTTTCATACTAGTCTAAACATGTCGATAATCGGGGGTAAATTAGCATGAGATGAAAGGACTCTGAGGTTTTTGTATGTGGTAGCCTGTGTACCTGGCTTGAGTAGAAACTTCAATGCCCAAGAAAGAGATGGATAACATGCGGCTATAACTAAATCTCCTACATTTGTAGGTAAATTGGTAATTCCAAATTCCAGCCATTGGGAGTCGGTGCACCGCTGCACTGGAATCAGCTAGTATAAAGTAATAAGTAATGTAATAATAATCCCGGAAGGAATATGTATCGAACAACATTGAAGCTGACAAGCTCGAAGTTGAAGGGTGACTACGACTCTCATCCATGTTGATGAGCCGGACCCGAGATGATACCGGTAGCATTGCACACGCTACAGGGCAGATCGTTGATACAAACTTGAAGTGCGACGACGTTCGTCAAGGGTTGTGGACTTGTGGTTCCAAGTCTCAAGTGGTCCGTGGATCGTTGTACGAAAAGGTGCATCTGAAACGACGCGATGTGTTGTAGACGATCCGCCGCTAATCTCATCGGTTTGGGTTTCCCGTCCGGCATGGCATCCTCAGGATTATCAGGTACTAGGTAGAATACCGAGTCGCCGCGCTTAGATTGACCGAAACCATCAATGTTAGGATGTAATTCTTTTTAGGATAACTTTTTTTTCTTTCGTCGTTTGAGAGGAAAGAATATCAGGTGAGATGATGAGATGATAAGTGAACTTAATCATGTCCTCTGGAAGCAAAGGGTTCTAGTTTTCTGCTCGGCCGTAGATAGACAGGAAAACACCTGCACATACAACCTTCTACCCCTGGCAGCAGGACTTAACTACTGGGTCCTTACTGATGGGATAAGATCAGCTCAGGGGTCTTATTTCAGCTCTTTGGAGACTTGACAGCATGGACTCAACTGCCGCAATAGGAGCAACATGACATGGATGGTTGATAATGAAATGCGATTGGAGTTGACTCCATGATCAATCCGAGAAACCCAAGGAACTCTGCCCTGAGGCATCCCATCGACTCGGACCAATCATTCATATGCTTATATGCTTACGTTGGCCTTTCCATATAGCAACTATCGGGATGTTGTGAGGTCAGCATGGGCACATTCCTTGGAACCTCTGAAAAGGTCAAGTATGTATGAAAGGCGGCGTCGAACTAGTCTTGTCTGAACTGTTTCGTGGCTAAATGGGAGTGGACCATGTTCAACATGAAACACGTCTGAGAGAGCGACTTGGACTTGGTGTGGTGTTTGAATGGACCTGACTCGCTTCTTCCCCTGTCCACTAATTAGATCAACCCCAGGATTATCAATGAGTTGTGTGGTGGCCGCGTGGGCACGGACAAAGTGCTGGAATGACAAAAATATCCGAACCCATGGACTGACAAGCATATAGAGAATATTCTAGCACCACTCCAATGTTCTCTGCAGGTGCTCGATGACGAACGATGGCAGAAAATCCGGCTAGAGAAATAGATGGGTTGACGATCATAAACTAATAAGGTGGCCCTTCGAACAGACTTGGGACTTGGGCCGGCGGGCGGCTCGGCCTGAAAGCAAAGTATAGTAGAAGTTGCAGAGCTGCGGGATGAACCTTCAATGTTTTAGCCCATCAATACATGTATGTACAACTTACTTACCTACATAGTAGATACCTCAATGTTGGCTGCATGTAGGCATTGGATGTATGTATACGTACAGATATACCTACATATGTATATGTAGATTAGTAGGCATGTATTGTACATACATACATGTCAGAAAGCAGAAAATTGGTATGAGGGTACACAAGCTGCTTCTTTTCGGGCTCGTGCAGCAGGAAGGTTAATGCGTTCAGGAACCCCAAACGAAGCCACCGAACGCCATTTGAGGAGAATGACATTATGGGGTCTCCTTGTTATACATCAATGATATGTGCCGATCTTCTGGTGGTTGGGCTAGACCGCCTCCGAAGCAGGTACCAAGACTCTGTACGTAGCACGAGTCCGCCACGTTCTCCAACACTGAAGGTGTACGACCTAGTACGGGAGGCGTGTAGATCGTTTAATTATCGGAACTCTCGCGTACCTAGAGGTTATGTAGGCTGGCAGGCTGGCAGGCTGGGAGGTTGAGAGACAATGCATTGTGTGTGTTTGTGTAATTGCATATGTAGAAGCTTTAAACGTTGGCAAAGGAGGCAAAGCACATGATTATCATCGGAAGCCGACGCATGAGTCGTGCTTCGAAGAACAATCCTATTTTTCTCATCTCATCGTGACGCCGACACATAGCCTATCCACCTACAGCCGCCGAACTAATCACACTCCTTTCATACCAGACATAGCCCGCTGGAAGTTAGAATTGAACTTCAAGGGAGGATTGGGATGGATTGGGATGGATTGGATTGGATTGGATCACTGCAGCCTCAAGGGATGATTATGTTAAAAATAACTATTAAATCTTGGGGGGGCAAGCTTGTTCATGAAACTGGTGGGTTGGTAGAACTGAATTGACACGATCTGGTATCAAACAACTAGAAGTTGAAACAATGAACTCTGAAGACATCAATTGATCTTCAATGTTGAACATTGAACTCTTTTAGCCATGCACGTACCTACATCAATGTAGTTATGTGCAAGATCGCGCTTCCCCTACCAAGTACATAAGTATTAGTGAATATCTAAAACAACGGCAACTTCAAACCCAAAATTTAATTAACACACAGTCATCTAATTAAGCCATCTTAACTTTTAAGGTTCTAAAATCATCTCGCCGTTTCAACCTTTGGACAATTGACCATGCTGCCTAGGCCCTAGGGTAGGGGATGCACTACCTAACATAGTATAATGAATTAATTATTATTAATAGAGAATTGCTTGCCGGGGATGCTCCTGAGTCCTGAGTCCTGACATAAAGCTTCATACTAGTAGTACTAGCTTAATAAGGCAACACATGAAACTCGTACTGCATTTTTGGGATTAGCTCAACTCAGTAACTAGGTAGTTATGTACATGTATTGTGCAATTCCAATCACAGTGCTTCATCTCATACCTAGTACTAGATGACCCATTAATAACGTTAGCACACATACAATGCTCACATACATGCTTCATCGCAAATTTTTGGGATAAACCTAATCTGCGTACCGCTTAGATTCATACTATGTCAGTACCTGGGCTTGATGTTTGAAAGGAATTGCATACTACCATAGCACATGTATGAACAGTATGTTGCAAGTAGGTACTACATATATGTAGGTACTAAGAAATCACTTATGTTAGTGATGGTTGATCGAATTATAAAGTACCGTAGGTACCTGGTAGGTAATTTCAGACATAGTAGCTCTTTTGATACATACCCGCGTAGTCGGGTAAGCATGAATAGTTACATGCAAAAGATTACCAAAGATACGGGTACTTGCATACATATGCACATTTCGGGCTGACACTTGCTGGCACTGGAATACATACTGCCTAGTTTGTACTACATAGGATGAAATAAGTCAAGTATTAACTATACTAAATCGTCCCACTAGAGGAATAAGGGTCCATTGATGGATATTTGAGGGCGCTTGGTAGGTACATATTCGTAGTAGGTACTGGAATACCTTAGGTTAGGTCCTTAGCAGCTTAGCACTAACACTGTTGTAACCTAGTACCTAGTAGTACAATACATTTACAGTTTCCCCTCCAAATTCGTGGTTCCCCCCTTTCCTACGCTCCGAACTCTAAAAAACCCATACAACGTTGTCAATTTGTTACTTCGTTTTTGACTTTAATTTTTTATCCATCCAAACTTGTCGCCGTTACAATTCCCAAACTATTTCCAGCTGAATCCAATATCAAATTGCTGAGTCGCTATTTCAAATTCTTCATGCGCTGAAACAAATAGGCTGGATTGTTCTCCCCTGTTCTCCCTACTCCTGTCTGCTATACCACCATACGGCCCGTGAGCAAGCCATCTGGAGGTGCCCAGTGGGATTAGTTTCACAATATTCGCATTATTCTTCATATTATCCAACATCTAGAATAATATCCTGCCGCTTATCCCTTAATCTTCCCTTTGCGTTACCTCTCGCAAACCGCATAACCCAAATTCCATTATTCGCAATATCGCAATACCGCAATACCAAGTAGCGCCCTACAAGGCTTCGTTACCTAGTACCTGTCACTTGGGTCCGCTTCTTTTCCCATCTCTTCCTCCTTCTTCCTTTTCATTCAATTCTGCAATTCCTCCTATCTACTCTTCCCATCGCCGTTTGGCCGAATTTCGTCGTGACCGCTTCGACCGCCGATTCTGCCCCGAAATCCATGAGAAGCCATCTACCCCGTTATCTACCCCGTTATCTAACTCTTGGTCGGCGTCGACAACAACCATTCTCCGCTTCACCGACTTAACCGAGTCCCTACTTATTCTAGGTACTTCTCACGTCCGCCATATCCAAGCATCTTCTATTCGAATATATCACCCTCAAGATTGTTACTCTGCGAGTTTGACTGGGTGATAGCTTCGATGTTGCGATAGTCTTATCTTCATCGCCTTTCATGACGTACCGAGCAAATCGAGCTTCTACTCACCTACCCTTTCATCAACAATCAAAACAAGCCCCTCGGGTTACATACTGGGTTGGTCTACTAGCTGTGCCTGGAACAAAATCCAAGTTGGTTACCTAGGTACCTAATTACAATGTCGGCAGGAATCATGGAGGAGTATCAAGAAGGTCAACTAGACAGCGACGATGTCTTTCCCTGCAAAGGGTGTGGAGAGGTAAGTGGAGGATACACCCATAGAAAAGGGGGAGGTCAATGCTAAATGTGTGTGTCCAATGCAGATCCTCGAGGAGGGAAAAGCATTTGAGTTGGGTAAGTTCAGATTAGCGTATCGATGTGCTCTTGCATAACGGGCCATTAAGTTGCGATGTACAAGTTATCTGACCCGCTTGCAGCTGGAAATCGATGGCATCTCAACTGCTTTCGATGCAATACCTGTGGTACCTTACTCGACTCCGATGCGAACCTATTATTACTTGGCGATGGCTCGCTTATATGCAATAACTGCACCTACAGCTGCAGCGCTTGCGGCGACAAGATCGAAGACCTCGCTATTTTAACCGGCGATCAGGCTTTTTGCGCCGCCTGTTTCCGATGCAGGAACTGCAAAAGAAAAATTGAGAACTTGCGATATGCTAGGACCTCGCAAGGAATATTTTGTATGAATTGTCACGAATCTCTCATGGCAAGGCGTAGAAAAAAATCCAAGGCTGCCGCGCAGGCCAAGGCACGTGAAAAAGATGCGTCGCCCATGATAGTGGACAAGTCACTTCCAGCATTACCTCCTAATGCCATACCCCCCAATGCCTTCTCAGATGACAGAGTCGATCCCGAGTCCGACACTCCGACAGAGCTTTCTCCACGACCACGACCCAACTACACTCGAAACGACTCCTCACAAAGCAGCTCGAGGCCAGCTAGGTCTCCGGAGAGATCGACTGATCATGCTGGAAGGGATCCCGGCCTTCTACCATCGCAGAGTTATCGCAATAACCGCAACTCGTCGATTTTCTCAGGTAGCGATATCACTGGTAGTAACGCTGACGACCAGAGCTTTTTTATCCCGGTTGCTTTGGATCCGAGTCCAGTGCCATCCTCAGCACCTAGATCAGCAACTGAAGCACTTGTCGAGGCCAATAAAAGGGCCAAAGACAAAGACTACTTCAGTCTTCCGAAGCCAGCTGCGTCCGAGCGAAGAGATACTTTACCGTCATCTACACCACATATTGCGTTTCAAGAGAGGGGAAGGCAATCCTCGTTCGATCACGAGAGCCCGCCCCCCAAATCACTGAGTAGAAAACTTTCCAAGTCTTCTAGGAATGATAAAAATGTTCCTACAAAGCCAGCCCCTGCTCCAGAAGATAGATCTCAAAAGCCGGCGAATGGTAAAGCGCACGCGGCCGAAGACTTTAAGTTGCAAGAAGCCCCCAAAAGTAAGAAGGTGAATTCTCAGACGGGTTCTCAATCCAATTCAGTGCAAGATTCCGGTTCTAGGGGTAGTGTCAGTTCTGGTCGAAAGGACAAAGATGGGATTTCTGATTCACCCCAACACCTACACGGCGACGATAAGACAAGCACCCCACGTAGTTCGCAGGACTCGCGTGTCAAAGAAGATGATGAAGTACGGTCGAATGATTCTTTGGCAACATCAATTAGCAACAATGTGAAGCCAATTACTAGAAAAGAGCTTCCGGCCACGGCATCTAAGAATAGTAAGTCTACGCAAGGATTCCTTCATTGATTTGCTGTTGGACTGACATTTATATTTTAGTAAATGGTGCAGCATCTCGCACTCCTGCCTCCGAGCAGAAGCCTGCGGACCCGTATATGACACCAAGGGCGCCTCCTGCTCCGCCGGGACACGCTGCACAGGCTGCACAGGCTGCGGCACAAGAATCAGCTGGCTCAGCAACCGAACCCAAAACATCACCCAAACTACCTAGGTGGAGTTCAGGTGGTGATTTCAGCATGGATGAGGATATGGCCCGTATCTTGGGCACAGATGAGGGCTCTTCTTCCATACTCCGTCGGGTCTCGAACGCAGTACGCCACGGGCGAACGAATAGTACAGAATCAAGCAGCAACGTCCCTAGGACGGGTCATACGCGAAGTGCCAGCGAAACGACTCGTACCACTACATCGCCTCGCTGGCCAAAGACTCCAATCGCCGAGGATGCGGTCAATGGGGCTGCTCATGATATCGCTAGCCCCCTATCGATCAACCCGAACGATGATCCAGTTTTATTGAAACGACGTCTCCGGAACTCTGAGCAAAGGGTTGCAGAGCTGGAACGCCAGTTCAACAACGAGAAAGATCTCAAGAATCTCAATCAAAAGCTCGAGGAAAAGCGCAAAACGGTTTCCGTGCTTGATACCCAGACTGAAATTATGATCCGTCAGTTGGAGGCATTAGCTGGATACGTGGAAAGGGCCAAGGAAGCGAAGCGACCTATCGACCCTCGTGAGCTAGAAGAGTCTGCTCTAAAGGATTTCGTTCAGAGACTTGAAAAACTCAAGCAGTCTATGTCAGCTAGTCTTGAGCAGCTTCATACCGAACGGGACGAGCTCGTCGAAGAGAAAAATAGAGCTATTGCTGAAAGGGATCGTGCTCGAGTGGAATTTGAACAACTGGTTTCTAAGAACGCACAGTTGGCCGACTTGAACAATGATCTCACAAATCAAATTCAAGAAAGATTCAAGAATCATTCTGATCCTAGGTCTCCTCCAAATGGTCTCGGAATATACAGTCAGCACAAGGGTACATCGAATCATTCGATAAGCTTGGATACCTCCAGCATCCAAACCGGTACTACAATGATGGGCGGCGACCATGAGGAGACAATTCTCGAAACTGGACCGACTGTGGTCAAGATAGGGAAGGGCCAGGTCAAGAAGTTCAACTGGAAGAAGGGATCAAAAGCCATGGCCCAGAATATTGCCAAGGGCGTAAACCGCACAGTCGTCGCCTTCCAACAACCAGACCGCGAGCGGCATGGGCCAGGGATGGGGAATGAAAACATTGGTCTTCCTTACAATATGACCGTTGTGCCGATCGAGTCGCCGGTTGCAGTCACATACGGACAACCCAATGGTCTAAACCGCCAAGCCCAACACGTAGACAATAGTCGACAGGGCTTCTTTGGGTTTAAGAAAGCAACAGCAACAAACGTGACTAAGGCCGGACCGAACATGTCGTCCATGCCAGCCGCTGCAGAAGCACCCTCAATCCTTTTTGGATCCGAGTTAACCGAGAGAGCTGACTTTGAACATCGGCAAATCCCCTGTGTTGTCACCCGTTGCATCGAAGAGGTTGAGCTGAGGGGTATGGATATGGAAGGTATTTATCGTAAGACTGGTGGAAATTCTCAAACCAAGACCATCCAAGAAGGGTTTGACAAGAATGGGGACTACGATATTTCGGACCCGGATATCGATATTACTTCCGTCACGAGCGTACTGAAGCAGTACTTTAGAAAGCTACCAACACCGCTGCTGACGTTTGACATCTATGATCAAATCCTCGAGACGAGTTGTAAGTCTAGATTGAAGAAAAATTATAAAGAGACTCTCAATATTCAGTACCAAGCTAACTTTTAACTAGCAATCCAAGGCGACACAGAAAAGTGCGAGCATTTGCAAAATACGATCAAGCAGCTTCCGCAACAGCACAGGGACTGTCTCGAGTTCTTGATGTTTCATCTTCATCGTGTCGCCTCCCGAGAGCGCGAGAACCTTGTGAGTAAACTTGACATGTTATGTTGAGCCCGATTAGTTAACAATAAGATAGATGACTCCGAAGAACCTTGCGGTGGTGTTTGCACCGACCATTATGAGAGATCATAACATCGAGCGCGAAATGACGGATATGCACGCCAAGAATAATGCTGTGCAGTTCATCATTGAGAATACTCATAACATTTTCATTTAGTATCAGCTGGATATTCAGCTGTTGACCCCACCAACGATCCTTTCAATGTTGTACATAATAGACCGGAGAGGCGTGATTTTCGCCAGCTTCGCAAAGAAGCCACATAGGAGTCGACAGCATTCGAAGAGCAAGCTTGGAATTTTACAGAAATCACGACCATACGATCGGTTGGAAGTGGCGCCGCTCGATATATCATGGGTGTAGCTTCTTCTAGACGAGTCATTGGATTTGTTTCGGTTTTCGATTCAAGGAGGTGTCCCGGCGGCGATTTTCTGTCTTCATGGTAGGAAATTTAATGATATCCTTAGGAGCATTGCGATATTCATTTCGAGAGGTGGGGGGTTTTTTCTATTTCAGCTCCTCCCCCGTTTATTTTTTGGGAGCAATGGCGGCTGGATGATCCAAGTAAAGTGAATTGATGGCTGTGCTTTTATGAAGTTTGGAAGGAGGGAGAGGAAGAGAAGAGAAAGAGAAAAATGATCCGAATAGGGGTTCACTTACCTACATGGTAGCTAGCTACCTACCATACCTAGAACTTAAGGCCACACTCGGAGGAGAAGCGGGGAGAGGTGAAGGAGCAGAAGAGAAAAAGCATGACAACTGAGCTGAGTTTTTACCAGAGACCTTGGGAGTTGAATAGCCATACTCTCCGGAGATGGTGTTCGGACAGTATAAGACCCCGCGATACTCTTTAAGTAGATAAGACGAGACAGACCTGAAAATAAAGAAGAGATCCAACTCCTGATCATGCGCCGTACTGTGATGTGATTAAAATTAACTTGGCGGTAGATATTGGATTTATGTAGGTAGATAAGCACCTAGTATTTCTGAATATCCTATCCTGGCTTTCTACTTTTAAGATTGACCTATGGGTTTATTTTCAAGAAGTGAATAACAGGTATTCACAATTTCACATGTTCAAGCATGTTGGTGGAATAATCTGTTGGAAGTTCGGAACTTGGTAGTCACCTTTTCTTATCGATGATTGATCAAGTCACGTAACCTTGGATATCTACATGTATATGACAGTACCTATGTAGTAAGTACCGTACCTATTTATGTACCTAGTAGGTAATAATTCCGATGTCCCATCAATTCGGTACCATCCATCAATTTGTTCCTATTTGTTCTATTATTGGACTTGACTCTTGAGGTACCCAGGCGCTTAACTATTCCTTCCTTAGATCTGGGCATTTCAAATATTAAGATCTGACCGATTCGTACTGTTAAGTTTTCCCATCTTGGGTTAGGCAGGTTTTTTCTCGCTAGAATGTTTGGAATGTTGTTGGAATGTTTGGAATGTTTAGAATGTTCAACAGGTCATTTAGCAGTCTAGAATGCGTAAGACTCGGGAAAGTTGTCTGCTTAAGAGTACGTGGGATGGTTAAGTACTACTAACTTAGTACTAAGTAGATGGTCTGGGGGACTCTGGGATGGTCCCGACTAAGCTAAGTACACCCCTATTGCGCTATCTTATCTCAACTGTTACGCTTACCTGAAGGGGCAAGCAGGGGCAAGACAGAGAACCTCCGGCGACGATAAATCACTAAGGTCTGATTGGTCAATGGACAACTTATCAGGAGATCTCCAACGCGAATCGGCACTTGCGAGGGAACCTGGCAGGTGACTACTTCCATTCTCGTGCGATACCCCGTGTTTACGTATATACCATGACGGTGATGGCGCCGGATTTTATCGCCTCTGGTACAGCTTAGCATATCCTAGCATGTCAACTAGTACATCTTAGTATATCCTAGCATATCAACGCGTTTTACATAGTACCTATCTCCTACTACTAATACTACCTACCTCGGTATCTAGGCCAATATGGAACCACAAGTTCCCAAGTATAATATGCGTCGATGTCGACGCATATTCCCTTCCCTTATCACCTAGACCCATCTCCTATTCGCCTACCTACTTGCCCGGTAGCTTTGCTGAATGCAAAGCCCACGATACTCTCGCCATGGCAACCCACATAATTGGTAATGGTGAGAAGACTAGCGATGACTTGTCTGGGGGCGAAAAGACTGCACTTCAGACCGGCCCCGACGTTGAGGTCGCACACGGACACCTGACGGACCTTGAAGTCGATATCAGCGATGTTCTTGCTCATGACGAGGAGGAGGGTGACTGGGACGCCGACACGAGTCCTTTCCCAGGTGTGCGGGCTGTTGTGCCCGAGACTGATGACCCTGGCCTACCCGTAAATACCTTCCGGGCCTGGTTTCTTGGTATTGTAAGTGACAGACCGACGGAAAGACAGAAAGACAGAAATCCCTAGCTGAGTCGCGGAGAATTGCCATGGGCATCAACTAATACTGAATACCTAGATCCTTGTGTTCTTGGGAGCCGGCGTAAACCAATTCTTCTCGCTACGATATCCAGGAGTCCACATTGTATCTCTCGTTGCGGAACTGTTGGCATACCCGCTTGGCGTTGGCCTCGCCAGCATCCTTCCCATTGGCCGACTCAACCCCGACAGAAACTTCAACATCAAGGAGCATGCCCTCGTTACCATCATGAGCAACGTCTCCTTCGGGTTCGGCTCTGCTGACGCCACCAACATCATCCAAGCTGCTAGGTTCTACGGCTTTGACATGCCGCCTGGCTTCTCTGTGCTGGTCGTCATATGCTGCCAGTTGTGCGGTTACGGTATCGCCGGCCTTTCCCGAGCCGTGCTTGTTAAGCCTGCTAGCATGATCTGGCCCGGTGTGCTTGGAAATGTGGCCTTGTTGAGTTCTATCCATTCTCGAAAGAATGCCATAGCCGATGGGTGGAAGATCACTCGTATCAGATTCTTTCTGCTCGTGGGGGCTATCGCTTTCCTGTGGTATTGGTTCCCAGGTTTGATATTCACCGGCTTGAGTTACTTCTCGTGGATATGCTGGATTGCGCCGGACAACTTGGCCGTGAATCAGGTCTTCGGCATGGTCACGGGTCTGGGTCTATTCCCGCTTACCTTCGACTGGGCCATGGTGGCATACAATACGAATCCGTTGCTGAGTCCTCATTGGGCTGCCGCCAACGTCTTTGGCGGATTCGCCATTTTCTTTTGGATCGTTACGCCTGCCATCTACTACACCAACACGTGGTTCACGTCCTACCTGCCTCTATGCACTGCCGACGTGTATGACCGCTTTGGGCAACTCTACAACACAACAGCGATCATCACGAATAATCTATTTGATAAGGAGAAGTATGAGGCATACTCACCACCGTACCTGCCTGCAACATTTGCTTTCGTATACGGTCTATCATTCGCCTCGATTACTAGGTAAGCTCCAGATATCCATGCACTTGGCTACGTGGTGTGCTAATGATGAATTATAGCGTCTTATCGCACGTTTACTTCTTCCACTGGGCCGAGATAATGCAGGCCGTTAGGGGGACTCTTAAGCTTGATATCCACGCGCGTCTTATGAAGCCGTATAAGAATGTTCCCTGGTATTGGTGGTCTAGCATTATACTCATTGTGTTTGGAATGAGTGTCGCTATGACCGAGGTATACCATACGGGGCTACCCGTGTATGGTATCGTTCTCGCCTTCGTTATCCCGGCCGTATACATGATACCCTGCGGAATGATCCAGGGTGTGACGAACGTGAACGCCAACCAGATCAATGTTCTCTCTGAGTTCATAGGTGGATACATGTTCCAGGGAAGGCCCATGGCGAATATCTTATTCAAGACCCTCTCGACGGATGTGGTGGGCCAAGGATTGTACTTCGCTGCTGACATGAAGTTGGGACATTACTTGAAGATTCCCCCGCGCACCTTGTTCTTTGCACAAGGCCTGGCTACTGTATTAGGTGCTCTTACTCAAGTTGGAGTGACATTGGTAAGTCGTCTCCTGAAACACTTCCTTCTCCTCTTCGGCACTTTCTCGCAACAGTACTCTATGTCTTGGGATCTATTTTATTAACCTTGAGTGTGATAGTGGATGTTGGGCAATATTCCCGGTGTTTGCGACTCGGATCAACCCAATGGCTTCAGCTGCCCTGTCGGCCGCACGGTGTACAGCAGTTCCGTCATCTGGGGCTTAGTCGGCCCTGGCCGTCTCTACTCTGTTGGGATGATCTACAGCAAGCTTCTGCATTTCTTCTGGATCGGGCTCATCCTTCCGCCGATCACGTACTTTGCCTGGAAATGGACCGGTAGCAAGTTTATCCGCCAAATCAACTGGCCCCTCATCTTCGTTGGCACCTACAACGTGCCCCCGGCCACGGGTATCAACTACAGCAGTTGGTACATCGTCAACCTTATCTTCAACAAGATCATCTACAAGAGGTTCTACGCCTGGTGGACCAAGTACAACTACGTCCTCGCGGCAGCGTTGGATACGGGGCTCGCCATCAGCGGCATCGTCATCTTCTTCGCTGTGACGTATGGGCCGAACGTCCAATTCCCCGACTGGTGGGGTAACACGGTGTAAGACTTCCTCCCTCCCCCTTATTCCTGATGATGAAAAATATGCTGACGATTTTACTTTAGGTGGCAAAATACTGCAGATGGGCAGGGCTTGCCATGGCTACAGATGCCGGATGTGGGATACTTTGGCCCGGCGAACGGGACTTGGACATGATGAGAGGATATGATATGAATGGAAACGAGAGTGGGAGATTTTATGTGAAAATATATACATATACCTACCTATGTATGAAAATTTATGTGCCTAGCTTGATTTGTAGCAATTATTGGTTATTCAACAGTTGAAGCTGTTCAAGGTCTACCTACTACCTGCCTATAGTAGGTACTCGTGTGATTGAAGTAGAACTCATGGTTATTATCGTGGTTAGTTAAAATCCAACTATAGTGTTAAGGGTAGATATTATCCCCAGTAAGGAGGTTACGTATGTGCGGTTCTATAATAGTGTTGATGCCAGAAGGGGAGGTAAGTTTCGAAAACGGATTATGTCATGTCATGTCATGTCATGTCATGTTGCTGCCGAATAAAGCGGATATGCATACCTACCTAAGTGCCTATTCAGTAAACAACTTCGGTTGGTTGATATTATACACTACGTATGAGGTATAATAGCACTGTCGATCTTTTTGATAGAAGTCATCATGTTGTGTTCTATCTTACTTTTCGCTATGCGGTGGAACCGTGCTATGTAGGTAGGTAGGTAGGCTCTTGGTTTTCTTATTACCTAGGAGGGTAAATATCCTCATTGCGACCTCGGTGCTGACGTAACTAGAGCGACTAGATAGGGGTTTGTGCTAGGCAGGTAGGTGTTTACACATTTTATAACCCACTCGAGATTAGTTTACTCTTGTTTCCCTTTCAAGATATCTGTCAGGTCAGCATCGACGAGGTAGGTACTAAGTTCAGATACTTGAGAATAGGGCGGCACTGTGATCTATCTACCTAGACTTGCGTGTGCGCAATCGGTATCTAGACTCGACGTAAATCTCTAACCTAGGTGAGTGTATAATCTTGCTCGTGCGTTCTTATATTTAAGCCCTTCTTGTCCCCGATGCCCAGAGTAACTACACGCACCATTACTTAGTTGACTCCTCCAACGATACATCATCGCATACCTACCTACCTTCCTAGCTCATCCTAAGGCTACCTAGCACACATTTACCTACACACTTTTCACCACCGAAAAAAATGCAGTACCACATCGTCGCCCTCGCCGCCTTCCTCACCCTGACCGCCGCCTTCCCAGCGGACTCCGAACCGCTAAGTCTACTACAGCCTAGATGCCTGTCCTCGGGGAGTACGTAACACCTTTTTTCTCCAATACGGGATACCAATACTGACAATAGAGTACAGCTGAGTGCACCGACGATCAAGGGAGCTGCTGTTCGGGGTTGTGCAGTGAGAATGAGGGCTGTGGGTGCTATACATGTAATTAGGCTCCTAGGGAAACAAGCCTGTCTAGCTCTTTCAATGGGTACGATGAGAGTTAAAAAAGCTGCGGATGGGGAGGAGAGGATGAATCGTAAACAAAATGGGCAAGCAAGATCATGACGAAACATTTGGGTTGGTCTTTGTTGTTTTTGTCAGGGACATTGGAGCTAGATCCCCTGGATAGGTGGCCTTTCGTTTGGTGTATTTGAGAGGGTGGATGGCTCAAAATATAAAGGACACTCGTTTTTTAACCAACCCATGCCGACGCCGATGGGTTGATAGAATGGTATAAACATCTGATTTGATTTTCCTTTGTCGTTGAGGTGAATCTTAGACATCTTGCTGTACATGTATTTCTGTAATCCATAATTATTTAGAACTACGAGCTACTAGAACAATAAACAAGCTATATAATATGATAAAACTTGTTTAAAATGTTCCTTTCAGTTATGTAGTAGATGAGTTAACTTCAAGTTTTGAGTGAGAATTGATATTCAGGGGCTATATTATAGCCCCGTTAAGGTAATAAGTATTGCTTCCCATCCGCGATTATTAACCTATGAAGTTGTTGTACTTATCGAGGTAGCTCCACTAGAAGTACCCTCTCTGTACTTTTCCCCTTGACATACCCTAGAGTGGGTTCAATGCTGTTGTCTGGAGTATAAGCCGGTTGATAATCAAGATGGGGCTTCTTTGAATGGAAGTATATCGAATGGCTAAGTATACGACCTCCTCTGTCTATATAAAGACAGACTGCTTCTCATGGCTAAGATGAATTACACCACACTATTGGCTTTACCCTTGATATAACTACACTTACCCAGTGCCCATAATGTCTTTGCACATCACCATCGTCCCTGCCTCTTCAAGAGCAGGCAGAGAAACGATCCTTGTTCTCCTAGAGTCCAAGGAGAGGCCTTTTATCCGCGGTATCTATCGAGATCCATCCAAAGCCCCGGCAGAGTTCACGAAACAGCCAAACTTTGAAGCTGTCAAGGGAGACGTTGACACCGGGACTGGCCTCGACTTTAGTGGCTCGGATGCAGTCCTATACGTCCCCCCACCGACATACGACGGCACGGACCAGGGCCAGTTTGCAACACAAGCTGCGACTAATGTAGAGAAGGCTCTCCGGGCAGCCCCAAACATCAAGAAGCTGGTCTTGCATTCGGCCTTGGGTGCCCAGTATAACCATGGCATTGTAGGCCTCTTCTCCACTCCGACACTAGAATAAGCAACTTACGCACCTGACATTTTCTTTGACTAAACAGAGTATCCTAGGGCACCCTGAAACTAAATCACATCTCTGATCACATCCTCAAGTCGGCAGCACCTGAAGTGCTCATCGTGAAGCCTGGGTACTACTTCGAGGACTGGACCTCGGCTCTGGAGACGATGCAAGAAGACCCTCCAAGCTTCCGGTGGCCGATTCACCCCGCGGACCATGCAATTCCTATGGTAAGTGTTTAGGCACTCCAATTTCCAGGATACAAAAGCAAAGGGGGAAAAGGAGAGAAGAAGCTAACTTATGACAGGTCAGCGTGAAAGACGTAGGCGCGTACTGCGCCAGCGCTCTCATCTCCTCGGCAGCTGGCACCTCGGCGCCACCCCTTCCCCTCCGCTACGTCGAAATCTTCGGCCCCCGAAACTACAGCGCTCTAGACGTCAAAAAGACAATTGAAGAAATCACCGGGAAAGAAGGCACGCTGATCACGGTGGAGAAGGAAGGGCTCGCGGACTACTTTGCGCAGGGCGGTATCCCAAGGGAGTACGTGCAGGATTATGTGGAGATGTTTGTCGCGATGAGGCCGGGTGGGATTATGGCGGGGGATTTTGAGTATAAGGAAACGACGGTGAGGGGGGGAATTGAGCTGGATGAGGTGTTTAGGGAGTTGGCTGGGAAGTAGGCTGTGTGACTCGTGATGGCGGCAACGGGTAGCTTTGTATGTCATGAGATTGCAAATATAATTGTTTATAACTTGTTGCTGGAACTTTCACTCTCTTTTGACCCTGAAGCGTGTCTTGTGCAATTTCTTATATAGTAATGTTGAAGTAGGGCAATTCAAAAAGTTAAAGATCCAGGGAGAAAACGTAGAAAGTATAAGGTTGAAAAGTAAAGGTTTGCCCCTATTATAGTACAGAATATCGTCAATCCCCAAACCCAACCCACGACCCCCCCAAGCTAAGCGGTCCTTCCCCCCTCCGCCGTCGCCAATAATCCGTCGCCTCCAGCATCTCACGACAGCCCTCCAGCAGCCAACCCCATTTCTGCAGAAAAGGCACAGTCACCTCCCAGTTCCTCGGATCCCACGACTCGCCCCAGACAATCAACCCACACCAATCCGTTCCCCCCTCTCCCTCCGACTCCACTATATCATTCCACAGCTCCTCCTCCTCGGCAACCGACAGCTTCGCGGACACCGCGGCGAGGAAATTATCCCGCATCCTGGGCAGCGGGAACAGATCCACCCACGGGTGGTGAGGAATCTGCAGCTGGAGCGCTGTGGGGGCCAAGTTGTCCGGAAAGGCCTGTGTCTGGGTCTCGCTGGCTCCTCCTACTAGCCAGGAACACCCAAGCCCAAAAGGAGAAACGGCACTGCAGACGAGCCAATCGGACGTCAGGCCAAGGAGGAGCGCGTTCCGCGTCAGGCTGTTGATGAGGTTCAGCTGGATGAGCTGCAGCAGGTGATCGGCGCTCGGCTGGCCCGTGGCGTAGCTTGCGAGGGCTTGTGCTGCGAAGCGCCGCAGGATGGCGCACTTTTGGGAGATGTTTGAGGCGGTTGCGTCTTGGAATGTTATCACTTGGTCGCTTCTTGAATGGACGACGGTGGTAAGGTGGGGGGTGCAGTCAGTCATGCGTTGATGATGACGATGATTACTTTGGATTTTTCTCCGGCGGCCTTGTTTCTGTTTAGTGATGCCACAAATTTGCCAACATCACGACGTGTTCAGGTACTCACGAGCTCTCTGATTCAGCCTATTCTGGAGTTTCTTCCGCTCCTTCGGGTTAGTGACACCGGCCCAATTCTCCTCATAGCGGCACATGTATGCTTCATGACTCCAAGGGCATGTCTCAATCAGTGAGGTACAATCGGCGTCAGTGCTATTGCGTGAGCTCATGATGGGCAGTTTCGGACACCATCCACCCAGGGCTCCCAATTTGCTCTCCCCGCCTTATTTGTTATTTACCTAGGTATATATATGCATATAGCTGACACTCTGAGGCTCAGCAGGGCGGCCCACCTCGCGCTAATGCAACTGGCTGACATGCCAAGGGACCAGGACCTGCTAGAGGAGTAGGTACATGATAGTGACTTATAAAATAGGGGAGCTATACTCTGCTTTAGTGCATACCCCTGATCCTACTCCTATATTAGCATATATATACTAAATATTGTTATATGCATAATAACGATTTACCCCTTTTACCCCTTTTTCTTCTTAAAAGTCGGTTCTTGGATCGATGGTGCTTGACAGAGACATGTAAACTGCTAATATGTATATGGCAGTCGAGTTTCTGACAATAGCAAGGCACAGCTGATTAGTTCTGTCTTTATCCCTAAATTCAAGGACCAGGTCTGCTAGTACCTTAGGTGTTTAGCAGGTAAATGATAACCTTGGAAGACAAGAGGCTGACAGGTCCCTTAGGTACCGGTAGGCACCTATAACTTTTCAAGCACAGGGAATACTGGTAATCTATGAGAAGCGTTGCAAAGCCCAAACGGGTATCAATGATTAGTGCTATCACCTACTCGATTTGAATAAGGATGACTAAACCCACTGCCTAATCCCAGACGCAACCTTTTCACTTATTCCAACCTCAACGTTATACTCCCCCACTGACCAATCCCACCGCGGCACTCGACGAGTTGGGTGGAGGATTCCTCGAGCAAGTGAGCTGCACATCCGCCAGCTCCCACGCAAAAGCCCTGTCCATATACTCGTCCCAGGTGCCCCAGTTGATTCCGACGAGCGCGTTATCATGGACCCCCTGGAACGCGCTCAGCGGAACCACGACCTTCTCCGGGTCGCCGGTGAAGTCCCTCACGTAGTGCCAGGTGCTCTTGTACGTCTGCTCCATGCACGAAGTCATGGTTTGGATCTCGAGGGCGATGGAGGCGCCGCGGGGCGCCCGCATCTTGAAGGAGATGGCGCTGTACCCGGACTCGACGGCGTCGGTGCAGGGCAGCATTTCGTAGAAGTAGGACCGGTTGCCTGGTACGAAGGCGATGGTGTTGCCGGACGAGTGGATGGATACCATGGAGCCGTCGTCTGTTTGGGTGTAGGTGTTAGCGTTAGATATATTAGCAGTAAAAGGATTATGATCTAGATGGAACGTACCACTAGCTTTGTAGCCCAGGCTGTTGGTTTTGGAGTTGAACTGTGAGAAATCGTCGACTAGAAGATTCGATCGGCACATGGACGCCTCTGCTTTCAGGAAGCACACTCCCGCCCACAGAAAGTAAGCCGCAAGATGGGATATCATGATGGAAAATATTGTTGGGTATTTGATATGGTGTGTTGGTGTGCTGTGAAGAGATGAAATTTACGTGAAATACACCCGGATGGAAATGGGTATTTGGATGTCAATAGCAAAAGGTTAGGTATTCCTACTTAGTAGGAAGAGAGGAAGCATACCTAGTACCTAGTTAGGTAACTACGATGTGCCAACGGCTCTTCAGTGTTGGACTCAAGGAAGTAAGAAACTGAGGATACCTAAACCTAAAGCTATCAGCACTTTCTTCAAGTTCTTCAACTACGCTCCATTAAGTACCTAGGTAGGCACACAGGCAAAGCCTTCTTCACGATTACTAGAAACTACGAAGCCCATCCCATTATTTTTGGGTTATGAATATCAAGTTGTTATTGGGGTATCTCTCATCGAAAGCAATCTGCGCAAGGCCGCAACCTCGATGCCATGATTAATCCACGTCGCGAAAAACACTCTCCCCACCACGAGTCACGCACGTAGTATGTGATGTGCCTAATTAGTTCACACCACATAGCACCGCCTCGTGATATCCTTCCCTCCCACTACATTCCAGTGTCAAGATTGACACGAAAAGAAAACCAGTGCAAATGCCCAATATCGTTTGTGCCGAACCGTACTATGCTTCCCATTTACATGGGGAGCATAGCAGAATCCGGAACGAAAAGGAAAAGGAAATGAAAATGCAAATCTCGTTGGCCATTACTGGTGTACCTATTTGGTACAGACTTCGTAATACCGTTATCCCTACCCTAACATCGGGAACGAGCCAGCCTTGGAAGGCCGACACGGATAACGGTGAGAACGAAAAGAAAATGCAAAGGTCGTTGACCTCCACTGACTGGTGTAATTACTCAGTCCCTGCTCCTTGTAATGCCCCATCCCGATATGTCGAGAACGCGGCAATGCCGAAACGTAACGAAACGAGAAACAGTGCTAATGCAATGTACTCGTCGTTAAACCTCCCTTGATCGTGCGGTCTTCATTAATTCATTCGTTTCCTCGTCCATTCATTCAGTTCTTTCTCGTCGATTCGTGAGTTCATTATTCGTCCAGTGGATACCTGCTGGTAGGTAAGGTGGAAATATTTATCTTCTGGCTCTTTAGCGGCGAATGTTCGGGATGAACTCTTCGTCGTCTTCTTCGTCGAAGCCGATGGCTCGTTCCTGTTGCTCGCGGTAGCGTTGGGTCTGGACCTGTTAGAGTAATAGTTATTAGCTATATCAGATGTCGAAATGTAAACTATTGAAGTATAGAAAAGAATGAAAATAAAAAAGAGGAGAGGAATAGAAAGTAGGTATCTTACACTAGGACCCTGAGTCTGCGCGGGATAATAAATACGCGCCGACGCCGGCGCAGCTTGCTGCTGCTGGTAAGCCTGCTGCTCAGGTGCCTGCTGCGGCTCCATTCCCATGGTTGGCAGGTGGATAGCGCCGTTGTCCGTGTAGAGAGCACCGTTGTTCGTCGCGATAATACCGTGCGACGACATGGCGTAGGGGTACCGTCGCGGCTCGGGCTGCGCGGCCGGCTGAAGTGGCCCGGGCACTACGCGAAATTGAGGTGCTGGCGGGGGGGCTTGGGCAGCGGGTCGCTCGGACTCGTGGTGGGTGCTGGCGCTGCGGGAGCGCGCGCGGCCGAGCGCTGGGGCTCCTGCGTTTGCGTTGGTGGTAACATTGGTAGGGCCCTGCTGGTGCTGTTGGGCGCCGCCGTTGAATCGAGAACCGTTGGCGTTGACGTTGACGTTGACTCGGGGAGCGCCGAAAAGACGGACATCGTCGCTCATTAGGCCTAGGGGCGCAAGGGGGCGGCGCCAGTCGTTGTGGTGAGGGTTGGGCCCACGGCCAGCGAAAAAGGGGCGTGGAGGGACGTCACCGGGAAAAATACCAGGGCGGAGGTGGCGGGGGGCGGAACGGCCGGTAGGGGGAAGAAAGTCGCCGATGACAGCGGCTATTGGGTCAGTGTAGCCGTTGAGATGACCATTGTGATGGCCGTTGGCCTGGTAGTGAGGGCCATTCACGTGGGGTTGAAGGTGCAAAGCTCCTGGTAGCGGGGCATTCATAGTAGTCGTTGATACGGTTTGACTCAAGGTAACGGGGGCCTGTGGTTGAGCCTGCGGCTGAGCCTGGGTGGTAGTGCCAGAGGACTGGGCGGTGTTGCCCTGGGACTGGGCAGCCACGGCGCGGCGAACGCGGTCTACAGCGAGCTGCCGTCGATGAATGGGAAGATCATACGGTAGGCCCATACGTTGAACGTATTCTTCGTCACGGGGCTCCAGTTCAGGAAGGGTATCTTCCTCTTCCTCGTCCTCTTCCTCTTCCGCCTTCTCAAACTGCTCTCTCATTCTGGCGAGCTGCTGAGCAACGCGGTCCAGGTCTTGGTGAGCGCGATCTGACTCGCGTTGCATGGGGTTCGCGCCAAGGTGGTGGTGGGAAGCAAGTTGAGGACGCGAGCCCTGGGCTTGTCCGGTCACGATCTGGAGTGCGCGAACGCTGGGTACTGTGTATCCAGGCTGAGTCGTCTGAGCAGCGGCGTGAAGACGCTCGTGGACTTTTGCGTTTATCTAATTAGCACTGTATTTTTATTTTTATTTTTGTTTTTGTTTAGATTATTGATAAGAATGAATGAATACTTACTCTCAACGGGCGGGAGAAGACCTCTCGCGGAGGGGCCAACCGTGCCGATAGGCGTGGGGGGAGGCGTATCACTAGTCTGAGTCGCCAACGCGCCGGACGGGATAAAGGGAGCCGCCTCGGGGGACATCGTACTAGTATTATGAACGTTGGGAGCCAGTAGCTCAGGCTCTTGGCCAGAACGATTATCGGACATATTGACGTTGGTTGCAATAATCATTGGATACACCGTGTGGTATGGCTTCTCTTTCAAATTGTGTTAGTTTTCTGGTATTTTTCTGATCATAATTGAATCAGAAAAAATAAATAAATGCAACTTACTATTGATCAGTGATTGAAACACGATACACGGGGAGAGAAAATAATGGCTTGTAAAGTGATTTTCTCGTGTTGCGTGTTGGGTAGGAGGAAGAAAAAACTTGTGTCCGGACCTACAAGTCTTTTTTTTGAGATGGGAAACGAGGATGAGAGCTGTGGGTTGGTTCTTGGGAAGAAGAAGAGACAGACCTCTAGCTGTTGGTTAAGGAAGGGAAGGTGCTCAATGATTAGGGCACAGGGCATGAGCAAGTTTTTCATCCCATGTGGGTGGCTTGTAGAGAAACCTCGTGGGTCTGGATGGAGGGGGCGGCTGAGGACTGAGAAGTGATTGTGGCAGTACTGCTCAGTCGAGTATTTTTCGAGGGTCACGATGTTGAGGGTGGTCGACAGGTGAGTGGCAGGTGAGTGACAAAGGCTTCTTGACGGAGTCGACAGTGTTGTAGGGGGCTTCACTGCGGATAACCGTATCCGTTTAGGGCCTTGTTCAGGTATAAAATAATAAGCTGCTTATCCCTTTTAGCACTATTAGAGGGGTTTTGTTTATTAAACTCGAAGATATGTAGGTAGTGTGGTTTGAGTGATAGAGGCAGCAGTGAGGTATATGAAATTAGCAGGAAGATGGTTGCTGTGGTATCCTCAATATTCATTTTCAATGCAATACTGATAGCTACATTATAGCACGTAGGCCTTGCTATGATTTAATACTCTAGCTTCAGAATAGATTCTACCTTGAGTAGAGATTCTACATAGATGAGTATTAGATATTGAAGTGCTACAGTGGCAAATTATGAGTATAATACCTTTCGAGTTGCAAGCAGTCTTCGAGAACTTTGGAGATAAAGCACCTATATCTACGAATATGTAATAGACAGCTACAAATCTGCCATAAACCCATACAAGAAACAAGAAACTAGTCATGAAACAACCATGATATGGTACACATTACTTATAGCGAGAAGCTCATCATATATTTGAAGAAGCTGCAAGAAGACAACATGAATTAAAATCTTGAATATATACCTATATAACTCAACTCGGGCGGTATCCGTTCTCAAACCGTTGTTAGCAGTTCCATTGCCCACCCGTCTCAGATCTATAAAGGTAAATACTTCCTAACCATACTCCAATGAAACAAGGGTTCCTTTCGCCTTTCTTCGTTCAAAATTAGTGGAAATAGGGGTTTTCATGACAACGTTTTGCGATCAAGCAGGAATCAACTTGGCCCCATCTGAATAGCATCAAGGTAGTTCGACTTGGAGAGAAAAGAAAGGCTGTGGATATATGCCCTTGGAGAATTCACCGATACCCTTATTTTAGAAGAGTAGTAGACCCCGAATAGCTCCATACTATCTGTACATAGGTTAGGTGCCTATTTTTATGTGGTACGAAGTATGACACGCATTTCCATTTGAATAAATAGCAGTTGTTAAGTGTATTGAAGTGTAGGCTAGTTTATTCCAGCTTTAGTATAGTTGCTGAGTTTGAATGCATATGGGCATGTATACTAGGTATATTTTAGGTAGCAGTGTAGTAAAGTGCGAATAGCTTCCAAAGCTCGAGGTTGAAATAAACTAGCCTAGCCAGTTGACAGCAGATGCTCGGTGGGTCTGAAACGACACAATTTATTCGCTTGGGCTCATCATGGGGGCTGAAAGGAAGAATTGTATATACTAGGCACCTGACCAATCGCTCTCTGATTCATCTTCCTACAAGACTCAAAATTTATAAACCCTTTTACGTCAAAAACTCCCATGTTTAAGCCAAGTTAAGAAACCGTGACTACCAAATCTATCCAAAATATGAAATACTTTCGGTTATAGTAATCGACCGGCGCAAATTCTTCACCCCCGCGAAGCAGCATGGGCTCAATTAGTTCAACGACAGGTTACATCCTGGTCGACACACAGCAAGTTAACGATGACAGTAAAACTTACATTTCGGGCTTGTCTATCGCTGTGACGGCAGAGCTTTTGGCGGATGAAACCCCATCGGTCCTTTTGCGCAAGAGGGGGTTGGATCGATGTGATAATTGTATATGGGGCGGTCATG